GCTCCGGATTTGTTCACCACCTCTACTGTTCACTTGTGTCCGGATGGAGAGAGCTGGGAAAGAAAGCGGGACTCGTGGCCTGGACAGCTACAGGGACGCGCCTCATACGGCAGTGCTGCTACCTCCTCCACCGACTTAATCACCCTCCCTTGTCTTGGGAGTCTTCACTAAGTGGAAACCATGTGGGAAGTCAGGGATTACATAGAAGTCAAAAAAAAAAGAGAGAAAAACGTGTCCAAAATCCGTGCACACAACCGTTCAACCGATTGAACGGCTTCACTGTTCAAACCGTTCATCCTATTCCCTGCAATATTTTTTTTTAAGTTCGCCCCTCTTCCGACAGCACACGTCTCGGTTTCCCTCTTCAGGTGATCCCTGACTCTCCCTTCCCCCGGTGACCGTTATGTTCGCAGGCTACTCAACCCGCGATGCGCGCTAAAGCTTTCTCCGTTCGACACAACGCCGTTCACGGTTGACCGTGCACGTTTTTGGAAAAGGTTTTAACTTCTTGTAGGTGGTGTTGTCTACGTACTTATATCTATCTGAGCAGACCTGTGTTTCCACTAAGAGTGAACTGAGCTGGAGCCAACTGCTGTGTCCAGAGCCTGTCTCGACTGCATGCGGAACCATTGTGAGCACCACAGCAGCAGCCATGCACCTGAACATGTGGTACGTAAGTATCACGTGAATATATGTGGTGAGTGCATGTGTAGATGTGTAGCATGCAGCAATCGTGTGGTGTCCCATCACTGTTATCACTAATGATGCGCCAGATTCTGCGGTATACTTCAGGTGATTATGCCTGCTGGAGAAGCAGCTGCTGGTGAATGGAGAGAGTGCCTAAGCAGCTTGAGCAGTCGACAAAGAGAGCTCGAACTCGTCCACTGGTGCTCACTGCCTCAGACCCCTACCACGCACCTGAGGTCGGATGTCCAGCAGGCAGTATATCAGTGCAGTGAAGGTACATAGTATAGGTATATACCATCTTTGTATCCAATACTTTTTATAGGCTGTACCATCGTCTGGGAGACGAGACACACCCTGCGAGGCAGTTTTCTCATCGCAGTCAGTAGTGTTAAAGCATCACAGCAGGCGCTTGGCAGCGGAGAGAGGACGACTATGTGGTAGGCTCTGCGTCTCTACAAAGAGGCCGTGGGGTGCGAGAACTGGGGAGACGGTCAGCCCAGTCAGGTAGAGGAAGATCTCTGGGAAGACTCCATGCTTCAGGTGAGGTCCTTGTTGCTCGAATTGAGTTCCCCCCTCTCTCTTTCTCTCTTAACTCCCTTCTTCTCTCTCTCTCTCTCTTTCTGTTCCCCTTGTTGCTCGGAATTGAGTCTCTGCCCTCACACTACCATTCACTCCACTTTTTTTACACTCCCACAGTGCTACAGTCACCTTACTGACTGGCAGGAACCTGGAAAAAGCAGTGGTAGTGAACATTGAGAATGAAGACGGAAGTCCTTCAAAACTTGACAAAATCTGGGAGGAATTCATACCACAAGGTAGTATATACTACTGTGAACCATTGGAGCGATTCACTCCAATGATATATATATATACACGGGAAACACAATCAAGTCAGGACCCTCTCTCCGCGTACGACGCGCGTGGCCTCACTGCGCGCACCGATGCATGCGTGGGCCTGAGAGAATGGTTCACATGCAATGGCGTGTGTGTTTAGCGGAGGGAGGGCAGAGGTATTGCGTTAAAGTCAGCGCTTTACAATAGTGCTGTTGCGTTGTATCATATCCACACAGTAAGGACTTCCCGCATGCGACCATATATTCTGCAGGAGCACTATCTGCCGCACCTGATGCGGGCGAAGCTCAAACTGGCCTGCAGCGAAGTTGAGGACACCACCACTTCACCGACTTTCTCAACAGGTCTCTGGGAGATGCCGACAGAAAAGCACTGCTGGAGACTCGCCACTCCACGGAGCTGGCTCTTTACAGCATCATCAGAGGAGACCTGGACAGGGCCAAGTACTACAACACCAGTCACTCCAGATGTTTCTTCAGGTATATACGGGATATGGCGCACAGTGTGCGTATACCGTGACGAAAATCTTTCCTTTTTTTTCTCTCTCTGTGAAAACTAGGAATAGGAAAATAGGGGATTCTTCCTCAGGAAAGAGAGGGGGAATTTGCTCAATCACCCACCCTTGCTCGACCTACGTACATGTTTCCCTATGCAAACGATTGCCTTGCACTTCCCTTATTAATAGGTGTTTGATTATGTTGGCTGATCTTTCTATATACATATAATTATAGTAATGTCTGTGTTGTTATAATATAGGACTGGTCCAGTTTGGATATGCTGCTGGTTAACAGCCGTTCCGCAAAACTACAAGAACTGCAGCTTCTCACAGAGATCCAGGAATTCATTCACTTCATGACCAACTCTGGTGCATACACATGTACATGTATGTTTATAGTACAAGCCAAGAGTTTCAAAATTGTAGCTTTAGAAGTGCCACGGGCCTTTCCGTTGGTGGAGTGGTCTATTTTCACTTACTCACTAGCCAACTTTGAGAGTGCCAGCCCAGTCAAAGGTCTGCTGTCCAAGTGGGAGACGAGATTCCCCACCCAAAACTGGACCCTCTTCCCGTCTGGGACGATATTGTCACCTCCAGGTGAACCCTACATCACTCTTTCCCAAGTCTTGCTCTGTTTCCGTATTTCCCGCCCCAAGTCAGTTATTGTTTTGTTCACGTATTTCTGTTGCTCCATTTTTTCCCTCCCTCGGTTATCCAACAGGTGCATGATGATGAGGAAGATGATGGAAAGGTTTCAAGACAGCCCTGCAGCTGCTGACGGGTAAAACCGATAGAGGATTACAAACCAGTTTGCATCATTACTAAAGTCAGCAACGGAATTAACACCCAAATGTCTAAGTTATAAGACCACAATGCGGCCAAGCTAACCTTTGTTTTTTGGCCTCTCTCTTAATGCTGAGATGTTTTGTGTGTGTTGGTTGCTGGATTTCCAACTATAGTTGAGACACAATAAGCCTTCCCACCTATTTTCTCTCTCTATGCCCATCTTTCCTCCACCGTCTCCCTCTTCCGGTCTTTCCCTCTGGTGTAAAGTGGTCTGGGTGACTCCATGGAGGTGGACGGAGGTGGAGTAAACTTACCCCTACTCCAGGAGAGGTTTTCTCGGGAGTACACCAAACTCTACATGAAGATGGCAGCTGTGGCGAGGCAGCAGTCCAACTACGCAGTGTGTCACAAGTACCTCAGTCTCACAGAGAAGGCCATTAAGGAGGTAAGGGTGCACCATATTCCTTATTACTATGACTGGAAATTATCGAATCGCCCAATATAATTATTATAACAAGCCAATGGTGAATTTTTTCTTCCAATACGTATGTAGTAATAGTCTGCAGTGAGAGGTGTTGTGTGTGGTGTGTGTGTGCAGTTCTTCCCAGGTGACTCGAAGCTGCAGCTGGACTGGCTGCGAAACGTGGCAGAGATGAGGATTCAGCAGGCAACCCAGGACCCATCTCCCACCAAGATAGAACCGCTGGTTGCTCTCCTTGACAAACTTGGTTAGAACCCGCCATTACACCTCGTATGCCTTTGAGTGACGCAAAATAATTTCACCACCATTTTTTCCGCAAGAGCTCTGAAGTTTACGTACACAACACACTTTCATTGTCTGTAGCTACGTCATTTGTTTCTTCAGAGGCAGCAGGGAAGGCATCCCTGGCAGGTAACCATTCGCTGGCAAGAAGGCACTACCTTTTGGAGGGCCGTGCTTTTGATGTGTTGGCAAAAGCCTTCAGTGACGATGGTACAGTTCAAAGCCTATGGTGTTTGGTGTTTTACTCCGATGTGAAATTCTTGTTCTTGTAGGGGAGAATATAGTCAATGTGCTGCAGGAGAGTCGAGTGGTTCAACTGAATAAGATGCTTGGACTACCGCCTTCAGCTTTACCTCCACACGACGAGGTAGATATTCGTGAAATTGCAGACTTAGTAGCCCGAGGGCTATAATGTTCCAAATACTTTGAGGTGGCCCAAAAGGCTTGGTTTTCATGATGAGTTCGTAGCTAGCGTCCAGATGTTACTTGCATGCACATTAATACATCTTTGCATCTCCTTAGCGAAGTTAGACATTACCTGTACATGTCCTTCCTGCCCAGGTGACCCGCAAACTGTTGCTGAAATCTCTGGGTGCGTTCAAGAGTGCCACGAAGGCGGGCACGTCTGAGATGAATGTGACGGAGAAGCCGGAGGGCATGGTGAAGGCACTCACAGAGATGGCTCTCTTCTGTGACAGAGCTCTCCAAGCCGAGGAGGACGGAGATGCCACGCCTCTCGATACTGAGGTTAGCTATAGCTGAATCCAGAGTGATTTTCTAAGTGGGGGTAAAGGCCCCTAAAACTAAGCCTCAATCACAGGTATCCTCAGTAGTTTCCTTCCAAATTGACGGAGATACACATGTAAGAAGGACTGTATGTTTTTGTGTGCCTGCTACTATAGCTAGCTACTACTCTTGTGTACGCATTCCCTATGGGTCTACCATGCTCATTACCCTGTGGGTATTTCTGTTGGTTGTTGCAGCAATTCCCTAGTGTGGTGGTGATGTACTCGCTCAAGGCCATGAAGTACGGGTGTCGAACAGCCGTCCAGCGGTTCCCTCGACTACTGCAGCTCCTAGAGCTCCACCCAGCCACCACCAGCGACTTCAAGAAGAAGGTTGGGACACCATACCACCATCTTTCTAGCTAGCTGAGTCGGTCTTTGGCTGGCTACCCACGTAAGATTGCCTATGTAGATTGGTCTGTCTGAGGGTTGTGGCTCAGTGCTTAATATACTTGGTTTCCATTCACTTGATCTGACTTCTCCTGTGCATAGTAGATGTACACAGTGCTCTATATGTATATGCGTGTGTTTGTCTGTGTGTGTGTGCAGTGTTGTGAGGTGCCTCAGTGGATGTTCATTGGCTGGATCAGTCAGATGTTGCCTCTAATGGACAAAGCAGAGGGAGAGGCCGTGGAAGGAATCCTACACTCCATTGCAGTGACCTACCCTCAGGTCAAGATTATACTGTCTCTTTCTCTCCCTATTTCCAAGTTGGACTCAAATGCACACTCGAGCATAAAACAGGCGCAATAGCCCCCCTTGCACACGGTTTCTCCACGCTCGGGTATGTTTGCACCAGAACGAGCTGCTTCACTGGGTTTCTCCACACACTCAGCGATTACTGCTGAGGGAATCCAGTGGCATTTGTTAGGAGTTGAACGTGGATGTTGTTTTTAACTGTGTCTACTGTAGGCCATTTGCTACCCATTCAAGATCAGCATGCACGACTTCAAGTGCGATGACAGTGCCGTGGGCAAGCAGAGGTTGGAATCTATCAACAGGTTAGTGGACGTGATTAATGGTTTGGATTAACTTACCGTTCAAGAGTTATATATAGCGAATATGCTATGGCTTACCCACGATTTCCACTGCGCACTTTAGCTGCAGTAAGGGTATTCAGGGCGTTTGGTTGGCCTGTCATTCCTCCCACTTACTTGCTAAAAGTACAAAAAGTTTAGGCCATCCTAAACGATTATTTTGCGTGAGGTAACCAGCATAGTTGGCTGTCCTTATCCTCACTTGCCTACGGAAAGTTAACTTAAGTGTCTTTCATTCACAAGTGATTAGTCTGCACCCACAACCCAGCACAAATACACATGCATGCGTGACAAGTTCTCACAGGGACAATTTTTCTAGACTCAAGGCCAGTTTGGACAGCAAACTTGTGGACGACTTTGTCGTGGCACTTGAGCAGCTGAACTCACCCGAACTGGCGTGGAAGGACATGCTGGAGATGGAGCTCCAGCCTCTGATGGAGCAGACGGCGGCGCGGAGGAGTGGGGAGCAGGTCAAGAAGATATGGAGACAGATTTACTCGCAGCTCCTGGACGGCAGGGCCTCCCAGAGCACCAGTAGTCAGAGCAGCTCTCTCTATGGGACGCAGTCCACCTTCTCCCTGCAGGCTGGCGAGAGGATAAAAAAATTTGCGAGGGTAAGTAGGCAGCAAGATTTATTATGCTCTTCCCACATAATGTTGAGGTCGCAGTCTACCTTCAAAAAAAAGAAAACATTTTTCCTCCCGTACGGTATTTTGTATGATTGCGATGCATCCAGGACCACTTGAAGAAGATTGAAAAGGGGTTTGGAGGGAAGGACGGAGACAAGCTGGTCAAGATGGCACCCAAGACGTTTGCCGTGGCCTGCAAAGAGCTGTTTGATGGGATGAGACCGATGCTCAACAAGTCCTCGGGGCCCGGACTCCTCAAAGAGTATTCGCCCTGGCTCCACAATTTTCATGCCAGTAGCTCTGATCTTTACACCGACACCATTGAGGTCCCAGGTAACCAGAGTGCAGCACTTGTAGTGCAGTTCATGTATATTTGTTGGCCGACTTACTGTTATTTTCTTACTCCGATGTCCACCATCAAGACTTGCTCACGCTCATAAAATGCGCTGAATGCTTCAGTTATGCTACTGTACGTGTGTACATATAGGTCAGTACACTGGTCATTCTGAGCCACTTCCCGAGCACCACGTCAAGATTGCTGGATTTGATGAGAAGGTGACCACTATTGACGGATGTACTAAGTCATACATAGATGCTATGTACATATGCACTCGGTGTGGTACGTGGGTTTATGTTAACATCACCTCCAGATTCTGTTAATTAATAGCAAAGTGGACTGCGAGACTTTGTGTCAACAAAGACTTACCATCTGGTGCGTAGGTGTTGGTGATGAGTTCCATGAGAAAACCCAAGAGACTCACAATTCGAGGAGGCGACGAGAGAGACTACATGTTCCTGGTGAAGGCTGGGGAGGACCTCAGACTAGACCAGAGGATTGAGGAAGTACGTACGTAGCACAGATTAACCCTCAGAAAGTTTTAGAATCTATGCTCATTGTAAAAAAAAAGGGTATTCCCAAACTTCAGTTTTACATGCATAGTTCGGATACTTATGACAATTAATTTGCGGATATCATTCGATTTTTATACATAACTTGAGAAGTTTGTTGAAGACTGCCTGTTGCTTTGTGTGCAGTTGTTTGGTGTGATGAACGGTATACTGATGGAGGACCCTGCCTGCTCCCAGAGGGGACTCCATCTCACTACCTACAAAGTCATCCCCATGACTTCCAGGTTATTTTTACTGGCTGCATGCATAATGAAAAGCACTGAAGTGCAAACCCTCGGCGCATTGTGACGCGCACGCGTAAGTAAACGCATGCGCTGTACAATTAATTGATGGGCTGGGTTTAGTTTTAGCTGTTACTCGTGGTCTCTTGCAGGCTCGCGCAGAGTCTGACGCGGGCTAACTACACTACTAGAGAGGCGATACACGCCCTGCGTTGCATCTTCTGGTGCCTCCGAGGTACGCAGAGCACGCGGATCGATCAGACTGCGGTAAGCCTTCCCGTCCGTTGCGTATTTGCATATTGGATTTTTCGCGCTCTAGCTTTGCAACGGAGCATTTTCAGAGAAAACCGCCTTTATTTTCTGACCTTCGTCGCCCGTTGGGTAGATGGTATCGTTTCTGGGATGAACAGACGTTCGAGGAGTGAGATATAGAGTAACAGACAGACACACAGGACAACTACAGTACCCTCGCTGCGCATGCGCGCCGAGGGTAATAACTGGCAGGTTCAAATCTGCAAAAAAAGTTGGTGTTTGCAAAAAATTTTTTTTATGTCCCCACTTTTTAAGGATTATGTGTATATTCCCAATGCAGGGTTGGTATGATAGAATGGGTTCAGAACACAAAGCCACTCAAGGACTTTGTCCAGTCGGCCCTCAGTGATGAGGAGAGGAAAAACTATGGGTGAGTATAATATTATAGCTACCACGCCATTGGCTCTCAGACTTTCCTGACGTCATTGATCTCATATTCACAGGAGACCAGCAGCCATGCAGGTCGAATGGCTGCAAAAGAAGTATAGCAACAACTACAAAGTGATGTACAAGTAAGGTTCCGTACGCCCTTTGCTATCCATTTGCTGTTAATTCAATGGGGTCATCATTATCAGAAAAGCCCCCAGAAGTGAGGTTGAGAAAAAGTACAGAGAAAAGGTTCAAGCTCTTCCGTGGGACATGCTACGGTCTGTAGAACTTTGATAAACCAGAATTTATAGTGCGAGCTTGGTTTTTTTCTTTTTTCAGTCAGGGGTTTTTCAAGCTGTCGTCTTCACCCGAGGCTTTCCTAATTCTCCGCTCGCACTTTGTCCTCACGTACGCCACTCTCAGTATATGCCACTATGTGCTGGGTATAGGAGATCGCCACCTCTCAAACTTCATGGTGGACCTCGAGAGCGGGGCTGCCGTTGGGATCGACTTTGGTCACGCTTTTGGAACTGCTACACAAGTCAGACACACATACACACACTGACTTTTTTTAAACACTTTCATAAAGCCTTGTTCACAATGCCTGTGTAATGTTGTAAACCTGTGTTCTGCACCTAGCAAAGTCTATATTTTGCTGAGATATTGAGTGATTTCGATGTTCAAAAGCCTCTTGCACACTGAACCACAGTGGTAGCTACCATACGTTACGCAAACAAAGCCTTCTTCCATTGCTGCAGCTTCTGCCATACCCGGAGCTGATGCCGTTCAGACTGACCCCGCAGATGACCAGCCTCATCAGACCTCACTCGGAGAAAGGACAGCTGCGTAGCTGCATGACCCACGTCCTCCGTGCGCTTCGCAACAACCCGGAACTTCTCCTGGCAACCATGGACATCTTTGTAAAAGAACCTCTTCTGGACTGGCGAGTAAGAGACAGTAACCCTAGCCACCCAATTCCAAACATTACGCCTGAAAAGTTTAGCATTCATCGGTGGTATATAGAGAGCTTTACTACTTTAATGCTACTTTCAGGCAAATGCTAAGAAGCAATGTAGAGCACTGAAGATGGACGGTAAGTATATAATGCTGCGTTGGTACGTATGTAATGATGGTGGATGTATGGATATGTAGTGCCTAAAGAAGAGTCCTGGTATCCAAAGGAAAAGCTGAAACAAGCAGAGAAAAAGCTACTGGGATACAACCCCGCATATGTCATGAGGTAAATCCTGCATTTGCCACTCAATAGTTATAGCTACTGAACTTTAAAACTGCTATATATATGTATAATCTGCAAAATATCATTCTGTTTGTCTTCCGGCAACTTCTAGAGAGGATCTAAGGAGTGGGCATCGTAACACACCCGAGTACTCTTCTCTGGAACAGATTCTGATGGGAGACCCCAAGTCGCACGTCCGAGCGAGTGTTGGAGAGCGATGCTCGAGTGTCGAGGAGCAGGTGGCGTGTCTCATCTGCCACGCAACCGACCCAAATATCCTGGGAAGAACCTGGGCCGGCTGGGAACCTTGGGCCTAGCTGCAGACTCAACATACACCAGATGAACATACATGCAATCTATATCTATTAAACCCCATATATAACATTTTGCGCCTTCAGAACATCTACAATCTTGTTTTCATTATCCGCCCATAATTTTGTGCAAAGCCTAATCCTGCAGGAAATGTTTAATAACAGTTTTATGAATATGCTATGGGAAGTCTTAAGTGATAATAGATAGTCTTAGTACCCACAGCGTGAAACGACAGTTTTATGCATGAATATGCTATGGGAAGTCCTTATGTAAGAAGTGATAGTCTCAGTACCCCACGGGCACTCCATCTCCTCTTCCGTCACTCCCTGCCCACCACACGTTAACCCTTTCCCTCCCACCACTGCCACCGCCCACAGGTCTAGAACACACAATCTGTCCTCTGCCAAACAAGACTCGCTCGAAGCCTCTGACTGGACCCACAACACGGTGCCCCAGTTCCCTCAGCTCTCTAATGGAGTCGAGCGGTATCCCCTCCTCAATGTGGATGGAGCTGTCTGTACTGTCCGGCCTGATGCAGAACCGCGCCGAGTCCAGTGCAGACTGTGGGTCCATTCCGTGGTCTATCATGTTGAGCAGAACCTGAGGCATTGCGTATGTGGGAGCAAAAACACAAATGGGTGTAATACTAACTTATAGACTTCCAACTTACAGATTTCCGCTTGCTAGCAAATTTTTCTGAGACATTGAGAATGTGTGGAATAAAAGTGGGTGGAATACTAAATTCTACATATTTATCACATTCTGTCGAAGGAGCCCCTGCTTTGTAACAAAAAGAGAGAAAAAACGTGGTGCAAAGCATTTACAGCACTCTGCAAAAACAGAGCCTGATCTTTCATACTTCTCCCATTTCTCTCGTGCACTGCATTCTATATACCTGCACATGACCCTGTGGCTGCATGAACCCTCCCATCACACCAAAGCTGGCGTAGAGCTCTCCGGACTCGGAGTGGGTGGCCATTCCTGGGATGATGGTGTGATAGGGTCTCTTACCAGGGGCCAGGCAGTTCGGATGAACGGAGTCCAGCGAGAAATTGGCCCCTCGATTCTAGTGGGGAAATTATAAAGACTGTGTGCAACGTTTACACAGTACTGTTTTTTACTACTACTAACACAAGTTTGCATACACCAATGAAAAGTGAGAGCTACACATCCGTATACTTGAAGAGTGAAGCCACAGCCCTTTGGTACGAGGGCAGTGCCAAAGCCCATGTAGTTGCTGTTGATGAAGGAGCAGGCGTTTCCATGGTCGTCTGTCACACTGAAGTAGACGGTGTCACTGTGGCTGGATGGCTGGCCTCTCTCACATACTGGTAGGCACCTGACAGATTCGGAAGAAATACTACAGACTTGTTTGCATACTCCATGGACTCCCTTGTAGCAATGTTAATGCAAGATATTATATTGCAAAAGCTCATGCATGAGGTGTGGTTTCGTTCATATTCGAGTGTTATAGGAACAGTGGAACTTTAGTGGCGAAAATAGTGAGCACAATATTATTGTCCACGTAACCATTATACAGGGTGCTACGTACATGCTTGCTTCACAGAAATGCGGTGAATTCAAAGATACTGTATATATATACTTTTTGGGGTCCATGAGTGATCTCCTCTGAGCAGCATAGGCCTTGTCAAGCAGACCTCTGGTCGGCACAGTGGTAAGAGCTGGGTCAGAGCAGTACCACCGAGTGTCAGCAAAACTCAGTTGCAGGGCCTCTATGAGGGCGTGCAGGTACTCTCCACTGTTGTGGGTCATGCCTATAGTTAGTGAGAGAGAGAGAACACCAGAGGATTCAATACGACCTATGGGATCATAATGCTTGTGATGGTTAACAATGCAATAGGACACATTGCCCTGCTTGGTAAAATCGAACTGTGACAATATTAATCACTGGATATGTCAAATCCCTCCAGAATGTTGAGTGCCAGCAGTGCAGTGATGCCCTGTCCATTGGGCGGCATTTCCCACACATCAATTCCCCGGTAGCAGGTCCGTATTGGCTGGTCAAAGGTGGACGTGTGACCCTCGAGATCAGCCAGTGTCATTACTCCTCCGCGTGACTGTACACACTCTACAATGGATTCCGCCACTCTGCCTCTGTAGAACCCAGCCTTCCCATGCTCCGCTAGTGCCTAAGAAACACAGTAGAGATAAAAGATTCATGTCTGATCTACTGCTAGTCTTGTGGGCCAGCCATATTTTCCTTGCGCTTTCCATACTCACATTTGGCGTGTGTATCGAGTCGTTTACCTTTGCAACCTCGTTGCTGTTTACATGAAAACTGGTTCATAGGACTTAATAGGACTTAACCAGCTATTTGCAAAGGGACCACCAACAACAATGCTGAGAAAAGAGGTGCATTGTATAGGGAATGACTGACTGACTCTGAAGGTGTTGGCGAGATGTGGCATCTTCATTATCTCCCCAGCTCTGGGAGCCCGCCCTCCCAGGAGGAGGTCCCTCCCGTGAGTGTTGGGCGGAGACTGGAGGTCACATGACCCTCTCTCCCACAGCTGTGATGTCACGGGTGCCACGGGGAATCCTTCCTCTGCCAGCTGAATGGCTGGCTCCAGAATCTCCTCTAGAGATAACTGCAGGGAAACACAAGCGACATGTCAGAATCCGCAGCCCAATAATGCTAAGCAGATAATGTCAGGATGGTCTGTAACATATCTTCTTTCTCCTTTGATGGGAAAATGTCAGAATGGAAGCATCATCCATGCAAAATGCTATGATTTAGCGAGATGCTTGGTATATACAGACCTTCCCAGACCCCATGGTACTGACGGTGTCAACCCAGCCAGCAGCAGCTCCTGGTACTGTGACATTATGGACATGTCTCACAGGCAGTGGGCTCTCGACCGAGTAGCCCTGCGAGGCCAGCATTTCCAGAGACGTTTTCTTGGGAGCTCGTCCACTGTGTAGAAAATTACGTACGTACTGAGCTATAGCTAGCTAGCTAGTGCAGTAAAATTTATACTTCCACGACTTTGCAGCGGCGTGAGAGGGTGCAATATCTTACCTGCCGTTGATTCCCCGAACGGATCTCGTCGCGGCATCGTAGAAGAGACAGAAGCAGTCTCCGCCAAGGCCCGTTGAGCACGGCTGAGTTACGTTCAGCGCTGCTGCTACGGCCACTGCCGCGTCGGCCGCGTTCCCGCCTCTCTTCAGTACGGAGATCCCGGCGTCTGCCGCCAGGGGCTGGTTGCACGCCACGCAGCCGTACCTGCACAACACAGGGGAACGTCTCGAAGTGGACATGAGATAGTGGTGGTGCATGGTGCGGTGGTGCTTGTCCAATGAAGGCGTGGCTGGTGATTTGTGCGCATGCGCATTAACGCACGTGTATCCTGAGCTAGATGGCCTCTGGTTTGCCTCTTGCGCGGCAGTTTCCGGCGCTGTCGAGATGGAGAAATGTTTTTCTGCCATTCCCTGCACTACTTGTGAGACATCTATCCAGGTACAGCATTGATCAAACTGCCGTCAGACGGTTTTTGTTTCCATATTGCTGTAGTGGTGGTGAGGCTCTAAGTTCAAATCTTAGCCAGCAAGTCGTGGGAAGTGACCGGACTATCATCTGCTACCATCCGCCAACAAGTACCCCCCACCAGAACACAAAGGTTTGAATTTAGCCTGCACCTGACACAAACCAAGATTCCTCCCTCTCTCCCTCAGCCACTCAGAAGACGAAAAGTTTGGGAGAACAGTTCCTTGACAGATGGAGAGGTGCTGGCCCTTTTTCGTTCCCTCCCTATCTTTATCTCTGCTCTTCCCCTCTCTGTCCAGGTCACACTAGTTAGAAGACTGAGACAGGAGGATGGCTCTATTTGGAGTGTGGCCACCCTCTCCCGACTCTTCAAAGTCAGCCCAGCCCTCATCAGGTGTGGAGGTTGCACATACCACTCCCTCTGAGTGGTTTCGTGTCTCTCGCAACATGCAATTGCAGCACATTAGTGCTTTCTATATGACTGTGTGTGTTATGTCTGATCTATGTCTGGTTGGAATAGTCTGCCCTCCTATATAGCATGTAGAGTAGTAGCCTCTCTACACTGCAGCCGTGTGGCTCCGCCCAGTGAGGAGAGAATGAGAGAGCTGGACGAAGAGAAGGAGATGCTCAGGAACATGAGACGGCACAAGAGAAAGCTCTTCCTCCTCCAGAGACAAGCTGTGAGCTGCCACCAACTCGTGCACAACTGTAGCTATTTATAGTAGCAGTGATGACATCAGCTTAGGACACCTTCTGACCCACTGATGACCTACTGTCTGAGCTACTCAACCGAACACATTCTCACTCACACACACATGCACATCTATGCCTCTGCATCACTAATTGAGGGGGAAACCCTTTGTTGTGGTTGCAAATTAGCTGATAAATCTTTCACGGATTGCGGTCTGTAATACCACTTACAAGATTACATATATAGGTGGCTTGTAAAGTGCAAAAGTTTCTCCCTGCAAGGTTTCATGACTTTTGTTACACAGACCAGACAGAAGAGACTAAAAGAACTGTTGGCAACTAACAGTTTCCCCCCACAACAGAACCCTCACAATAACTCTTAGCTGTATTGTCACTTATCAAGACTCTGTATATTATTACTATTGTTGCATAGACCACACTAAGTTATGTATATAGCGAAGTTTCACACTTAAAAGGCGGGAGCACACGGCAGTAGATGTGCCACCCACCAAGTCACATGTACACGGCTGGACGTGGTGCTGGTATCAGCGTAGTCTGACGGTTGGGCGTGGCCTAAACACACTGTCATCGACTGCGTGCTCTTCCTCGGTCAATGATGGGCTGCAGAGTGTTTTGGGCAAAAGGGACGAGTATCTTCAGTACACACAATCAGTTTGCACAAAGCTATAATGTAGTGGGGAACTTCCTCTGATTTGGGCACTAATAGGGCAGAGGAACCTGTGTTTTCTAAAGAGGTGTGCTGTATCAGCTGTCAAAGGGACAAACAAAGGTGTCCTTATTATGGGTGTCCTTTTAGAAGGGGTTTCAAACGAAAGGGTGGGAAAAGGAGATGCATATTCATGACACAGGTGTCTTCATTTCCCATAGAAAGAGGTCCCAAGATGTGTAATGTAGACATACAGTGGCTTGTTGCGATGCCTAGACTTCCCGGTCTCCCCGATGTGAGGGTAGCGTCTGTGAGCGATGTAGGACATGAAGATGAAGAAAGCCACCACCACCAATGACACGATGGGCAGAGTCACAGCCACTGAAATGAACAAACATGTACAACATTTATCACTTAACAAGCCACGGACACAGTTTTGCATAAAGTTCGTGTAACAATAAATTTACAACCCCACAAAGTCTCCTGGATGAATTGTGTAAAACTCACATGTAATCCTTGACGTGTTTCTCTCCTCTTCTTCCAACTCCACCTCCCTCTCCTGCTCCTCGGCCACGTGGAGGATCTCTTCCAGCTCGCCAAACAGACACTCGGTCCCGTGACTTCCGTGGAACAGCTCAGTGTGGGGGAGACATTCGGTACACTCCCCCTCCCCGCCCTCCTCGTGACACTCTGCACAGAACCTTATCCCACAGGCTACAGGAATTTGTATATATCACACACTTGAACTGGTGGAGATTACACGAAAGGCACATCTACCAACTTCTTAGGCAGGGATCCGAACTAAGTATGACATCTATGAAAGGTTTAACTGACATACATTTCTCCCTCTAAAGTCTCTAGGCATTTAGTCAACTTGGAGGTTGCTGGATGTATATTATACTATTGTACCTCAATGCGTGGGGTAGTTAGCCACAGATCAATCAGTATGAAATAGTGTGCGCAGGGCAACTCACGATAGCAAATGCTAGAGTCCCCTTCGCTAGTTTCATAGTGGTCCGGACATTCACTAGCACAATCTGAGTGCTTCTTAATAACCTCCTCAATTGCCACGTCAATATGCTCCTCCTCTGTCAACTGTTCTATTTCACCTATTGTCAGAAACACATGTCAACACCGAGGTCAAAGGCAAGCAAAGGCAAACAAATCAACTACACCCAGGACAACTCTTTTTTCCAAGGAAAAAAAGAAGAGCCTGGGTGGGATTCGAACCCACGACACTCTGCAGTCTAGGCGAGCGAACACGACAGGCAGGAAGGAAAACTGGAGACATGTTTGTCAGCCTGAGAGTAATTCTGTTTGTGCCACAAGAGAGGAAATCCTAGCATGCATGCACATTACCCATAGTATAGAGTATTACACAACACAGAGCAATGGTCACTCACGTATTAACTCATCATCAGTCTCATACACACGTCTTGTACAATCTGGAGATAGAGAGAGATAACTCAACGGGGTATTATAGGTAGCACACTAATTATGCCTACCGCAGGTATCAGAGGTATCGTAGCACCGATCACAGTTTTCTGCACAAGCTGGAGAAAGGAGAGGGGGTGGGTTAACCATAAAGGTGAACTTCTGATTTATGTGCTAGACTCACGAACGAGGCAGGCGTCCTCTGCAGTCGACTCTGGCCCCGCACACTCTAGACACGACTCGTTTCTGTCTTTACTGAACTCTCTCTCGGACTCCAGAACGAAGAGCATGTCTTCCTGGCACGTGAACCTCAGGACTTGCTCGCCAGCGGCGCTGGACACGTTCCCGGACACTATTGCCGTCTCCAGTTCCTTGTCCTGACCGAATGACATGCAGTTGATGTAGACGGAGACCGTCGACTCGGTGGCGCCAGTCTCTTCGAACTTGAGAGCGAACGCATTTCTGAACAGTGTCTCGTACTCGGACAGTTGTGATCTGTAACAATCACTGGTTGTTTCAGAATTCTCTCCAGCTTCGTCTGCCGCCTCAGATCCCCACAGAACCAAGCCCCAACAGACCAGCAGTAGCGTTATATGTCTCGATCTAAGCATATTTCGTTTTTTTTCCTCGACTAGGGCTAGGGAGTTAGGGCTTTTCCGCTCTTCAATCGCAGAGCCACCGCGCCCCCGACTTACTAACGAGTCGATTACGCGCATGCGCGGAAACGTGCGAACGCAAATGGCGTCCGGAAAAAAGGCTCTGCTGATCCTGGCTCCTGGGGCGGAGGAGATGGAGACGGTCATCACGGCCGACGTCTTACGGAGAGCCAAGGTTGAGGTGATCATAGCCGGCCTGGACTCGGCCGAGCCCGTGGAATGCAGCCGCGGGGTCAAGATTCTCCCAGATTCCTCGCTGGATTCGGCCGCCGAGCGGGGCCCGTACGACTTGGTCGTTCTACCGGGGGGCTTGGGGGGCGCAAAAAGACTCTCCGAGTCTCCCAAAGTGAAGCAGATTCTGCAGGCGCAGGAGAGCGGTGGGCAGTATATAGCAGCTGTGTGCGCGGGGCCGACCGCTCTTCTGGCCCACGGGATCGGTAAAGGGAAGCAGGTTACCTCTCACCCGGTCGTGAGGGAGAAGATGGAGGAAAGCTACAGTTACACGGAGGCCCGCGTGAGCAGGGACGGGACCCTTATCACCAGTCAAGGACCGGGGACCTGCTTCGAGTTCGCTCTCGTCCTCGTGACTGCACTGCTCGGCGAGGAGACGGCCAAGGACGTAGCTAAACCTATGATCCTTCCCGAGATCCTGCCTTGAACTTTGTGCCGCTGGCGTCAAAAAACCAATTTTAGCGTAATTATTATGAATATCATCAGCTGTGAAATCGTCTTACGTCAGCGTGTTTTGTTAGGGAAAACCCCGGACACCTTAGCCGGTGACTGAAAGCAGGATCGAAGATTCGGATCTGTTTGGCACGAAATTGTCCTCTCCCGAGACCTTTTACAGTATGGCCAAACTCCCTATGTTGTTTCTACTGCCTGTCTTGGCCGCTACGACAGGTGTGGTAATAGTAGAAAAGAGGGTGGGGCTGGCTTAGCTCTAATAGTTATCGTTTTACGCCTTCTCACTCTTCAGGTACTGCTCTATGGCCCCACGTCTGGAGCGACTGCCTTGTGGTTGTCAGTAATGCTACTGATGGAATTGGAATAAAGGTCGCCTGTGACAGGGATAGCGTCGTACACCAGCGGAATTTCGCCGGCTATTTTCTCTCCCCCCTCAACACGAACGAGATTTGGGTGGAAAACATGACGACTGGCAACGATTCCGTACGCTACGCCCTTCTATTGCCCCTGGCGCGAGAGATCGGAGTGCTGGAGGTCCAGTACAGCGGAGCCACAGGAGAATGGGCCACTCAACTTTGGCCCATGGAAATGGACGGTGTTGAGGGGTCATGTCAGACCCTATTCATCCATAGATTCAAGAACGCTCTATACTCGGTGTGTATCTTCAAAACGGGTCCTGACTCTAGCTCACTGCAACTGTACGAGATAACGCTCAACACGAGTGCCCTTGAAAAATCGTCAGTGAGTTTTGAAAATTTCGCTACGTTGAATGGGGAAAGATTCACAAACGTCGTATATGCTCAACGTGAACAAAACGACCAACGCTTCTTTGTCATAATTGATGGTAATGTCGCACACATTGATCCTTCAGAACACAAACGGCCCCTGTATTCCTTGGGCTATGAAGAATGCACCAATGTTACGTTTCTTCAATACGTAGTTCTTCCTTCTGACCTACTAGTCCATCTTTCTTGCTGTACAGAGGATCAAACCTGCTCACGTCGTGGAATATACTACAATACCTACGAAGAGAAATCCTTCAAACTAAGCGAAGGATTACCTTATCGTTGTCCAGACTTTGAGACGGAGGTGGTTATTCGTGAGTCAACCAACCAGTTTCATGTCAGGGGAATGAACTATGAACTGGAGGGAGACGGCTTTCGTCATGGACTCTGCTCTGGCAGCTCGAGCAATCTTTGGTTTGCCTATCAAGACGACACTGGGAAGATTTTTGTCATAGACCTCTCTCCCTCTACCACACCCGTACCTCACAGGGTGTCTGAACATGGCTGTATGCAGGGCCCAAGCTGTAGTCCCATTAGAAACGTCAGCGACATTCTTGTGATCCAGGAGTTTCACCAGGACAGCCAGCTAATACTTGCCAAAGGAATACACCCTTTTACACGCAACTCAGTTGTATTTGAACTCTACAGTCCACAACCAAATTTATTTGCTCTCTTAAACGCTCCTTCCTTGCTACCAGCAACCACAGCAGTACCAAACACCGTGATTATAGGGACTACAAACTCACCTTATCCTACACCAACACGAGAGACGAATATTACTACGGTTGTTGCAGTTGTCGTTCCTTTAGTAGTCTTGACTTTAGTAGTGACTATCCTGTTGGTCCTTGCTATCGTCGTGATAAGGAGGCACACACACAAAGCTAATGGGGATGAGAATGGTCAGGATGGTTTTGCACCAGTCCCAGTGGCATGTCAAGATGGCAGAATTGCACTCGTTCATCAAGAAGCTCAGGTTGATTGTCCAGAAGCAGGGCAAATTGGTGGGGAAGGTGACATTGTAGCTGCTGCCCAGCCTGAAGATACTGGTGGTGCCTGTGTGGATGTTGTCCATGGAAAGAGCAAAGTGACTAACCCCACACTTATTGACAAACGTACAGTTTTTGAAAACCTTCGTGACCGTCAGAGGACTGAAGACAGAAGAAATGATTGTCGTGAAAAAGGCAATTATATTGATGAAAAACAAGCACAGCTCCAAAACTAATGAACTTCTTTATCTTTATTTAGGATATAAAACGGCACATTCTGATAGGTGCAACCTATTCTCGCATGCGCACTATTAAATAGTTTTGTTTGTTCACAAACTAAGCTATATAACTACATGTTCCTCAACTTGTGTTCCATGTCATTAAAATCTTGTTCACGTTCGGTCCGCTCATCGTAGTTGTCTCGGACCTCCCCAGGCGTGAACCTTGTTCTGTCCGCCGTATTTCTGGTGGCGACCATGACCATCTGCTCTCCTTGATCATCAGCTTCACTGGGAGAGACAACTACTGCATCTCCAACATCCTCTCCAATAGAAAGAACTGGAATAGCTGAAGATGCCCCTGACACACCAGAAGCAGAATCAACTTCACCCTCTCTGCTAGCACCAGCAGTGACATCACTTTCCCTGGACATACACCATAAGAGAAAGGAAGCATTATGTAAACCAGATCCGGTGAACTGTTTTGTTAGGCAGGAGTGTGCAACACCATGCTGTTTTTGGTGCACCACACTCTTGCTGAAGCATGATCTCATAATATTATGATTAGCCACAACTTCCTGTGCACTATCTTATGCTCACCCAGTGCTAGAAGAGGATGATGAAGAAGAACGCTTGGATTTTTGAAACCTGCGCACAGAAACAAAGAGTTTAATTAACCCACAGCTAGCTACCAATAACTCAACTTACCAGACAAATGCCACAATAGAGAGAATGACTAACGCTGCTGCTAATACCACTGTTACAATAACCCCAATACTGACACCAATTAATGTTCCACTGTCTGTTGCAGCAGCGAGATTGTTCCCTTGGTCTGGGGTGGCAATAGACGGTTCATCAGGAGATGTGACGTCTGGTCCAGTGGCAGAACCACCAGACGGTGTCAGTGGGGTTGAAGACGCAGAGGGGATATCCCTTTTATTACAGGGAGGACATTGTTGGGTGGTGCCACTAGCCGCAAGAGTAACTCTGGCAGGAGGACTGTTGTAGTGCACACGAGACACTGCAGGACTACTGGGACATGCGAGGTTCAACACAAGGTAATCATTGGTTGAATAGTCAAAGACACCCACAACCAGGCCACTCTCTGTATGGAGGACACTGAGTTCAAGGCAAGAGTGTGGGCCACAGGTGTCTGAAGCAAGGAAATGAAGTTTGCCAGTCGAGAGGTCCAGGAAGTAGGTCTCACCATTGCTGCGTGCTAGGAACAAAACCGGGCTCTGGCCACCCACACACTTTCCAGTAGTAGTGTCATTGAAAGGAAGGATACTCACGCTTTCTGAATCGTCTTCCGCATCACTACCGTACACACTAACAGTCAGATTTCCCTCAAAGTGACGAATGTTCAAGTTAGCCTCCTGGCACTGGAAAACAGAGGCATTCACAGTCAGGTCAAGTCTTTCGACCACATCCCCCGAGTTGCACGGATCGTACAACACAGTGTCAGTAGGAGAGCACTGAAATTGAACGTGACCAGGCTCGAAAAACCGGAAATCTGCCACAAGAGGGCAATTATCAATCTCCGCATGATGGAAACTTGCTTCACCGTTAACAAAGACTCTGAACACATACACCTTGTGGCCCACCTTAAAAAAGGCATTATGCTCTGGGGAACATCCTTTGATATTTTCTCCATACAGTACACGGGATATGTCCCCATCAACATTGACGTACTCCCCAGACACAAGTTCATCGGCCCTTAGAGTGGAATCCTCTAATGTCTCAAAGTAGAGAAAGGGATTGTCGGTTGCGGTGGTATCAAGGCAAGGAACTAGGTTCTCTACTGGTGCCTCAGGCCCTCCTTTGAACACTACTAAAGGAACACACGAAGCAGTGGCAGGTGGTATGAACTTTGTGTCTTTCACCCGAAGACCTTCGGGACTATCCACTCTTTCAAACTGGGTGAGTGTTAGGAAATTTTCCGTGCCGTTGACTCTCACAGGGAACTGGCAGAGAGGCCCTTTGTCATAGTGGCCTGGCCTGCAGACGAGAGGACATCTGCTGAGGTCGGGACCGCACTCTGGTTGGGCTACAGTGGCTCCTGGTAGCTCAGTGACCACCGTGCTCTCCACTGTGTCTTCGGTGACGAGTGCTAGAGAAATTCTGAGGCCATTTGTATCCTGGACTTCTTCTACCGCCACAACAGAAACAACATCACAGCCTATGGGGTTAGTAGCATGAATGATTGATTTGGCCCCATGGACAAAGTCGTAGCTTCTGACTAACCTTTGATATCGCTAGCCTGACACTCTCCCCGGTTCAGTTGGTACAGATACAAGATCAGCCAAAAGAAGACGTGGTTTTTGGGTTCTTCCATTTATAGCTACTCGCCCTTCCACACCGATCACGGATCACTTCATCATCAACGAACTCGGGGTCGAAACAGCTAAAGCTACACAAAGGTCTGGGGGTTGCTGAGCTGGCTTTCCCCAGGGTTTCCCCAGGGTTTTCCCCTAACATGATGCAAGCTGACTTCTGACCTGACGTCATAACCACAAATATTATCATGACAGCAAGGTACAGAGAGAGAAAATACTACCCTAGCAACGAGTTGACATGTGGCTAAGCACCTCTTTAGCTACCAGCATCATTAGGGGATGACTCATTGTCACTGCCCTTCACAGCACCACTGCGGATGGTCTGCTGCATACTGAAAATGTGTGTAGAGTGCATGAAGCAACATCTTATAGCTACTGGGTCTTAATACACTCACCTTGAAGCACTCCTGGGCTGGGGTTGAGGCGGATCTTCAGTGGATAGTGCAAAGGTTGATTTTAAGTTTGACACACAACTACGTAAACAGCACTAACCTCTTTCCTGGATAGCTTGACCTTCCTCATCAATTGCTTAGTGGATGTAATGCCCTCCTTCCCCTGTTGTGTAACACAAATGCATGTCTTGCAATGCATACACACTCATCTTCTTACCTCCGCTGTTTAAGCCAGAGCACAAATAAGGCTACTAAGATGAAGGCTAACAGCTGCAGCTGGTATTACAGCAAAAAATCCAAATAGCTTGCTGTGATCGTTGGAGTTGTCTGAACTGAGCACTTGTGTTTTCTCCTGTTGTCAGACCATTTTCAGGTAATGCAGTTACTGTTGATGCTGATGATGGTATATCATGTGCTATAACTGCCATCATGTCGGCTTGACTATGTGGGGCCTCGAGAATAACTGAGAAGTTATCATGGGAGTCAAAGAGTGATATATGCCAGTCTCCCTGCCTCTTTTCCCTGAGGACCAGGTAGCGGTCTTCCAGTACCACCAGAGGGAGACAGCGAGTTGATGCATGCGGAGTCTGAGAGAGACGTGATGGAGCTTCTGAGGCGTTTGTATTCAGCAGTCGTGTGCCCGTTTCCCTGTCGGTAAAGACAAAGAGAGTTGCGTCCGGTGAGCCAAGGCAGACACCATTGTCATAGCTACTCAAAGGAGCGTCAAATTTCTTCGCAGCAAGTGTACTACGATTCGCATACTGGATGAAGCCAGCTTCGGGTAAAACCCCAAGATAGACATCGCGATCAGGGCATATGTATGGTCGACCTTCCTCGGCATAATCAGTCTCGTACCATATGTACTCATGCTTTATGTCCACATACATTGCCCTGCTATCATTGCAGTACACTATCATCTCCCAGTCTCCCGTGTAGCCAAGCTCTTTTGCCACACACCCGCGATTCTCAAGACCAATGTCGACTCTCCCCACTATAAAGTCATAGGGTATGATGTAAAAGAGTGTGTAGCCTGCAGCAAGGTATATGTAATGCCCGGTTTTGAGTGGGAGGTCTACATGAAGAAAGTTAGTCACATTTTGCACCTGAAGGTGGGGGTAATCCAGCTCAGGTATGAGAGACTCTGCAATGTTCTCCGTGTCTAGATTCAGTTTTAGGAGCGTGACGAATCCCAGCGAAGTGTTGGAGCACACCACGTAGTAATCGCCACGTTCGATCCTAATAATCTGGCCCGGGCTACAGTTTCGTTCCGTCAAATCGATGAAGTGCACTTTGCTGTCGCTCAAATGGCCCACGCTGAATTTCAGAAGCACCAACGCCATATCTAGCGGCATAATTGCTATAAACGCCTCCCCATCGTCTCGGCTGGCGGTCGGAGCTGTTGCGAAATCCGCAGCGGCGACTACCGTCATTTGGCTGCACCTGCGAAAACTGTCGCCGCACTCCGGTGACAGGTAGCGACCTGTGATCTCCCTTTGTTCGTAGTCGGAGAACTGCCGCTGGTCTGCATCGTAAAACAGTTGCACTTCTACTCCTTTGGAGCCGTTACGTGCCGTCACAAGCAAATCTGTCGACGACAGTGCATTCCCTGCTCCAAAACAGAAACAGTATTCATTACCAAAATTGCCAGCCTAGCTAGTAAACCAACATACCGCCGTCTCCTATTAGGAAGAGAAAAACTAGCCCTATAAGTTGTCTGGATGGAGGCATGTTAGATGGACACATCTCGTCAACGTCGTCTCGTCGAATAATACACACCAAGTCGCCTAGACTGCGCAGTTTTGGGGTCAAAGGGGGAATACCCAGGTTTTCCCCCCGCAAGATAATACGTGTATATACCGCAGTTTCCGCTCAGCGGAGAGAAATTTCTTATGAACTCAACAGTGGCTTGACATCTGAATTAGTGTCTAAATTGTTAGGGACCATTTCTTGAGTGCCTCCATCTCGCTCTGTTCCACTCTCCTGCACTCCTGGCATTGACATAATAATAATGATAATAATGGGGAAAAGGTCGTAACAGGACATTTTAAAAACAATTTCAGCACAGCTTCTATACCTTCTTTATCACTACCACGACTCATGTGTTCATCATAGCCGGGAGGACTGTAAGGAGAAAATGATACACACAGTTTTGGCGAGCAACACGAGCCGTGCTGTAATGACCGACCCACAACAACGTGCATACGTGTACATCACATGCAAAGGTCACTTCGCTCACCAAAAACATCATTCTAGTATGTAGGTGCAAGGATAGATAACAGTATTATACCTCATATTAACTCCTGGGCGGGTTCCACCTGGTACAGTTTCTAAGATTAAAAAACACTCGCATCCAGCACTGGTTGGTAAACATACACATTACCTTCAACGGCAGTGCTAGCAGTCCCAAGGACAATGCTGGAGCCATTATGGCCAAACTGTTCAACCGCAATATTATTCTGACAATTCTTCGGCCTTCTCATTAGAACAATGACAAAGATAGCAGCACCCACAATGAGTACCAATAGCAAACAAACTGCAACACTTTATACCAATGATCAAGGGGTGATTTTTGGGAGATTTGGACTTGGGGACTGGACTAACAGTTGATGTTTTAGTGACTGACACACACTTGTCGACAACCGCCAACAAGTCGGCTTTTATGTGGGGGACATTTCGAACAAGGGAGAAGTTATCGTGGGAGTCAAAGAGTGATATGTGCCAGTCTCCCTGCCTCTTTTCCCTGAGGACCAGGTAGCGGTCTTCCAGTACCACCAGAGGGAGACAGGGATAGTTGATGCATGCGGAGTCCGAGAGAGACGTGATGGAGCCTCCAGAAGCACTTGCACGCAGTATTCTCGTGCCCATCTCCCTGTCTGCGAAAGCAAAGAGACTAGTTTCCTCTGATCCAAAGCACACGCCATTATCATAGATACCCATGGACACCTCGAAATCAGTAGCGTTCTGTGTGCTGAAAAAGCCATACTCTATGTACTCGGCTACAGAGTGAACTCCAAGGTATACGTCTGGATTTGGACACACGTACGGTCGACCGTCTTTAGCATAGTCAACTCTAATGTCTTTAACGCTTTCCCGATCCAAGTCAATGTATAGTGCCTGACTGTTGTCGCAGTAAACGATCATATCCAGCCTCCTACATACTCCAACTCTGTTGCAAAACAGCCATACGTGGCGAGACTAACGTCAAATTCTTCAAAAATGTAGTCTAGAGGTTTGTAATAGTAGATAGAGTAGCCAGCAGCAAAGTAGATGTGATTGCCACTCTTGCTGGGCAGTTCTATGTACACTGAATTGGTCTGGTTGTACAGTGGGCCTTGGCTAATGTCCTCCAAGTGGGATAAATACGATTTTTGAAACGTGTGTTTTGTTTAGCTTGAGCTCTAGTAGACTCACAAAGCCAGTCTCAGAATTTGTGCAGAGAATGAAGTAACTGTTTTGAATGATGTGAACTTCCTGTGGGCTACAGTCCAAGCTAGGATCTGGTAGTACTACATGAACCTCAGCCTTTAGACCTGAACTAAAGTCTAAAGCTAGCAAGCCAAGGGCATTTGACAGAGGTATGGCCACTATTGATTTTTGCAGTTGACCGGATGACCCTAGGTGTGTAGTATTATTGTTCCCTGAATTGTTTATGCCCACAACCAGCAAAGTTTGGCATTTTTCGAAGAGTTCGCCACATTCAGGTGACAGGAAGTACCCATTGAACTTCCTGGCTGTGTAGGACGGGGAGTCCTCAGGCCCAGATGTGGATTGGTGTATCCTGAGCTCAACTTTGTCTGCCTGGTTGGTCGCTGTTACTAACACACCGCTACCGCAGGCGGTGTCACCACTACCTGCAGAGGAAGGTATGAGATGACAGAGTATCACCACACAAGGATCTTGAAGTTTTACCACTGGATGACACAGCAACCCGCAGTAACACCAGCTGCATCAGGAGCAAAGTGAGATAAGTCTGAGAGGCCATGACTCCGTTCTTGCGCAGCGTTTCGGGATCTTCCCAGGGGATCTCCCCGTTACGTGCACGCATGCGCATCAAGTTTCGGGTATGTAAATAAATGCGCATGCGCTTAGGCGGGTATCATTCCACACAGTATAACCACAAAGGTGATTAAAAAAATGGTGTATTGTGATCTCGGTTTAAGGTCCCAAAGAGCGTCTACTTTGCTGCTCTCCTGTCATAGGGTCTACGGGAGATGAACCACCCCCTCCCTGCCTTGGCTGTAAGTGCTGCGGCTGGTTCTGTTGAGGTTGCTGCGGGGAAGGAAGATACGGAAGTTGTCCCGGGACTACTGCTGCATTTTGCGCAGGGCTCGACTGCATTGCGCTTGTAGTGAGAGCTCCTACGTATGGATCTTGACCTTGATGTGAAGGCGATGCGTTCTCTGAAGAAGGTCCCAGAGCTAGTGATGCTGGTGGCTGATGGTGGTGACCCACAGGTGCCATGTTGGAAGCACCAGATGAGGCACCCAAGGAAAGAGACTGGGGGTGTAACGAGCCACCCCCTGTCGTCAACGTTGGTTCTAATTCCGCAGAAGTGTCGGCTGCTGCTCCATCTTGCACATGTCTTGGACTTGCTGTTGCCTGTGACGGCCTTTCTAGTTCTTCCGCGGTTGCTAGTTCACCTGGATTCCTAGATGAGAAAATTGATGGGGAAGATGGAGGGCTATCGTGTGTCAACAACGTCGGCCAATGAATTTCTTCCTCCTTTGATACCAGGTTCGAAGTGTCACCATCACTCGTGTCTAGTGCCTCTCCCATCTTTGGGAGTTTGGACTTAGGCTGATCGTCACTGCCACAGTGTGCAGTACCATTTACTCCGGCCCAGCCTGGATATGACTCAACTGGTGGTGTTGCTCCAGGTTGTCCACTGCCGAGCAATGACATTTGTGTATCATCCGTATTGATAGATTCTCTTCCGTTTTCACTGCCGTGAATACTTGGATCTTCCATAAGACGAAAGTTCCCATCCCTACTGTGATTGCATGGGTGTTGCGTCACAGTAGCATTCCTTTTCTTTCTGTAGTTGCTATACCATTTTAAAACAATCAGTACAACTACCAACAGAGCAACAAGCGGTAGAGCAAGAGCAAGTAACCCCAAAAGGTTATATCTTTCTGTGCTTTTGGGCGCAGTTGATACTACAGTCAGAGCAACGGATGAGGACACACTTTCACTGCTGAGGGACAATGTTGAGCTAGTAACTGTGGCCAACACTGTAGTAGAAAAAGGAGTGGGGGGAGTGGGGGGAGAGGGGCAGGATCCTCCTAGCCCCACCACCAACTCGGCTAGCGGTGGTCTCGGCTCAACGTGGACCCGAGCCACCACGGGATCCTCCACGCAAGACAGGTTGGCCACCACGAAGCTAGAATCCACGTGATCGTACACCAGAACCACACCAGATGAGTTTGTCAGTCGGGCCTTGTAGCACTCTCCCCTGGTGTAGCTATTGGTGGGGGAGTTACATGAATTCCTGGAGAGAGTAGACGTCTTCCCAGTGGTGAAAGAGAAGGAGAGAACCGAGCCGTTGCTCAGCCCTAAGACAAAGTTGAGATCACTCCCAATGTTGCAGAATCCGTAAGAGATGTTTGGTGTGAGCCCGAAAGGGTGCGAACTGGAAATGTTCTCAAAGATGGGCAGATTACTAGTGGACTTGAAACTGATTGTATCAGCTCCGAGTGTCACATTGACCTGAACTCCAGGGGCCACACACTGGTGTATGCTACCGTTCACGCGACTGTCGTACACTTCCTCTGTTCTGTGTGTCCCGCAGACTCTAACCAGCTTCGTGATGTGCGGGGAACACTGCACTCTGAGTAGCAGGCGATTCGTCACCGTCTCAATATAGGCCACGTCGATGGGATGAAGGCAGTCGGAAATGTCCCCAGCAAAAGCAATGTCAAACCTATCTTCATCCTTGATGGTGGCGATATAGGCCCGACTAGTGGATACAAAAAATAGATTTTCTTCATAGGGGCAGTCACCATTTGACTCCTGAAAGAAGCGTGTCTCAGACAATGAAAGGGAGTCGGGAAAGTCGTCAAACTGAGCAAAATGAGGTCGATCCTCCACTACAAAGTTTAGTGTGTTAGTATCGTCGTAGCTGAGGTAGCCAAACAACATGTAGGCCAAACCGGTTGTGGTGGTGTTGAAGCAAGCGACGACGCGATCCCCATGCAACCTGTCAAACGTTTGTCCCATTACACAGTCGTAGCTGTTAGTGGCTACGGTCTGATTCTGGAGCCTGATCACGGAACTGGAATTCAGTTCCGTAGCTCGTTGAAGCTGTAAGAAGGCCAGCCCGTTTGTGCCGTTAGAGTCTATGACTGGGAGCACACAGCACAGGGTCTCTGGCTGTCTGGCGTGGCCACAAGGGAAGCAGGTCAGGTGACACTGTTCAAAGTTAGGCTCACACCCTGTAGTCGGGAGGGAGAAGTTCTGAAGCCGAGTGACCACTTTCGGTGAGCTTTCATTAGTAGCAGCCATGATATTGATGAAGTCTGCATCTTGCTCAGCGTACAGAATCCAAAATTGTCCTGTGGACACAGGGGAACAAATGTCATACACATTCTAAAAAGGCAGAGCTAAACTTGTTCTTTAGTACCGTCGATTTACTCAGCAAAAAACGCACACACGGTCGATCTTGGCCGCGTTCTTTGCTGGTATAAGCCTACAACATCGCTCCAAGCCGTAGCTTGCCCGATGCTCACTGCTTCGTATGAACACACACACGTACCTGGGCCAGCTTGTGACAACGAGCACGTTATGAAGCAGGCAGCGACGACAAGCAGGCCGGAGCACCTTGCCTGCGTTGGCATATCAGTCTCCCTGGGCTGGTAGCGCCTCGAGTACTGCGCTCATTCGCACTGCCTCTCCAGCAGGGAAGCAGACGTCTTGTTTTATGCCTGCTGAGATGCACGATATCGATCGCCGCGCCCCTTCCTGCCCCGGGGTTAATTTAGTTTGGGACTGACCCTTCCTTCGTTCATGACGTCAGCTATAACGATCCTTATAGCCAACATAAAAATAGAACATGGCATTTGACCGAATTGAGTAAACAAAATTACACAAGGAGTTCAATCAACTGAAAACAAAGCACAAACAGTCCAGTAAACAGAATTCAGTCCACCCCAATGATCATTTTCACCATCTCCAGAGCCATCTCGCCAGCGTCAGCAGGCACCTGTGCACACGTACACACACATAGGTGGGTAAAGAAGAAATAGATGTAGCAGGAAGCCATCAGCAAACAAACTGTAGTATTTCTCATACAAAAGGATGATTTCATCACACCACAGGACCCAGAACAGCAAGCAAGGAACTGGGAGCTACCCTGGGTCCCTCCCTGCCCAATGGCACTACTGTATAACAGATACCAACTTTGTGATCAATTTGTGAATGTGGGTCTCCTAGGCATGGTACTCCTGCATGTGCGGCATGTGTGTCGAATGAAATAGAAGAACACATATAATACACTTCCTCCATAGGGTCCTTGTTAGTTGAAATATGACAGTACGTTTCCCTTGCAAATGTAGGTTTGCTGTTATGACGTTATTGTTTATGTGGGGCAAAACTGAAATACGGCAAGTCACTTGGAATGTCTCACCGACCATGTGCCCTGCCTTCATGATCCAGAAGACAGAGAAATTCTCGTGTGTCTGTAGAAAGGCCCCTGTGTCGTTAGTGGGCATGCCAGAGGGCGGGTAGAGTGGGTCACGACTGGCAGTCATGAAATCAGGGAGACCGGACCACTTTAGACGCTCAATCCAAGCCAGTGTACCTGGAGGGGGGCACGGGATTTGGTTTGAGCAATTCTCAAAACACAAAACGAACAAATAGACTTATTGTTATAACATTATTGTTGTGCATCCCTTAAACTGAGTGGAGCTGCTGCTACCGGATATCACTCCCTCTATTTAGGAAAAGGTCGACTGCAGAAACCTCCCACTAGCGTCAGTTATGGGACATCTTTTAAGAACAATACCAAACTATGGTAACCTAAAGTGGGTAAATAGGGGTAAATGATTGTTATGGAAATGTAACCGAATCCAATTGTGTCCAGTGGAGTAAAAATCCCATTTCCTAGTTGCCCCATACTTGGGAAGGAATATACACAGGACATGTACAGGTCCCACCATGTGACCTGCTGATTCATTGTGTGTAGCCAATGTCTCAACTTTCGCTGTGGTTTTTCAGACCACCCCAAAAATGCATTCACATAGAGTGCTGAGTCATGGTGACTGCACTGGTACATACATACATACATACTGGAGCCTATGTATACACATTCATGATCAGAGGTGGAGTCCCAAATAACAAAGATCAACAGCAGCCCTTAGTATGTTAGTATATACACAGTGTGTTGGCAGCATCAAGTGAGGTATAGTACCCAAGCCTGTTCACATGATGTCATTCGAATAAAACCAGACAAACAGATTAAAACAAGTATGTGACTCAATTCAGTTTGATAGGTAAAAAACCATACACCTTGATCGTTTGTTTACATTACACAGTGGCCTACCCATTGTATCAACAATGAGGTCCAGTTGCCCAGTGTACACCACCACAGTAACCCCCTTCATTAGCAACTCATCAACTGAGGGGTGGGAGGGGAGAGAGCGAGAGGGAGTGAGGGAAGGAAGAAAAAAGATAACAAAATCATGTGTCTCAATCTCTCTCTCTCTCTCTCTGTGTATCTCTACCTGTACTGACGACATCCTTCATGAAATCGACCGTCTGCTTTACAAACACATCATTTGCCTGACCTGCATGTGGAATACTGGGTCAATGGCTAGAAAACCCTAATACAAACACATGCTCTCTAACATTGTCTCAATAGCAGCACTAAAGCCCCCTTACTTAGATGACATAATCCTTACATCATACTATATTTACTAGCTTGGCTACTGAGCCAAGTTTCTATACAATACTGCTGTGCACAGCAAACTACCCAGCATAAATTGACAGCCAATAACTATTGGTGTAATGATGATAGGGGGAACAAATGGGGATGGTAGGCTAGCTGCACAACACATTCAAGTATTTTATTATATGTGACTATAGCATGACTCAGGTAATGCATTACATCATAGGGAAATTTATCAAATAACTACATAATTGCATACTACATCTCTGTGTGTCCATATAATGGAGCGTAAATGGGTGCATTGTCATAAAAAGGACACCATCCGATATCCCCACAACATACATACATACATACATACATACATACATACTATCAAGGATACACACACAATCATACAACCAGCAGAGAAAAAGACATTCTGCATTAGGTACACAATACATGTATATTGTGCACTAATGAGATCTCCATCAAAAAGTGTGTAAATGCACGCACCTCCCCAAGTGACGTTGGTTGGAATATCTCCCAGTTTCTGGCGAATCGGTCCATTCATCAGTTGAGACAGACTCTCCTGCTGGAGTCGCATGACGTGTCGCATCGCGGCTAGCTCCAGGCCCCGCCCAGGACCACGCCCAGACTTCACACTCCCCTCATCCGGCACGTTGTGCAGAAGAATGTTGTAGAAATCAACATTGTCTGTTAGCTATAATTATGTGCAATACAGAAAGGACATTGAAGTGAGCAAGGACACTACTCGTCTGCCCCACATTGGAAACTGGGCCACAGTTTCTCTTTTCACATAATATGTGGTTACGAGCACAAGTTGAACGTATGGCTTCAACGTCTGAAGCAACGCAGAAAAAATCGTCTACCTACAGTATATACACTATCGGTAATCGTAAACTACCAAACATGCTTTGCTTGAACTAGAGTAACACCAGTAATCATGCGAATTAGAGGGGCTGCACCACTGTCACAGAGGCCCAAAAACAAATTGCCACATCATTATCCCTGAAACTATGCAGCACGTGTTTAACGTTGTTGCGTGTTTTTTTAAACTTCCAAACTGCAAACACATGTGTGCTACTAGTGATGTGTACATTGCATCTGTATACACATGACAGCCACGTAACTGCCAAATCATGGGATGAATAAGCAGGGGTAGAATCATCTTTGTTTGGGAGGAAGTTTATACTGAATCTACACGGTCATTTCCAAGCCCATTTTACTGTGAAAGTGGGTGTCAACAAGAATCTATGTAAGTGTGGTTTTTATACCATGAGAAAACTGGTGGCTTGCTTGTCCCACAAAACCTATGGTCCACATCTACAAAATGTAGTTCAGAAAACTTTGCAGGTGGCTATATAACATAGCATGCCTTTTGAGTACATATGGAGCTACACAGTCGAATATCTGGGATGCTAGGTACCCACTGCCCATACTTTGTGATCTATGGTGCTACACTGCCCATACTACTCTGTAATCTATGTATGGAGTATGTACATGTTGTTACGAACCGATTCAATGACGCCCTCGGCCTCTCCCCAGAGCGCCGTGGCCTGCGCATAGTTCCCCTGGTTCAGAGCCTCCTGCGTCATGTTGGCCACTCTCTCCACTTTAGCCAGCCCCTCCTCGTTCAGTAGAGACTGCACCATTATTATAGTGTGTGCGTGTGTGCATTGCAACATGTTTACATATTGTTTGTTGGCACAATACAAACGTGTATATATACTGTATAGGGGGGACTGTGTTCCTCTCTCGAAAGATTCCCGCCACACAATTAATGGCTTTGGTGATGCAAGACACACAGTTCCACACAATGTGAAACAGAATAGAAATTCTACTCCTATAATCATAGTATATACTTGGAATGAGCTGCTTAGAAGTATATAGAAAAAGAGTAGGTAGGGGGTATACACACTATTGTACACTGTAAACAAAATACTACCCTTACTCTCACTGAGAGATGATGTCGAGCATTTCAAGCAATTGGCACAATACTTACAGTAGCATAGAGGTAGGGTCCCCAAGTCTTCACAGAATCTAGAAAGAGTGCACACTCAGTCAGTAAACAGGACATGCATGAGAAGGTTGGTGCTGGGACAGCTGGTTAGCTAGAGAACATGAGATGAAATGACTTCAGGAGACCCCAAGCAGTCTGTGCAGTGTATGGCTATATACTGAAACCCCCTTAATATGCCCCAAGACTACTTGATCTGAGTATATACCCACTAACAGGAAGAGAACAGCTAGGTGGAGTAGACCCCAAGCAGACTGCAGTGTATGGTCATTGAAACCCCTATAATTTGCCCCATGACTCTTGTGCTGGTGTGTGCGAGCACCCACTGACCCATAATGATTTCACAGTTAATGGCAACATTCACACAGATAATACAGACTTGCGCTGGGCTACTATATACATGTATAATCATGATGCAGCATGCATGACACCTGGGGGTATATACATACTCTACACACAGCTCTCCAAGAGGTACAAGTGGGTGGGCAATTAAAGGAGAGACCCTGGGTGATTGGTGGGGTATTAACTCACCAATGGGAGAGATCCACGAGTCGCCAAGAGCCACTCCTTTGAAGTTGCTCTTCACCTCACCAGCTTCTATGGCCTGCAACATTCACAAGCATAATGCATAACGAACACTCATGAACACTTTGTCCCTGCATTGACATGTCATACTGCACACTCTCTATATATGTGTCTTCAAACCATGTCCTTCATTGCCGAACTATGTAATGTGTATAAATATAGTGTGTTTGGTGGCATGCTAGCTATATATTATAAGAACATACATTGTAGAGAGCGAGCCCAAAAGCTGCAGCCATCTTTCCTCCATAGGATTCAGAGAACACGTAGAATGGCAGGGTCTGTGGGTAGAGAGACACAGCAAAGACCAACATACTACATACTACTTTCAGTTTGCCATGTACGATACGTATGTGTATGGATCAAACTGGATCAAATGGACAACGCAGGGGACAGGAAAAGGAAGAAGAAATTGTGGACATAATTATACACGTATGTAATGATCTACACACAGTAGGCACAGCACATCAATCACGCAGTCTTGGAGGCCGCCACACTGATCCATGAGGTTATAATAAGATTATACAGATGTTAAAGTGCTTCAGTTTTCATTAATCAGTGAATCTTTCACTCATCTGACACAGCTCTGTTTACAAACCTATCTCTATAATTGTTTCAACTCATAGGCATTAATCTCCCACAGACTGTATAATTATACCTTGCGTGTAATCTACAGTAACTCTTATTGAGAGAGAGATAAGCTGACCTGGAACACAGGGGATGTCCTTAAGGAAGGCGGAGAATAAGGTGACCAGATCTTTTGCAATCTCGTCCACGTTTGATGTGAATGCATCGTCGGTGTCACAGTAGCTGTAGCCTGTACCAACTGGGTTGTCCACAAAGAGAACGTTGGCCGCCTGAACCTGCATTTGTGAGGGAGAGAGGGTTGTTTTCAGAGCCTGAGAGGTGAAATATGCACAGCCTTTTGCATAGGGTATCACCACTACCAAAGACACCACTGTAATAATGTTGTTCAGTGCTTGCAAATTGCTGCACTCTCTGTGCAAATGTCTGCATAGTTGCAGTCAGGTTAGGTCACTAATACCCAGGTGGTGTTCCTAGGTTTGAGGTTGATATCCAGTGGTCCCAGCTCAAGAAAATTGCCAAATCCAGTCGAAGATCCCCCAGGCCCACCCTATAATATTACAAAGCCAAGAGTATATACACATAATGCGGAAGCCAGCTGTGTAGGAAGCCAGCTCAGCAGCAAACCTGAAGCCACATTACTAGCGGACGGCTGTCCCTATCAGGCGCCGTGCTACCGTACAGCCACCAGAACATGTGGGCATTTGGTCTGACTGTCACGTATCCCCAGCTCTCGTCGTAAATTTGCTGGGAGGAGAGCGTCAGAAGCGAAGCCAACAGCAGTAACAGCGGTAGCACGGACGCCGCCATTTTTGAGCAATTTTCTGTGAATTCGTACAATTAGAGCGGTATCCACGACAACCACGGAAAGATAAACACCCCACGACATTTTGCGGAGAGCAGCTGAACAGGAAAACGTACAGTTGAGTTTGGGATGCCCATATTCTCAAGGTCTTCGTTCAGAACCCCCCGTAAGCCTGTGAGGCGGAAGGGCGGCTCCTTGCCCAATATCTCGCAGCTAGACGACACCGCATTCTCTGTGGACAGCCTCCGCCTGGATGGGGGACCCATCACCATGAAGTTGGGAGGACACGAGTTTATCTTTGAGGACGGCCAGTGGATCATAGGTAACTCCAGCTTACAGCAAACTGCGCAAACCAGCGCAGGGGTCTATTATTCTAATTAGAGCGCATCACATCTCCCCTCACTCACACACAAAACAGGTGGATCTCAGGAGCCGGTGGCAACTAGAGAAAGCAGTCAGCTGCAGAAGCAGTATCTTAAAGTACTAGAAGAGAACAATTTGCTTAGGTATGAAATCCTTCTTCAGTGTTGTAGACACCAAAATGTTGGTCTTGTAGGTACAAGATAGAACTGTTGCTGGATATGCTGGCAGCTAGCAATGCAGACTGTCTAGTTCTTCAGAGAGAACTGGATGCACTAAAGAAACCACCGCAATCAACACAAAAGAAGTTATCATAATTCTCATATAGCATTTGTAATACAACATAATCCTGCAATGTAAAAATTATCTCATGAGACTGTTGGACTTGGGATAAGAATGTACTGAGAACACTTGCACTCAAAAGTCAAGGAGCTGTGGAGAGCAAAATTACAACAGTTTTGACAATTTGTTTTGGTATTATGCCTCACCAGTTTTGGCAGAACCTTTTCAAAGTGCTGAATGTCAACTCTTGATGCCCCATCTGCCTATAGTGGCCACAATCAGTGTCTCAATATCAGTTTATTAATTATTCATAGTGGATGCTTATGGTAGTGGCTACCTTTGCCTGTGCTGAGGATCTGTATGCACATTCTGTATGAAGGCAACAGACACATACAGACACACTCCACCGTTCTGTATATAATTAGGACTTACCGAGAACGAACAGATAGATTAGCTCAGAGGAGAGTTTCACTGCATCGTTGTTTACTGCAAAAAGCAAGGCGGTGGTGAAGCAGCTACATAACAACTGCGCATGCGCTGCGGGGTAGACGAACTTTTCGTCTTGCTGTCCTTGAAATGCATCTTGAGGAGTCTGGAGATAGTCTCCTAAAGGTGGAAACAAAACTGTTCGAGATACTAAGATATCTACCGACAAGTACACACTAGCTTTAGAGGATTTTCTTCCATTGTCGTGCTGCTCGCTGTGTGCCGCGCTAATAAAGGGGGGCGTGGTTTGAAAGCGACGGACCAATCAGTTTGCCGGAAAGTCACACCTTGCGTTTCGAGCGTGGTCGTCGGCCGCCTCTCCACTGCTCGCGCCCCTCTTCTGGTTCTTCGTCGGCTTTCTTTCGTCTCTCTAGTTGTCCTGTGTTGTGTGTGAGCTGAGGTATGGGGAGGAAGAAGAAGAAGTCAGTCAAGCCGTGGTGCTGGTATCCTAAGCGCAACCTGTAGTCGAACTGTACATTGTGTTTACATTTAGGCCGTTGCATATGTTCCAGAACTCTGTGGTGTGTTACTCCATCTCTTACCGTACCTATTTATATGTGCTTCAACACATCGCCAGTGAATAAGGGACTGTGGGTGGGCACTATATAGAATTCGACCCTTGGCATTGTTTTCCTTGACTCCCGGAACTAGGTACTGCAATAGGGAGTTTGATGATGACAAGGTGCTCATCTACCACCAGAAGGCCAAGCATTTCAAGTGCCACATATGCCACAAGAAGCTGTATACTGCACCAGGACTCGCCATTCACTGCTCACAGGTAAAACCACTGTTCTTGTTAGTTACCTTTTATGTCAGCAAGAAAGTTTAAGGAAGAATGTTTAGAGATTCGTAGAGAAAACTGAGGTCTTCTTGTAATGTTGTCTGAATCATCCTAACACACTAGTTGATGTGATTTGAGTCCTACCTACGTCTTTATACCAAGTGCAGACACATTCAATGTGTGTCAATCCATATTTTAGTAGTTCAATTTTCACTTCATGGCTGTTCATGCGGGTATAATTATACTTATGACATGTATTGCCTCTTTCTCCTCTGGTGTAGGTACACAAGGAGACGATAACCAAGGTGCCCAATGCCATCTCAGGGAAAGACAACATTGAACTGGAGATCTTTGGCCTGGAAGGTATTCCAGAAGGTGATAGAATTGCCCATGAGCTAGCCATTCAAGGTGAGTCACTCCAACCCTCCCGTGATCTGTGTACTGAGTGAACAGACCCTAAGGTCAGCAGTATTTCACTTGTTCTTCCGATATATTATGCTGTACAGCGATAATTCTGCAGCCGATAAGTTTCGCTCTTTGTCACTGATGGGATTCAATCTGCGAAAACATTCTTTGACTGTAAGAGTGTGGCAAGTAGACTGGCTTTGCTCGCCAATTATGGTTGTAGGCAGGAGTCCAGGTTGGTGGTGTCTTTGAGCGTGAAATGTGGTAATGTAACATAGAGGTGTAGGTGTGTGTGTGTGTGTGTCTGACGTTCCCTGTGTGCTCATTGATTAAAGCAATCAGGCTTTTTACTTCACATATTATGTAGTTCAACCAAGATGCCTGTCCACCAGCTAGACATTGAAGGTCAGATGGGTGGTATATACAGTGGTAGATGTAGTAATGCGCAAAGAGCTTGTATGTAGCAGTTGCGTTTTGAGCATGCAAGCGCCTGCACAGTGCCTTTATATTGTAGCAATGGGGAGTATAAGTGCCTTAAGCAATGGCGAAACAAAGTACGTGTATTTTGAATGTCCAGCATTAAGAGGGTAAAGAGAGATGGAAGGTGGGAGAGAATAAAGATTGTTTGAGAGAAAAGGGAGAGGGGAGGGAAGGAGAAGGGTATTCAACTAACAGCTGCGTGGCTCCGTGCTAGACTCGATGAATGACATCGTCTGCTCTCCTCACTGCAGACCCTCTGTCTCTGTTTGCTAATTTGCACTCACTCGTCTGGTGTGTGCTATCGACAGTGAGTCCCTAGTAGTCCCTCAACCCCATACTATATACTAGGACTTGTGTATTATTGTGTTGCATCACTAGAATGTATATATAATATACGTACATTGTGAAGTTTGTATCCATGTTGCATGTGTTCAGAGTAGAATTTTGTTTGCCTTGTTATCAGACAAACCTTCCTGATTTATGCTTGATCCCACAATGGTGTGTTGTTTTGCCCCAAGTATATTTCACTCGACGGTGCCACCACTGAACAAGTATGTGTGCATACATGCGGCACTTTTCTTCTGTGGGTGTCTTCCTTACTCGCCCCACTGCCTCCTTTCCTACCCCGCCCTCTCTCTCCCCCAGGAGTTGCCAGGCCTTCATTGGACGACGAACCGCCCGCCAAGAAACCTCATCTCGGCGGAGCAGCGACGGGCATGATGTACACTGCCCCTGTCATTCCTGGGATGGGGCCTCCTGTGATTATGTATGGAATGGCCCCGCCAGGGATGTCCCCACATGGTGAGACCTTAGCCTGCCAGTATCTTAGTAATTCTAATTAATGCCCACTCCTCTCCTGCAGGTCCAATGGGAATGCCACCAGCCCCCAGAATGCCGCCACCAGGAATGCAAGCTCCGCCTCCCACCAGACCACTGTTCCCTAGTGCTGGCCCTGTAAGACTCACCATTATTTGACTGTATACGTCTTCCAATAAGTGGGATATGTACACCAAGATTTTGGTATATTCTGTCAGTCTAACTGTAAGTAACCGGCCCACATGGTATACACATAACATGCTGCATGTTTTTGTCTCCCTCTCATCTCTTCCAATCCCCCCTCTCTCTCTCTCTCTCTCTCAGTCCACACAGCCACCTCACAGCTCTCAGCCTGGGTCTGGTGTCCCGAGACCCACATTCCCGGCATACCAGAACACTCCTCCGGCATCCTCGTCGTCTGTGGCAGTAGCGCCGCCTCCTCTGGCCACCCTCCCTGACGTCCCTCTTAGACCTGTGGTCAAGGTCCCTCCGGTCGGAGCCAACAGCAAACTCGTACACCCTGAGGACGACATCTCTATGGTCAGTACATTTTAGCTACCCTCAATATAGTCTACCACCGTTGTCTATAATTTTGGTCATACCTGAAAATGACATTGACCCAAATAAGATGGCCTGCATACATTTTTGGTGGATATTGTTTGTCCACAGTTTTGTGTGACTAAACCAGGCGTTGTTATAAATATTGTACGAATTTCTACGCCTGAATAGGCTTTGTTCGTTTCAAGTTTTCTGGTAGTTGTCAGTGTTGGATCATGATGTGTATTGTCCAACAGGAGGAGGTGCGTAGCCGTCTGCCAAAGTACCGGAAGGCCAAGCCCACAGCTCAGCTGGTAGCTCCAGCCATGCCACTTCCTCCCCTGCACCAACAACCTCCACCTGCTCCCCTCATGAGACCTGCAGGACCACCGCCTCCTGGACGACCCCCAATGACAGGACCCCCTATGATTAGACCTGGTATGGGCCCCCCACCCCCGATGGGTCCCCCCAGGCCGATGATTCACCCGGGAATGGGGCCTCCTCCCGGAATGCCACCACCACCGCGAATGCCGCCAAATCTTGGAGCCCCACCGCCTCGAATACACTGATACTCTCTCTCTCCTCCATTCTGGGGCTGTTGAATTATAGGACGTACTTGTGACTCTGTGTATTATTTAACCCTTGGTGTGCATGCGCAGCGAGGGTTACGGTATAATATTATAATACCGCGCAAGCGCAGTTCGCCAAGGGTTTGCACGTGTATTCACCTGAGCCAAAGTATCATGTAGCTATGGATCATTGATTTGCTGCAATGTATTTTGGGGGCACTGGCTTGCTTATTCCATTCTAAACATTTGCAACTCTGGCCGAGTCCCTCCTCTTCTTCAGGGATTCGAGAACTCTTTCCTCTTTTGCTTCCTTGGCAGAGTTCCGTCTTATGTACTCCAATCTGTGGGTCAACAGTATTTTGTAGCATTAGGCAATAGCAAAAATGTCAGGTGTGCTAGAACTAATACTCAACCACTGATGAGGACTGCTGAATGCTGCAGTTGAAACGTCTGGTGTAATGTTATTTGACTAGAGTATTGTGGAAAAGTTCTATCTTTAGAAAGTATGACCCAAACACACACACCTAGGATCTGGAAGAGCATTATTTTTGTAATTGTGCGTTTGCTCAACAGTACAGTAGCTTCCCTGCCTGTGTTCATAGATCCTCTGTAGTATGACATCAGTTGTGAGAGCACTGCCACTTTCTATTGTTCTATATATGCCTCTCGTCTTTGGGGCCTGTTGTGCAGCGGGCGACCAGCACAAGAGATTTTATATGAAGTCATTGCACGTGATAGACTCTAGTGTTTTGTCAAACTTACTTCATACGGGTCGCTCCCGTCCTGCGAAATATGAGGTTAAACAGGGAGTGTGACAATTTGGCATGCTATTATGTTTGAACATCACACACCTTATTAGGGTAGACGGGGGTTTGGCCATGTAAAACATAATCAACCTGTAGACAGTAGATAAAATGTCACAAACAGCATTTTTGTCATATATGATGAAGTAAGGCCATTGCGGGCTATGTTGTGTGGTCCAGAGTGTTAATTAATGTTCACACCTTCAGATTGTCCAGCATGGATTCTGTAACTGTATATGGAGCTCCAATGATGACATCAGACACATACTGAGGGAAGATAGCAGTAGCATTGTATGGTGTTCTGCTGTGTACTCTACCTTGCAAGCTAGCACACTCAGAACCCTTTGCTGCAGGCTCATGATAGGATAGCTTCTGCCCTCGTAACGGTTCACTTCCTGTATGGAGAAAAGATGTGGGCATTTCATTGGTAGCCAACAAGTTCTGGTGTCTTACTTTAAATCTTGTGTTACGTGACTAGACTTACCCCTGTCACTGTGCAGCCCAACGATAATGAAGTTGCCGACTTCCCTGCACTTTTGTAGAAAATCTATGTGTCCTGCATGTGTTAGCTGGCACAGTCAAGGAATGTGAACATGTTTTGCATTCTGTCCACGTGTACTTTCTGCGCATGCAATTACATCACAGCACACCTGCATCTTACGCATGCAATTACATCACAGCACACCTGCATCTTACGCATGCAATTACATCACAGCACACCTGCATCTTACGCATGCAATCGTTTTACACGCTGGGAAAGGATATGAAAGAGATCAAACGATCCAGCCACGTACACCACAGTATCCCCAGACTGAACATAGGAGAAAACTTTCGACTGAAGTTTTGAAACTTGCTATTTGGCTCACACTAGGCTCCCTGGTCTCTGGTCCCATAAACTCTGTGATCAACTTGGACGAGGCTAGAAACTTGTTCCCTTCATTATGTGGGTCACACCCCTGTAACAAGCAGTATAATTACAGAATGGCTCAGACCACGTAGTGGTTGCCAGCTATTCTGGAAGAAGGTGATATCAGAAAACTAGGCCAAACACACATTGATATGTGGGACGGAGCCTTCTGAAATATAATCTGTGAACACTTGTATCCTCCACATAGAGGTGCTGCTTGTGTCAATTACAACACCTGTCTAATGATTTCACCGGCAGCCCCATTTGCCTTGCCTTGCAAGTGCATTGTACCAAGAATGTTGAATGACACTTTTTAACCATTACTTACATTGGCACTTACGTTGGCACAGAGGTGCTGTTGGGTCATTTGCAGAAGTCTACAGAATGTATATTATATAAAGCTAGCATTTTCGGTGTTAGAAGAAACAATTATACCGTTGAAGAAGGTCTGTGGTTGACACCCCTTCAGTTCTTTTGTACTCCCTAGCAACAGTGAAACCTATAAATGGTCCATACATTACTGAGAGTATGGTATACCTGTACTTTCCTGCAGTTTTTACTGCGGCATATGAATCAACACCATCAGCATTGGCTGCAAAGTCATCTGGATAATAATATTCCAAGCTATGGTGGTGTGTGCAAGTCGACAATACGTAGCCGCACCTCCATGTGCACAGATGTCACAGTTGTGTTTCTCCAGAAGCTCTACACTAGTGTAACAGGGAATATCTTCTATCACCTGCAAAGGCATAATACTTCCACGCGTGCGTAATTAGACGAGCGTTCCAGTCATTATTAACCCTCGGCGTGCATGAAGAAGAAGAAGAAGAAGAAGAAGAAGAAGAAGAGAGTGTGTGTGTCACAACGAATGGCGTGTATCAACTCTCGCATGCTATCTACTAACTACTAGCTAGTCCCTGTCAGACTCTCCACGAGTTACTAGCGGGAGACCACGCGTAAACGCTTACTAATAGCCCAGCCCATCAATTAGTGCTATCAGGGTTTGCACTTCAGTGATTTAATAGTGTCCTACCTCATCCACCCATTTTATGGCTCGAATCATCTTGTACCTGAAAGAGGGTAGCAAAAAATCACAGTAGGTTTTGCAAAAGTATCCCTCACCTTTCCTCTTCAGTCGTCACAGGTAGTCCTTTGTGTGCTGTGATATCAGCTGTGAGGAACAACGGATAATTGGCAATTTGTGATATTGATGCGTATGGAGAGGCTTTGCATATGCATTGCCTATAGCTATATAGACTGACCGTTAGAGTGCAGGGCTACTACCAGAATGTCTCCCATCAGCTTGGCCTGTCGCAGAGCGTTGGCGTGACCGAAATGCACCATGTCGAAACTGCGGGGAAGGTTTACAAATTATCATTTCTCTGTTGCTACTCTTACCATCCGTCCACCCAGACGCGGACTTGTTTTTGAGTTGCAGGTGCATCCTCACTTTCCGTTAGGCCGTTTGATGACATAGTAAGACGCCGGACCGATCCGTCTGCTGATAGGACTAAGATTGACACCTATGTATTCCGCAAGCGAAGCCGCGTCGCATCTTCGTCTGCATAATGCGCATGCGCGCGATCCTACAGAGGATAGCGTAAAGGGTTTGCCTGTGTACCAGAAAATAAAGTGATTAATGATACAATTTGATACAATATCTAGGTTTAAGACGTGGTGCCCTGGGTGGATTCTCTCCTCTTCTTCTCAGCTTCTACCACCATTATCTCTTTCTCTTCCTTGACTGAGTTCCGCCTTGCAAACTGTAGCCTACAGTATATATATATAATATAGTAAAGGTGAGTACCACAGGTTCAAGCATAATGCTTGCCTGTTTTGAATGATCCTTTTCACTATGGCATCAGTTGTAAGGATGTTACCACTGTCTACTGTCTGATATATGCCTCGTTTCTTAGGGACCTAACACAGCACACCAGGTAGGAAAAATATTATATATAAGAAAAAGTAATTTGAAAGTTTGATGAACTTACTTCATACGGGTCGTTCCCATGCTAAAAATAGAGAGACAAGAGTAGTATTATGGTTACACTAATGTACATGCTTTCAGCCTGCTATTATATATGACGTGCTGCACACCTCATCTAGGTAAACTGGAGTTTGGCCCTGTACCACAAAGTTGATCTGGAGATCATCATCATGTGTTAGGAAAAAAGAGTCGACATGTGCAGTTCACACCTTCAGACTGTCCAGCATGAACTCTGTCACTGTATACGGAGCTCCAATGATGACATCAGACACATACTGAGCAGAGTTGACAGCATATATAGCACCACTCTGACTAGGGGCCTATACATACCTTGCATGCTAGGACACTGAGGACCCTCTCCTGTACATTCATGATGGGATAATTCTTCCCTTTGTAGCGATTGACTTCCTGGTTACAAGATATAAAGCTTTACCACACACCATAGTCTATCTGCTGCTCACCCAGTCACTGTGTAAGCCAACGATGATAAAGTTGCCAATTTCCCTGCACTTCTCGAGCAAGACGACATGTCCAGCATGTGATATCGTAGTGCTAAGAAACACAACCACTAGAAGGTATAATACATTCAGCTCTACACTACTGTATTGGTTAAATCAGCGGGGGCAGTGGGAAAGGATATGAAAGAGATCAAAAGCTCCAGCCACATACACCACAGTATCTCCAGGCTATGGGAGGACAAATGAGACATTTCTCTACTGAGATTGTGGGTTTGGTGTAAGTAGCGACTTACTGCAGGCTCCCTGCTATCTGTTCCCATGAACTCTATGAGTCTCTTGGACGATGCCAGAAACTGGGACGATCCAGTGTAGGGGCTGTGCAGCTCAGACCCCTGTAATAGTGCAGCAATCAGTATTCAAACGTTACTTCTCTAGGAAGCTCTTGCACACTTTATATATTTTCTAAGTTACCCTGAAACAGAGTTGCATATATTTGTAATGGCTTATATACCAGCACTGTCACCGGCGTAGTATTAGAAGAGTATTCTCACCTGCGTAATTTTACTCAGTTGAGTGGATTCTGCACTTTTCTCATCCTGCCAGTGTGCAAGCAAACTTCACACGACCACTAATGACGTCTGCAGGACAACTCACGTTGGTACTGAGGTGTTGTTTGGTCATGAGCAGCATTCTGTGAATAGTAAACACCAGGTATTGTCAGGGGGCTCAAAGATATACATATTGAAACTAACCGTCCAACCAGATCAGTTGTTGAGACCCCCTGGGTTCTCTTGTACTCTCTAAACACCAATGAAACATACTCACAATGCAGTAAGGTACCCATTGAATGAGGCAATAGCACCTACTTGTATTTCCCTGCAGCCTTTACCGCTGCATAGGCATCGACTCCATCAACATTTATAGTGATGTCATCTGCAGATGAGTTAATTAAAGCAACAGATAGGTTATGATGTACATACATATTAAAATGCTATCTTACCGCCGTGAGCACAGAAATCGCAGTTGTATTTCTCCATGACCTCTAAGCTGGTAGTGTAAGGGACATCTTCCACCACCTGAAATCACTATTTTACTGCATGCTTTTGTTAGGCCGAAAAAACATATTCATCACCACTCGTAGCTACATGCCTACTGCACCACACCAAATGTAATTCTTCCACTGTGCCTGTGGACACCCCCCTAATTATATCGATTACTGATATCACGGATATATTATGACTTGTCGTTAGCATGTGTAATAGTGCCCACCCACCCACGAGTCTGGCCTAGTCACATATACTATACATAATATCTATGGAGAAAGCTATGCTAGCTATAAATTATAGATACGACGTAATGTTTGTACAAAGCCATACCTCGTCCACCCACTTTATGGCACGAACCATCTTGTACCTTGACGTAACAGATCCCAAACAGTGTCTGGAAATCGACAAGATTGCCTGAATGACGTCACCTACCTTTCTTTCTCATTCATCACTGGTGGGCCCTTGTTCCTCTTGATCTCAGCTGGAGAAGCAATGAATAGTGTGTACAAGCACATAGCGTGAGCTAACCGTCAGAGTGGACTCCAGCTACTAGCACGTCTCCCATCAGCTTGGCCTGTCGCAGGGCGTTTGCGTGACCGAAATGCACCATGTCAAAGCTGAAGATGGGATTCAAATCCAAGTTTAGAAGTCGTCGATCGGCTACTTACCATCCGTCCACCCAGACACGGACTTGCTTTTGCTTCTTTTGAGGCGGGGGCCCATCCCCACCTTCTGTCGAGCCGTTCGGTGCAGACATTGTCGTTTGCTGCAGCTTTTGAATCGAGAAGATCCGACACACAGCTCTCGAGGCTGCCTAGCTTTGATCACGATCGCGTGGGGACGAATTAATTAACTAAGCGGAAGTAATAAACCACTTAGCGAGGTTACGTCATATAAAGGCTCGTGAGATATTAACTGCGCATGCTCAAGATGGCGACGCGGTGAGTTTTGTGTGGGCGGTGAAAAATGGCCGCTGAAGCGGCGAGTGGAAGTTGTCTCTTGCAAACACGCTCCCTGCCGCCTCGTGCGACCGTTTTTCCACCTCCCTGGACCACTGTCGAGTCCCCCATTGATTCTCTGTTGTCTGGTATCCTCGTATAGATTGGATCGGCTGTGGATACTGCTCGACAGCGGCTCGACGCCTGTCACGAGGCAGGCTGCCGCGGAGCAGATAGGCGAAGTCCAGAAACTGCACCCCCACGAACTCAACAACCTCCTCAGAAAAGTATAACATCTTTTCCGTGGTCATATAAACCCACCCAGTGCGGACTAAATCCCCTAATTCCTGGTCTAAATTGGGCAATGGTGCGCACTTATTAGAGAATTCCTACCGAATTCCAGTACTGGGTTTCCCTGTTATTATGGCTGTTAGTCCTGGTAGGATCTCTGGCTGTTTGGCTAAAAAGAACATAAATGTCTTTTTCAAACTACACTCCTCCATACTCAAACTGTTATTCAGGTGATAACATTCCTGACCAGTAAGTCATGGGAGACACGTATTGCAGCTGGCCAGGCGGTGGAGGCCATCGTAAAGAACGTGAAGCCATGGAGACCGGTGTTTACGGGCAATGCTGGAGGTAATAGCAGAGAGAGCACTCCAGCCAGCGAGGACAGCACCCTCTCGGCTGACCTCCTCTCCTTCAACAACTTCGACATCAATCAAGTATGTATTTGAGAACCTGCTATATTATCGTCTTGCTCATATTCTCCCCTTCCTCCCAACTTTATAATAATTACTTGATATCGACTCTCTCTCTCTCTCTCCCCCTCTTTTCTGAAGGTGTTAGCTCACGGCACAGCTCTCCTCTCCTCCACTGGGGAGGAATACTCTTTAGACAATGACCCAGACTTCCAGAAAATGACTGCTCAGGTACTATGGTTATAATACTGGCTGAATTTTATACTTACAAATATACTTGTGAACTACAATAAAGTCATACCCAATATGTGAACACATCTGAACTTAATACATACACCTGTGCAATATGTCTATTCACTCATGCATCATTAATATACTCTGGCAGGAGAAAGCTGCATTCTACAGACGGCAGTTGCTGCAGAAACTTGGACTGGTGGCTCAGGGAAAGGTCTTCTCGACCGGCGTTGAGAAATTCATCGAGGACTCTGACCTCATGGTGACATCACCAGCAAATGAGAACCCCAGTTCTAAACCAGTCAGTCAACGTCTGAGCATTTGCCTTAGCCTTGTCACTAGGCCATACATTATTCCTTTCAGATAGAGCTTAATAACAGAAACATTTGAGGAAGACAAAATCCCGAATTTTAGTACCGTTAAAATTTTTTTCACTAAGCAACTGAATTTTTACACCGTGTGCTATGGAGGTGTATAGTGGAACCCATTTCAAAGGACGTATATACCCTTATAAAAAAAATAAGACCTTTTGGTTTACCATTAGCAGTTTCATGCGTGCAATGTAACCCTTCAAATAAGGACACCTCACTCACTAAAATGGACACTTTCCTCCGTCCCATTACTGTAGAGATTAGAAGCGTTCCATGTGTCTCCAGAAATGATTTAAGTCTCCCCACCACCGCAGGGTGGAGTGGGAGGAGGAGGAGAGGTGAAGGAGATATCGGCCCTGGCTCTCAAGGGAATGAGTGCCCGAGAGAGGAACAAAGCCAAGAGAAAGGCACGCCTGATGGCTCGACGGAATTCTCGTGACAAAGACACTCCCGAGAAGATGTGTGTTTAGATTCACACTCTGTTTGTCAAAGTGCCGCTGATGTCAAATAGAGGAAAAGGTTTCTATAATATAATGTGTATGTGTGTCCGTGTCCAGTGTGGAGGGAGAGGGTCAAGTCTCAAAGAAACCTCGAACCACCAATGTTGTGGTGGAGCAGGCAGGCCTGACCGACAAACTGCTCATCGACCAAATCGCTGACCTGGACTCCGTCTTTGAAGAGGTACACATACATGATACGTGTATGTAGCAGCAATAGTCAATGACATCTGACCAGCTCATTGGTAATACCGTATAGTAGCGTGTGTATACGATTACACTTAGTCACAGTCAAGAAATGAAGAAAAAGCGTCTGCGCAAGTCTGGTAGCACTGCACATACATTTACGTACATATGTAGAGGGTTCTGTTTGTATTTGCCTATTGTATTGTAGTGTTGATGTTTGAGACTCTGCTTTACCTTCCGTTTCAGTCTGAGGAGTGGCCACTCAACTGGTTTTGTGAGGAAATGTTCCGCAACCTCTTCAATCCTTCCTGGGAGGTAAGGCAAACTGGTACACGTTCTGGTACTTGCAGCAGCCTTCCCTGTGTGTTGATGATATCTAATGCTGCCAAAGTCAGTATATACCAATATACAAGCCTTAGTCCCATTACTTACTATAAAGACATGTCAGGCGTGTTTAACCCTACAACGTCTATTTCTGTGCTGTTCTACCCACTCTGTCGACAAGGAACTCTACATCAGTACCATTCTCGGAATGGTACTGCATAGTACACGTACGTACATCTCCCTCTCTCTTCCGCCCGTGGTCCCAGGTCCGTCACGGAGCAGCCACAGCTCTGAGAGAGGTCATCAGGTACCATGGAGACACCGCCGGTCTCACTGTCCTCCTCAACCCTGACATGGTGAGCTACGCTGTGAAATGGACTTCCCTATTCAGTGGGGAGGCCCTGTAATCTAATGCTTTTATACACACGTTCAACGTGCCAGTACTTGATGTATATACATGTATACACTGCTTTATACTCTCATAATGTAAGCTACTGTATGTACGTTGGCAGTATTCGGAGGCAAACCAGAAGTGGTTAGAGGATGCTTCTATTCGACTGCTGTGTGTGTTTGCCCTCGACAGGTTTGCCGACTTCGTCTCGGATCAGGTATATACACTCTCACTCATCGTCTTTCACAATGCAATGCAGCGTGTGTGGTTGCACTGACTGTTTACTACGTATGTTCTACCCTTGGAAACCATTTGGGCTGAAAGAGCTTTATAATGGTGCTGGTGTTTATACGCCACTGTCTCCATGTACTTGAGCAAGTTGGGAAGTGGGTTGGGTCCAAGCTGGCATTATCACATTGTATATATAGCGATGTAGCAACCTTCACCAAGCAAACTAGCTTGCAAGAAGCGCGAGCAGCGGGTGCAAGAAGCTTTGCAAACATATGCTCTTTGAAATCCCGTCTGCATCTTCCCCCCTTTATGCTTTGTAAAATGTGCATGTTTGGTGAAGTAGCAAATGCTCCACTGTCTTTCCTGAAACCATTCAGGTGGTTGCTCCAGTGAGAGCGACGTGTGCCCAGTGTCTGGGGATGTGCGTGCGGGGGATGTGTGAGGGTGTGGTGGGGAGGGTGGTGAGTGTGCTCCAGTGCCTCGGTGAGCAACAGCAGTGGGAAGTCCGCCACGCCTCCCTCATGGCCGTCCAGCATCTCCTAGCTGCTCGCACGGTGAGTTCGAACACTCTCTGTTGTCTTCTTCGCACTTTCCTGCTTTCTTAATATTCTCATCCTTTTTGGCTAATAAAGAGGTATCCCTTCACAACATCCTCTTTTTCTTTATCCTCGTTCTTTTTAAAGAGTGTATATACTTCACTGTTCTTGTGTCCTCGTTCTTTTAGGAGAGTAAAAAGAGAACTTCAATATGTTATTTTCTCTTATTCATTTTCCTCTTCCACTTTCTTCTTTACTCTCTTTTCTTTTTCCTTCTTCTACTCTTCCCTCCTCCCTCACTAGGACCTGTGTGCCACACTCCTCCCTCTCCTCTCTCCCTCCATACTGAGAGGGCTCCGAGATGTGGACGACGATGTACGAGCTGTGGCGGCCAGCTCTCTGCTCCCGGTCGCCAACCAACTCGTGACCGTCTTACCTTCCAAGGTATTACACATACGGCCTTTGCACCTTCTTCCCCTCTCTCACTCTGACCTTTCATCCTATCCCGCTCTCACCTCCACTTATCATTTGTGTTTCCCCTCATCTTTTGTCTATCTTCTCCGACCGTTCATCTTTTCCTCCCACGTTTCGCCTTTTCCCCATCTCGCTCTGACTTTTTAACTTTCCCCACTAGTCTAGTATTACGTTTCACATATGTAATATGTACATATATTCAACGAGGAAAAATTTCTTCAATGTGTCTTGTTGCTCTAGATACCGCAGCTGCTGACCATTCTGTGGGACTCTCTGGTTGACCTCGACGACCTTTCAGCCTCCACCAGCAGTATCCTTGGTCTCCTCTGCTCCCTACTCAACCAGAACCCACAACTATATGCCGGTATCTTGTACCAAACTAGTGTGCTATATTATGCCGTACAACAAAAATGAAAAAAAGATAAAAAGAACAAACTGTGTGAATTGTATTATTGGCAAATGAGTTCATTGCCTGACTAGTGATCCACAATTTTTCTCTCCGTTGTTCATGACTGCTATTCAATCGTGGAGTTTATTCCTCCACTTCTAGTGTATTCTTTAAGCTGTAGAATTTTTCACTGTTGGTGTTGTGTGTTGTTGTCAGGGGAAACGGAAGAAGCTCAGCGACTGTCTCAACTGGCGCCTCGACTGTGGCCGTTTCTCTCACACACCAACCGAAGGGTGCGTCTCTCGTGTCTTCGGGTCCTTCTCTCTCTACTGGAGAGTGGTCAGAGGAAGAACCGGGGAGGAGGAAGAGGAGGAGACAGTGAGGGAGGGGAGAGGAGTGAGGGAGGGGAGGAGATGGAGAGGAGTGAGGGAGGGGAGGAGATGGAGAGGAGAGAGGCAGTGGAGGAGGGAGGGGAGGTGACTGAAGAAGGGATGGAGATGGAGAGGAGTGAGGCAGGGGAGGAGAAGCGTCCGACGTGGCTGGGAGCTGTGTTGCAGGGAGCTCTCTGTCACCTATTCCAGAGACTGGCTCTTGAGGGGGACAAGGAGAACACTGACCTCGCACTTCAGGTAATGGTTCGTCTGTAGGCCTATACTGGTACACTTCGTGTCGATTAGGGTGTAGGTTCACAATGCATATGTCGCATTGCCCCGTCACACCTTACCGCATCGCGTCCTGCTGTGATAAAGAGAAATGGATTCTAATCCTCGCGGCACCGCAGTGTGCGACGGCGTGATGGGGCAATGCGACATAATATGTGTAATTGTGAGCATGTAGCCTTAACCACCAAGTGCAGTGGAGGTTAACCCGACCTTTAAAAGGAGCAGTAACTGCAACTACATCACTACGTGTGTCTGGATACCGAATATACCCATTCTAGATCTTGCAAAACTTGGAGCGCGCCATTCAGATCAAATGAGATACACGTACCATCATTTTGTAGTTTATCACACATACGTACACACGTATCAGGTGTGGGAGAACATCGTTGGTGTCTGTGACCCAGCCGAGCTGAGTGGTGCCTGTGAGTGTCTGCTGATGTCGTGGCTCTGTCTCTCTGCGTCTCCCAGTGGGAGTCCAGTGGACCCCAGCCTTCTAACTAGAGCCCACCAGGTCAACTTCTCTCTTCCTCAGTCATGTGTACATACATTATGGGCATTATACATAGTCTAAGACAAGTAAAATATTGCTAAGTCTCTATAATGTGAGTGCTGTGACATCCGTAGAATAAGTGACCGAAGCAAACCCCCTATTAATGCACATTTTTCCATATCAGTGGGCACCACTCCGCCCATGACGTAATGCTTTACGTAACAATAGACGAAACAGATTAAAAATTTTTGCAATTGTGTTTGTGCAGCACCGCGTGTATGACTCTCGCATTCGCTCACACATTTTAAAATTACGCAATAGTGTAGGCACAACATCGCGTGCATGACGCTCACATTTGTTCTAGCATTCTGACAGGACCTGTCTGTGTAGATCATGATGCAGTAAATATTGTCTATTTCAATGGCTCTGCAGGGATCGCATGGAGATGTCTACCTGGGAGGAAGTCTTGGTGTGGAGTCAGTGCAACAGAAAGATGAGCAGGCCTTTGCCGCTCGTGTCAACACTGCCAAGTCAGTCTACCTCATGCTCCACTTTTTCAAAGTCACTATGTTATAGTATGTACGTTCATGTTTGATGGGTGAGTTACAATGGCGTCGCGTTATCTTTTACTCTATTCTTTTGTGTCATTTTGCTTGAAATTATGCTTGCATTACAGTATCTGCAGAGGTTGTGTTACTAGTATTTTGTGTAATTGTGTGTGTGTAGGGCTCTCGGTCATCTTGCTGCTAAGATGACCTCTTCTCCCTCTCCGTCTCCCATCTCTTCAACTCCTGAGTACTCCACTCCATCCTCCGACACACACTCCACTACTCCAGACCCTACAACGAAGACCACCACCACACCACCCCAGCTGGCGTCAGCCCCGGGGTACCCCAACCCCACTACCCCGGGGTACTTCACTCCAGCCTCGACCACCCTCACTGAAGGTCTGGGCCAGATGTTGACTCGCTCCAGCTCCACACATCGGATTGTAGCCGCGTTGACTATAGGGTACTGGGGTGTGTGTCCATCACAGCTACTGAGTGGACTGAACACCAAACTGACAGAAAGAACCACCTACGAAGAGATACTGCCCTTCCTTATGACCATGCAGAGAGAGTGCCACGTGAGATTACTAGAGATTACTGAAAAGAATACTTAGAACAACCTAAGTGATGCACTTTTCTTTAGTGTCACATAGGATTACTAGAGATTACTGAAAGGAATACTTAGAACAACCTAAGTGATGCACTTTTCTTTAGTGTCACATAGGATTACTAGAGATTACTGAAAGGAATACTTAGAACAACCTAAGTGATGCACTTTTCTTTAGTGTCACATAGGATTACTAGAGATTACTATATAGTAGTTACCAGTGCAAATCTCCATGTACATGCAGAGTTTGGTTTTGGCCTTTGACAAGAACGGCGTCAGTGTTGCCTCTGGAGCCAACGTCAGGTGAGAATGTTGCTCGATTTGACTCTGGTTACCCCTTTCAATGAAAAACACTGAGTAGAAGACTACCGTTAGAAGCCCCATTCTGTCCTATTCTCCCTCTCTGCCTGCAGTGGCTATACGGTTGAATATGCAGCTCAACTGTCGACGACTGTCTTTGAGGCCAAACTCCAGACCATGTCACTCTCGTCAGAGGAAAAACAGGTACACAACCATGAGTATGAGTTGATTCTCCTGTACCTCGCCTATTGTTGTATCTGTGTGTAAGTCTACTTTTTCTCTGCAACATAAGCATTAAACGCATACATAGGACAACCTTAAACGGAATGTGCCAGTACATAAGCCAAGGGCTAAGTTTAGACTAAAATAGAAACCTTATTGCAATCTTGCACTGGGCCCTACTGTTTAGTTCTATCTTTAGTAACATTTCTAAATTTAGCCCTTACGTATGTACTGGCACATTCCCTTTAACATCGTGCCCTACACGTTACTTCTATTGAAGCAGCGGAATAGTCTCTGCACACTGGAAGATTAATTCACAGTCATTTGAAAACACGTCACTGAGCTCTCAAATCACGACGCTCCGCCATCCTTATCCCCGCAGGAGTTTGAGTCTCTTCGTCGCAACGTCCTGACGGCCCTGGGTCAGCTGCAGGAGGAGCAGCAGCGATGTGACACCAGAGTCCACTGCTGCGTCACCGGCACCCTCATTCTCCTCGCCTCCCTCCCTCCCAAACTGAACCCTGTCATCAGGCCGCTGATGGACTGCCTCAAGTCAGAGAGTGACCCTCTGCTCCAGGTTTTAATTTATTGCTACAACGTAGAGTAGGAATCTTTTACAAGTGAAAAACCTTCAGTAGTGAAATTAAACAGACGATCCTGGCTCATCCACTTAATTCCGTTGAGAAGCCTCTTCAGATGACTTTCAAATCCTCTACCAACGGAACATGTTGTAGTGCAGGTGTCTATGTATGAGTGTGCGTTCGGTTATCCTAGCTGAAGAATTGACCATGGGTAATGTTTTTAGTGGAATCCTAATAATGTAAACCGTACTTGGGTACATTGTGTATTGCTTATTGTGTTGTATATAATACTAGTGTGATATATTTGCTCTCTGCAGTCGCTGGCAGCGCAGTGGATCAGCAATCTCCTGGACCTGTGCAAGGAGCGATCCCCTGGCCCTGTCACCAAGATCATCAAAAACCTCTGTTCCTTCTCCTGTGTAGACCCTCGCCACACCCCGCCCGCCAGACCCGCCCGGGCGGGGGCCGACTCCACACTTTCCGAGGGGGCGGCGGCCACAGGGAAGAAGGGGGCTGCCAAGTCGAAGAAGAAGAGGGGAAGTCCCTCTGGAGGCTCTGCTAACGAGGAGGCATGGTCAAGTGGAACGGGGACCGGGGGTTACTCGACCTGGACCTGGGACAGCGGGATCATCACTCTTGTCAGGCAACAGAAGGAGGTAATACTGATGGTGGGAACGTTTGGAGGGAAAAACTCATATTCAGTAATTGTGCTTTTATTACTGGACGACTCTTGAAATTTTACAAGAGTTTTCTACATTCTTCTGTCGTCATTTGTTAAAAACCTCTCTCTCTGTCTCTAATGCTTCACAATACTGTTTCTCTCTCTCCCTTAATTTTATATTTAACCCTCCCATTTCTTGTGCATGTGAAAAATACAAGGTAAAAAGGCAAAAGCACAACAAACAGATCAACTGTACCCATTTCACCTCATTGGGATAATGCAAGTCTGCTCCTCTATTATGCGTAAATCTCAGTTCCTTGTTTAACCCTTCCATTCCCAGCTGTCATCTCATCGGATACCTCAGGGGAGGGGCCGGCCGTCTGCAGCCGTCAGAGAAGCTCTTGCAGCTGCTGCCACCCAGCAAGCCAACCTGGTCAGTACATTGTACATGTATGTGTGCCACCTGTTTCACTCAGGGAGACACATGTACACATACTCTCTCTCTCTCTCTCTCTCTCTCTCACAGCCCCAGCAGTACATTGTACATGTATGTGTGCCACCTGTTTCACTCAGGGAGACACATGTACACATACTCTCTCTCTCTCTCTCTCTCTCTCTCTCACAGCCCCAGCAGTACATTGTACATGTATGTGTGCCACCTGTTTCACTCAGGGAGACACATGTACACATACTCTCTCTCTCTCTCTCTCTCTCACAGCCCCAGCAGTACATTGTACATGTATGTGTGCCACCTGTTTCACTCAGGGAGACACATGTACACATACTCTCTCTCTCTCTCTCTCTCTCTCTCACAGCCCCAGCAGTACATTGTACATGTATGTGTGCCACCTGTTTCACTCAGGGAGACACATGTACACATACTCTCTCTCTCTCTCTCTCTCTCTCTCACAGCCCCAGCAGTACATTGTATATGTATGTGTGGCACCTGTTTCACTCAGGGAGACACATGTACACATACACATATGTACTAGACACATTCATGGTTTTTGAGATTGCAAGGTTTATGTAACATAACAGCCTCTCGAAGTGCAAATGAGGTTAATGCGCAATACCATTGTGTACTGCAACAATTTTCGATCTGATCTCATTATTATGATGTACACTTACCGAAGAAATTTCCTTGCCACTTGCTTGTGTCTTCTTTTCTCTCTCTCTCTCTCAGCCCCAGCAGTATCAGAGGAGGGGAGGCGAGGCTGCGCTGAGAGCCGTTGTCAAGTACTTTGGAGATCGTCTTCTCTCCACCCTCCCCTCCCTGTGGTCACACATCACCTCTCCACTTCACAACCTCCCCTCCCCACCTCCCGCTACTGATAACACTGGTATAGTAATCCAACGCCAATGGAACAGAAGATTAGGTGTCCTTATTTCAGGGGTTAAAAAATGATACCTACGCAACCTGTTGTTATTTCACTCACCCACAGAGGTACCAGACGAGGTGGTGGGAGCCGGACAGGCGGTGGTGCATTGTCTTCAGGTCCTGGAGGTGATAACTCCCTCCCTCCACCCCTCTCTCCGACCACGCCTCCTCTCCCTCCTCCCCCTCATCCTCGACTGCATCAAGTCTACGTTCACGGCCGTCCGCCATCTCGCTGCTCGCTGCTTGGCCACCTTCACTCTCGTGGGTCTACATAAATCTATGATAGTGAGTTTGATTGGCTCGCCAAGTGAGAGTAAAGAGTGTGCATTAATGTATAGATAGCGAATCTAAGAAACTACCTATCTGCACTGGAGAGCTGCTGGGGCCCTGAGCTATGATGCTAATGATTCCAATGCACTTAGATTTCATGGACCCACTGCTGTTTTTTTTCATTTACGATTTTCCTTGTTTCTCTCTCTCCTCCCATCTCGTGTCTGTCTGTGCAGTTCATGGTGGAGGATCTCTTGCCATATTTGGGTGACAGTGAGTCTGTAACACACAGACAAGGTGCCATCGAGACTATTGCTTGTATCCCACATATACCACTATATGTAAATACATATACATACATATACCACTATACAATGCGTACACTTTGCTTTTCATTTTGCAGACAACTGTCAGACTTCATGTGTATACGTACATAGTGTCTAGTGGGTTTATTTATTTAGTTTGCCTGTATTTCGTTTTTGCACTTGGATGCACTTCTTTCGTGAATATACACATATTCACTCTTTCTAAAGTACATAATTGTGTGAAGGAATTGTGAGATACGTGACGTACACTTTGCAGCGAACACCAGCAGTTTGTGTATGTGAGAGCACTGTCCTTGACTCCACCCCCCTCGTTAAGGTGTCCTGGAGTCGGCAGGTCTGCAGGCCCTGTGCTACGTGGTGCTGCTAGTGATGCCGGTCATGAGTCGAATGAGCGATCAGGACGCGGACGTGAGGCTCATGGCTTCACGCTGCTTTGCTAATCTCGTCACCCTCATGCCTTTGGAGGTGAGAGGGATGGGGAACGAGAGGGTACGAGAAGGGAAGGTAAGAGAGGGAGAGAGAGAGAAGAATGACAGAAGAGGAAGAAGAGGGGAGAAATGGAGAAAAAGCTGTTTTGTTGTAGTTTTCTGATACACGGGATAGTCGATATAACAGTCAAGTGCATAATAATTGTTGTTTAGAGATGACTTCCTTTCCTGCAAACACAGGCCGGGACAGAGAGCCCCAAAGAAATGCCAGAGAAACTGGCTCAGAAGAGAAACACCGACCGAAGGTTCCTCGAACAGCTTCTGGACATTTCAAAACTGGACAACTACGCCGTCCCAGTTCCAATACACGCCGACCTCAGGCAGTACCAACAGGTCCTTATAAATACGTAACACTTCAGTATTACACTTACTGTATAATACCTCAGTATAATACTTATAATACTTCAGTATAATACTTATAATACTTGTTCAACAGAGCAAGGTGTAGGCTAACCAGGATGGGGAAAGCAATGTTGTTTTACAGCTCTGGAGGCTATATACCTTGCTCTCGTGTGGGGTTTAAACAAGTGTGCCGTTGTTTGCGTTTAATGTTTGTCCTTCGTTCTGATCGCCCACGTCATACAGTTGACAGCTGAGCACTCTGAACACCACAAGCCACTATATATAATACGTGCATTGCTCCGCAGACGCCGTAAAATAAATCTTGTGTATTACTCAGACCGCCGGGCAATACTGAGTTTATGTGTAATTCTGCGTATATGTGGCGTATAATTAACAGTATTCTTATTTTTTTACGTCGCAGGATGGTATTAACTGGCTGGCGTTTCTGAACAAGTACAGCCTCCATGGAATCCTCTGTGATGATATCCTTCATTTCTAACCATCTATCTATGTAATCCTCTTCCTTTTATATCTCTTAAACCTGTACATGTCTACTACCCTATAGTCGTGTTTTTTTTCGAGTTGTTGTTTGTTTTGAACGGCACGACGGGTATTTTCTTTCATACATGGTATTTACCCTTAACCAGATGTTTTTTTCTGCCGTTTTATAAACATTTTCCCCATCACATATGGGATTGGGTAAGACCCTGCAGAGTCTGTGCATAATTGCCGGCGACCACTTCCACAGAGAGAAGCAATATAAGGTTTTTACCACATGGCATAACTAATTATTCGTATGATCAACACATGTAATTATTACATTGAAGTCCAAGTAGTAGTTTTCGTAGCCTATCACAGAGTTGAATTCCCTAAACCGAATTCTTCACACAATTGTTGCAACTTATTTTTACATCCTGTAGCATTCCCACTGCGTATGTGTATAATATGTTATGCAATATAAATGCAGTTTTCCTTCCTTCCCCCGTGCAACATACGTAGACTACTGGACAAGTGGATCAAGCTCCACTGCCGTCTCTTGTGATATGTCCACCGACACTCATCGGACACTGGTACTACGAGGTGTGCAAGTTCTGTAGACTTGAAGACCTGAGTCCACTGCAGTACTCTGGACCGCCCAGTACACGGGCCAGGTGAGAGGGAGAGAGGGAGAGAGAGAATGAGAGGTGAGTGGGGGAGGAGGGTGAAATCGGAAAAGGAGGGGGCAAGAGATTGCAGAAGAGAGAGGGAGAAGGGGAGAGAATGAGAGGTGAGTGGGGGAGGAGGGTGAAATCGGAAAAGGAGGGGGCAAGAGATTGCAGAAGAGAGAGGGAGAAGGGGAGAGAATGAGAGGTGAGTGGGGGAGGAGGGTGGAATCGGAAAAGGAGGGGGCAAGAGATTGGAGAAGAGAGAGGGAGAGGGGAGGATGGGAAGGAGAGAAGGAGAGTAGGGAGGACAAAGGAAAGGGAAGGTAGGAAGAGTGAAGGAAGGGAGCTAAGATTACACACAGTGTGTTCCCAAGAACAGAGTTTGTTTGCATTCGTGTGTGTTCTTCCTATTGTCAGACTCCAGAGCCTAGTCCCAAACCATAACCTGGTGATTGCCTCCTATGACATCATAAGAAATGACGTCGACTTTTTCAGGTACATACGTACATAACTCTAAGATTCGATTGAGGTCAGCAATTACCTCTTTGGTGTCGGATTTGGCTTATCAAGAACTGTAGCGTTCTGAGTCAGCATATGAGATGTCTCACTAACTGTTTATTTCCAGCTAGACATGGTGCTTTGTGCTTTTAGAGACTTCTTTTTGCAGCCTCTTATCTGGTCTTTTATGGTCGTTCTCAGATCCATCACGTGGAACTATTGCGTCCTCGACGAAGGACACATCATCAAGAACACAAAGACAAAGGTCTGGACCTTGGACATAGCAGAGCCCTACATACGTAGATTTTTCCACCTGTTCACACAGATCACTAAAGCTGTGAAGCAACTGAGGGCAAACCATCGACTGATTCTTTCAGGGACGCCTATTCAAGTACGTACGTATAATGGAGGAAACGCCGTGTAGGTTTTGCTAGTAGCTGCCCTGGTGGCTCAGTCAGAGAGTCTTGTTTAGTCACACCTATAGGACAGCCTTTTTTCCAGTTCAATTGCACTCGCTTTATATACGTTGACATAATCCATGTCTCAGAACAATGTGTTGGAGCTATGGTCGCTGTTTGATTTTCTCCTGCCCGGGTTCCTCGGGACCGAACGGCAGTTTTTCGAGCGGTTCGGGAAGCCCATCCTCCTCAGTAGAGACGCCAAGTCCTCGTCCAAGGAACAAGAAGCAGGTGACACGATCAGTGTAATACTATAATCACTGCACTATTGGCTCTTAGACCCACGGTGCTTTATACCTTGTTATATGCCAATGGCTAATACTGTAAAACCGGAAATACTGGCGCTCCATTAAATTTAGCAAATTTGGCGTTTAGAAATAAATCGCTAAAATTAATGGTCCGCCAAAATTTTCTATAAGAGGTCAAAGTTAACCACAACTTACAAAACGCTAATATTAGTGCCGCCAATATGTGGAGTCTGAGTAAAACGCTAAATATAATGGCCGCCAATATTTCAGGCTTTACAGTACATCATTGGTGACACACATGCACAGCATAATTATGATGAACTCTTTACTAAAAATGTTTTTGTGTGCCAAGCATGCCATTTCGATGAATTTGGCCCCCAAAACTTCCTGTTGTGTATAATTATATGTGCATGATGTATCACACTTGTGTGAATGGCCTCATTGGCTGATGATTATGGGAGCAGTCCCTGATATACAAAAATTAATGGGAAAGACTTAAACTTAATGTCTGAAATTCTCGTTCTTACCCTTTCTATGACGATTATCTGATTCATGTGTCAGTATTGCTGTAAGCTATACAACAGCAATAGCGGCCATGATAACACACACACACACACACACACAGCGACAGTTTTTCCGACTTTGATGCACATACGTATACATACATACACGTGGAATCCCACGAAATACACTTAAATTCACAGCAATAGGATCCCGTGCGTGGGCCACAGGAGTTGTTAAGGTATCTGCCAGTTGGAAAGTAAAAACACGGGTGCATGTACAGCTCTATGTTGTTGATATTTTGGCAGTGAAAAACGATTTTAAAAGCCATACAGCCATAGCAACAGACAGAGTGTACACATACATAGCTAGCGGTGGGAGGCTAAGTATATATACAAAAACATGGCAATGCCGAGACATGTCATGGCTATGGCAGTAGCTGCGAGGTTCAATATGACCGAGATGAGACAGTTCAAACATGACTCCCTTTTGAAACCTTGCTGGGACAATATTTCAGCCTGTGAATGAACATAACAGAGCTTTACAACTAACTGTGTATGCAGTTACAACATTTGCAGAGCCTAGAAACAACACAGGGGGTTAAACAAATAACCACTAACCCTAACCAAACACTTGCATATACACTAGTATTAGGCAACTTGTGTACACAACGATAGGATGCTGTGTGGGGGTCGTGGTGCATCTACAAATGAGTTTTTAAATCTGCCGGTCGTAAAGTAAAAACATCCATAGCTTTTGCTTGTATTGTAACAGGCACCGTAGGTATCGAGGCAATCTCCACAGTGTATGCATTCATTCCTGGCAGATAAGTTTTCAGAGAATCATAGGAAACCCATAAGCACTCGTGTGTGTATGTACGAGTAGGTGGGGAGTATTCCCTATAGCACTGCATACTGAAAGTTGCAACAGCTCTATACTTTTTTCTTGGCTATAGCGCTGTACATCTGCTGATACACACTGAGGTCTTGTGATTTTTTTCCCGAGGGATTTATTTTTCATCCGTTTTGGGGAAAGTTTCACTCTAGAGTTGCACATGAACTGTTGTTCATCACAAAAAAACAGGCCAACTCTCTCCTAGCTATAATATACACGTAGCAGGCAGGCACTGAGCCACACCTGGCTTGGCGGAATGCACAGCTATGTAGTTGCTCTTCACTACCAAGTGTAGGACTTGCAAAATGACAGCTACATAGTGTACTGTAGTTGCTCTAATGACGTGTAGCTAGCAGACATTCGCAGGTATGGATACAGACAGATTGAAGTGCACTAGCTCACCCTGTCAGCAAGAATGTAGGCCGGAATGGTAAGGAGGAGGGAGAGAGGCGTCGCTGCCACGAAGCACACCATCAGCATCACCAGACACATGCATCTCCAGGTCGAGTAGGGCTCTGCGCACATGGCGTACATGGGCGGCTGCCTGCTCTTCTCCTCCGAGGCCATCAGGCCTCGCGTCGCCTCGTTTGCGACGCGTCTGAAGTCTCTCATCTGCAGTTGCGGGCCGCAAAATACATGCGCGTAGACGTCCGCTGATAAACTCACGTCTTCGAACGAAGTTTGCGAGCTCTGTTTTATGTCAACGGAGGTGATGTTTGTTTCAGACGTGCTGAGCAAGGATTCCTCGGCTAGTGGGTATGCCTGGAACATAGCTAGCTCTCTGAGACACTATCGCAACTGTTGGGATTCCATCGTCTGGAGAGCATACGCCCCTTATTCGCGCGCATGCGCTGTTGTTCCGAGCTATGCGCACTACGCGCGCGCTCGTTTAATTGTGCAAACGCTGCATTGGACTGCACTACAATAATGATGGAGCTTGCAATGAAACTCTGCAGGAGCTCTTGCAATGGAGTCCCTGCACAAACAGGTCCTCCCGTTCCTGTTGCGGAGGATGAAGGAAGACGTTCTGCAGGACTTGCCTCCCAAGATCATACAGGACTACCACTGTGAACTTAGCCCCCTCCAGGTACCTCTCTCTTTAATATTCTCAGGTGACATTTGTAGGAAATATGCATCACAGTGTGTATTTGCTACCAATAACTTCCTACTATAACTACATAGGGGCCTTAGATTCAATGTTATTTCAGACAATTTTCACTTCCTTTAGCGACACATTACACTCGTATGACCCAATGTACATGACACAGCTATATATACCCCACGTAACCTGCTCTAGATTGTCTGTCACTGAATTGCCTCCTCCTGTGTGTGTGTGTGTGTGTGTGTACAGGTGAAGCTCTATGAGGATTTCGCCTGCTCCAAGGCAAAGAAAGAAGTGGAAGACACACTCGCGGAGGACGAGGAGGGGAGAGAGGGAAGAGATCGCTGTGGCTAAAGTTGAACCTCCTCCAACTCATATCTTTCAGGCAATGCAGTATTGCATCAGTAGCATGGTTTATTTCCTGAATTCACACTTTCGTTTCCTGCTAACACCTATCACAAGTACTGCATGGATCTTGTCCATGAGTTTGGTTTTAAAACACCTGTTTCACCTGTTTTACGATTTTCCACACTAGCTCTTCCTACTCCTAATGTAGTGTTGAGTACGCATGATGCCAGAAACCCCTAATGTTTACTGAGGAGTATTAATATTCTCTGAGGCAATATCGCTCTGCAGCACTTGCCTGAGTTGAGCTAAAGAATACGGGCATGAAAGTTTGAAATGATGTTCAATCTCTGAGTAATGGATGACAGGCAGACATTACCAATCATGTCACGGATGAATGTCTTAGCAGACATTTCTTATGTAGTGACATTAAGTTGGAGCAGACGGCAGTCATGGATGGCTGGTTTAGCAGACCGTTGTCTTACAGACATCATTTCTTAGCAGTCATGGAGGTTAAGCAGACAGCAGTCATGGGTGGATGGTTTAGCAGACATTTCTTAGTAACTGCTTTAGTGGGCAACCTCTCTTAGAGTCATAGACAATTGTCTTAGCAAATTAACTGACCACATTCATAGATTATTGTCTTAGCACATGTCTGGGCAGACAAAATTTCTTAACCGTTGTAGATATTGCCGTAGCAGCACAAAACTACGGTGTCTCAGTCCCATACACTGCCCCACACTGGTCCACACGTGTAGAGAAACAGAGGGAGAGAGAGAGGGGGAGAGAGAGGGGGAGAGGGAGAGAGTGTGTGTGTGTGTGTTTGTGTGTGTGCAGGCACTGCAGTACCTGCGGAAGGTGTGCAACCATCCTGCGCTGGTGCTGAACCCCGATCATCCCCTATTCTCAGAGGTCCAGGGCCAGCTCAAGAAGACTGGCTCCACCCTCAAGGACATCAGACATGCCACAAAACTACAGGCCCTCAAGTAAACTAACTTCGCATACTATTTCATCGGTAACGTCCACTGAATTTTTGCGGAATTAATAATATTGCATGCTATTTCTTGAAACTTCCATTAACTTCATAAATGAAAGTTTTACCCAGGTAGACTTTATTCCCCATAGTGTATGAAGTACAATAGAGCGTAGGTGTAGATCTTGAACACATGCTCTATGGAGCAGGCCATATGTCATCTTGTAGGAGCTGCCACATTTGTGGATATCTAGGCCATTTCAATGACACAGTATTGCATAACTATTGCATGGTGTTATGTACTGGCAGTATACACATTACCTATGGTGTTAAGGCAACTCCTCCATGACTGTGGAGTGGGGTTGGAGGGAGAAGAGGAAGGAGAGGTGGCCGCAGTGGGTCAGCACAGGATACTCATCTTCTGCCAGTTTAAAGGAATACTGGATATCATTGAGAACGACCTCTTCAAGTGAGCCGTGCACTACGGGTGAAAGAGAGAGAGAGAGAGAGAGAGAGAGAGAGAGAGGAAGTGTGTGTGTGTGTTTGCGTGTTTTGTAGATACATGTGAGTGTGCGATTTTGTGTGTGTGTGCTTGGGTGTGCAAGTAGGCAGTGCTTTTGTGTCTGAAAAAAGAAGAATAGCTGTGAGTGAGGAGAGAGAAGGCAAAGGATTAAGTATGTGAGTAAGAGAGGGTGAATGTCTACCTCAACTCTATTCCACGTGTGTTGTAATTACGAGTTCTACGAATCTACTGGGGTGGTCACATGTTATACCACCACGTGTAACATGTTGCAGAGTCCACATGCCAACAGTGACCTACCTCAGACTGGACGGCTCCGTCCCTGCCAACTCCAGATTTAGCATCGTTCGCAAGTAAGGATGCACCACTGTGGAGGAGGGGGCAAACACGGGCAGTTGCACTCTGTGGATCCTTGGGAGTGATACATACACTGGTGGCAAAGAAATGGTGTCATTGTTGACTCCAAACCAAAGGAACTCGGACAGTGTTCACTCACACCTTTCTCTCTTCATTCTCTCCCCATTCCTTTCTCCTCTCTCTCTTCTCTCTATTCTACTACCCTCCTTCTCCATCGTTTTACCTGTCACCTGCATTTCTAACCACCCCCTCTAGGTTCAATGTGGACCCATCAGTGGATGTTCTCCTACTGACAACCCATGTTGGAGGCCTGGGTCTTAATCTAACTGGTGCTGATACTGTCATCTTCTTTGAACATGACTGGAACCCCATGAAAGACCTACAGGTCTGCATTGGACAGGATTTCGATAGTACCAGGGTTGCATGCGCATTTTTTCGTGGAGTACAATTATGCACACACTCACTCACACACACACAACCTGCAAAAGATATCCTCCTCTCTCTCCTTTCTTCTCCCTCTCTGTCTCTCTCTCTCTCTCTCTCTTTCGCCCCAGGCTATGGATAGGGCTCATCGTATTGGACAGAAGAAAGTGGTGAACGTCTACAGACTCATCACGAGGGGGACGCTGGAGGAAAAGATTATGAGGTGCATTTACATCACCATAGTAGTACAACATGCAGGAAGTGGTTGAGTGTATTATGAGCTACGTATAGTATAGACCGTGTATAATGCCTTAATGTTTACATGATCTTGTTTAGCCATTAGTGTGTCCAATCCGAACGCAAAGTTCAATCTTATAAAGCTCTCTGAAGTAAATAACGTGTTAGCTATAGCCTGAGACACTATATAGCAGTGGAGTAAAGCCCCACCACAACAGAAGGAGGTGAAATGTGCCCACGCTGCTTCCCAGCCAAGCAGCCTCATTATGCAGTCTCCTACTTCACAGGCCTGGCCTAATATGTCTGGCTTTGTGACTCTACCTGTCACCCAGACCAGGGGACTGACCGTGGCCAAACGCGCCTATGGCCAGCACCGCGCGGCATCCCTGCCAAGTGCCCACCACTAACATTGCCTTTTGTGAGCATTATTTGAGTGGCGTATGCCAACTGTGCACCGAATAGAGAATAAGTAATGCGACCCTAATCCAGTTGTATTGATAGAGACTGCTGCGGGAATCTGTGTCTTGCCACCAATCCTCCGCTAGATTGAGTTTCTCTTGTAACCCTCTCATGTGCCCCTATTAGGGAATGTTGTTGTGAGATGGGCGTGTGTGAATCGTGTAGTGTGAAGCGATGTTTTCATGTCCATCGGTCGTCACTGGACACCGCCACAGTGTAATGATAGAAATGAGGGGAAAGAGAGGGGGGAGGGGAGGGAGAAGTCACAAGGAGGAAGATAGTAGGTCATATTAATTTTGTGTCTGGAGTGACACAGATTTAGAAAAACTGCCCGCTAGAAGAAGTCATACAGAGTATGTGGTGTATGTGTATGTGTGTAATGGTCGCAGGATTTGACTCAGCGTCCAATAATGCACATTCCATTCCCAGGATTCCTCTTCTCCTAATACAGTTGTGTGGGCAATGTTACACGACACAAGGACATAATTTACATTCCGCTAACAAATGCAAACACCCAAAACCTTTCATGACTATGGAACGTGTGTCTTATAGTACATACTGCCGTGTGTATGAATCTTACTGTATACCACCCCCGTGTATGTAGTATAGTACATGGTGTTGTGTTGGTAGCAAGGAGAGTGTAAAGGTATTTTGATCACGTAGGGTCGAAACCTTTTCGTGGACCTTTGTGCCACCGTCTGCAACTTCTCTACTTAGCATCTTGCTTGGACTATTTTTAGTTAAACTGTAGTTATCAACATACGTACATAGGGATGACATAACCCTTATGAAATTTTCTATACATGTACCAGCTCGCACATTTGTTGCTAGTTCTACATGAGTAAGCCCAAGTTCTATTGAAGCCCTATTTCTTTCTGTCTCATCTGTTTTCTTCTTTCATTCTCTGTATAGCATGAGCTGTTGGTTTACATGTAGACACACCTCTCTGCTCTTGTGCCCGTACAGACTACAGAAGTTCAAAATTAACATTGCCAATACGATCATCAGCCAGGACAACTCCAGCCTGCGCTCCATGAACACCGCAGAGCTGCTGGATCTCTTCAGACTCTCCGCTGGCACTTCCACCACCTCTGGGGCCAACCAGACAACTGACAGCTCCTCCACCGTGAGCAATAGAGACCCCTTGTCGTAACAGCGGAACCTCTCTCTCTAAATGACAACCTTGAAACGAGGACACCTTTCTCTGAACCCCTCTCCTACCCACAAACATGTTTTTGCATGCCCTTGACGATTTTGTTTCAAGCCGCCTCTGCCTGATGCATGTTTACTACTAGCTTCGATTCAGGATGTATACGTATCCGCATAGATCGTATTTTCAGTTTGGTACACTTTATTCTGTGACGGGAGGTTTAATGTTTGCCAGTTTGGGATCATGTTGTGTACTTCAAACCCGATATCTCATATTCTAATACAGGGCGGTGTTGGTGGCCGTAGAGGAAGGAGTAAGGAGAAAGGTATGAAGGATGTCCTGGAAGGCCTGCCGAACCTGTGGGACGAGGAGCAGTACAAGTCGGAATATGACCTCTCCAGCTTCATGAACTCTCTCTCTGCTGCGAAATAGGGACAATGCTAGCAGGGCTGCATAGTGTGTGGCCTGCATGTTGGACTTTATCAGTGATTTGCTTGCTTGCTCTCTAAATATTCGTAATCTAATTAAATGCGAGAAATTTTGAAAAGTGATGTACACACTTCCGGTGGGGTCACGTGATCTTTTGTTAACATTTTTGCGAGCCCCCACGGTCGATTTTTCCCCACGCACGCTCTCGGACGAGACCACAAGGTTCCAGAGTTCGCTCGCTGGCTGAAGGATTTACTGGCTAGTTGCAGAGAAGAGAGTTGCACACGAGAAACACTCTACGAGAAATAGACAGGAGGAGCACAATTTCGCAGCTGATTCATTCTCCGAGAAAAGAAGTTGCGTGTAGGAAGTCGCATAGCTTGCTGAACTGAGCTATATCGCCGCAGCTAGCATGGCGGACGAAGGACTGAAGTACCTGGTGGTGGACAGGCGCCAGATCAGCGATGTGGTGGCGCATAGCGATTGGGCCAAGAAGAAGTTGGTGTGGATCCCACACCCCGACCTGGGCTTCGTCCAGGGCAGCATCACGAGCGAGAAGCAGGATCAGATAACGGTGGTGCTGGACGACGGGTCGCGGAAGACGCTGAGCAAGGACGACGTCCAGAAGATGAACCCGCCCAAGTTCGACAAGGTGGAGGACATGGCGGAGCTGTCCTTCCTGAATGAGGCCAGCGTCCTGCACAACCTCACCAGCCGCTACTACTCCGGACTCATCTACGTGAGTGCGTGCGTGCGTGCAGCGTTACGTACGTACGTGCGCGGAACCTGCATGCGTCCTTGGCAGAAATGGCTTGTAGCTAGCGCATGGAACAAAGCTGTTTGTGCATGTATTCCCCTTTCATGTCTTTGTGTTATTCAGGCTAGGTGTGTACGTTGCATGCTAGCTGTTATTGGCCAGCTAGCCAAGGCAGTTTACTGGGTTTTGAACCGTTAGCCGCTAGTAGATTAGTCCGCAGTTTATGAAGTGGGTATATTCGGGTTATTGTCCCCTGATTGTGTTATAAGCAACATATTACCCCACCCTTCCATTACTGCCAGGTATCTGTGTCAAAAGTCGGTACATAGGTTCTTCCTATATATAGCATAGCATGCCTCTAAGAGTATCTGTGCATTGTGGACTGGTATTTGTGCCAAGTGTACAATGCAACTGTCTTGCCACAATATCGTGCTTTCCCACTGAGTTTACTCTGTTATTGTGTGTCTGTGGACCACAGTAGCATGTTCCTGGTGCATGTGGATTAACAGCGGAGTTCCTATTATAGGGAACAGTGCGTTTTAAAAGGCATTTTGTCAAACGGTCTACTGAAGGTTGTGTAAGATGTTTTGCTGCGGGTGTGTGGCAATGTAAGGTGGCTTGATGGGACAAATGCAGGAAGAAATGGGAAGTATTGACAGGACGTGGTGTGTGTACCATTAAGTGATTATCAGTTTAGCGATTTTGTACAGAAACCTGTAATAATCAGGGATAAGTGGCAATAATTGTTGCCTGCTAGATGGGCAGATCGTGTTGCCACTGAACCTAATATTGAAAATGAAATTCTCACGGGGTCTTTATGTAGCCATGGAGCTCCCAGTAATGTAGACAATGAGTTCCAGCCAGTCATCTGTTGGGTGCCCTGTACAATCCATTGTCTACCTCTATATGTCCTGTCTTGTACCTCCTTTTACGGCTACACTAGACCCAGTATCTTCGGCACGGCATAGACATGAGCGTTGTAATGTACATGCACACATTATAACTAAACAGCATTTATGATGATCGATGGTTATGTGGGCTCGATACGAGGTGTTTTTAGACCGTCTCATTTTGTGTGGCTCCGTGGAAGCTGAGGTGAAAGTGTACTGGCTAGGGACATGCAGAGGGTAACTAGCAAGCATTCTTGGTGGTTGGGTGGGTGGTTAAGGGCTCCCCAGACACCTTTCTGCATGCCACCTTCTGTTAAACTTACCCCCCTAGTTCCGTGTATATAGATTTAACCAGGGCTGTGTGGGGTGTATATCTAGTCATCGTGTCGCTGGATACATTAGCTGGGGAAAAGGTAGGGTACGAGAGTCTGTAGGAGGATACATAGCCCCAGGTCAAATTTGCAGCCCTGTTGCACCCTCTAATTGATGTGCTACCACAAGTGAGGGCTAATAAAGCTTTCGAGAGCTATACGTTCCTTGCGCCTGGCATCTTTGGCACCGCATGTGGATGTGTAGAAGCAATGGATGTCGCAAGGCGAGGCAAAGGTAGAGTACATGACTGCTGTGATAAATACAGATTTGAGGGAGTGACATGGTTGGATGTTGTACGTGGGATGGACAGCGAGCCAACTGCGTGAAAGGCGCGTCAGCCAAAGCAACAGAAGCGGGGTCTGTGAATGCTAACTGAATCACCGCTAGAGCTCCAAACAACGCCTCCCCCTCCCTCCTTTTCCCCATCTCAAAAATTCTGATACTTCTTTCCAGAGCCAGTGTACTGCTTTGTTCGTCCTGAAGCTCTGATAAGTTTACCACTTTCTTCTATGGTTCAGAAACCCTCGCCCACTTCTTGCCTCATACGCTGCTAACGTCTGTCCTTGCTGGCATAAACTGACCTCTCCTTCCCTCCTCCACTGCTGATCTCTCTAATAAAGTATTTGTGGAATATGATTGATGAAGGGAAGTGGTGGGTGATATCAATCAGGTCCTACTTCCTCTCCTTATACCGGGAGGGTTGCTGTAGTGTAGTTGTCTGGGAGTTTCGAGACTGAGGAATGTTGAACGGAGAGGGTGTCACCGTACTCTTCCTCTTCCTGTGTTTGTCAGCTAGGTTCACAGTACACTAGTGGAGGTGCTATTGGTGTAGGGAGGAAGGAAGAGGGAGAGAGAGAGAGAGAGTGAGAGAGAGAGAGAGAGAAAGGGGAGGAAGGAAAAGAGGAGCATAGGTGAAGGAGAAGAGAGGAGAGAAGGGGAGAGGTTGCCCAAGGCTAATCTTTATAGGTTGTATGTATAAGTAATTGCGTGGAATTTTGTGGCATGCTATTTGTCTGCAAGATTTTGATGGTCTCTTGTGGCAGCTGGACCTTTGTTGATTTTAACCATCCTTATGGGGATAAATATAGAATCCTGCATGCCTAAAATAGTTTCAATTCATCTGAGCTTTGGTAATTGTGTGATTTTATGCCGTGTGATGTACGAGCTGTTTCAAGACATGCTACACCAGCTGTTTAAACCGACCATTAGTCAATAATGCATCTAATGCTCGTTGTTCGTTACGACATTCCTCAAATTCCTCTGATTTTTCCGTCACCGTCAGACAAAACTTCATCAAACTGAGCACGCGGGGTGCCGCTAGGAGATGTTGGGTAATGATATTCACGGGCTGGGGGCACCTAGCTGTCCATATGGCGGCAGAGATATGCTGGTATAGTGGGTGGCTAAGTAGGCCATTCTTCTGTGTGTAGGACTGTGTGGCTGATCGAGTGACGTACTAAGCAGTAACACTGTGTGTGTGTGTGTGTGCTGTATTGGACTAGGTGACGGTCATGAATATGATTAATTCAAAACCACAATCAGATGAGAGCACTTGCTTCGATCATCACGGGGTGATCTCAATACCAAAATACCAGGTTTCCTTCACTTGCTGGTGCCTTGAGCAAGTGTGATGCAGAGGATATTAGATTTCTGTGTTGGTCCATATATTGGTGTATCATGTTGTTCTCAAGTGCGTGTAGTCTGAGAGCACTGGAAGTGGGAGTGCTTGTTGGTGTAATTGTAGCCCCGTTGAGGGAACCTGGGGTAGTAGTAGGATCGGTTAGTATGGAGCGTTGGTTGCAAGGTGAGCCGGTTTATACCACTGCCATATATACATTGAATTCTACATAGTAGCTAATATACTGCAGCACAAGGTGGATAGTCAGAGTGCTGTTTCGTATATAGATTGTTAGGTAATGATGGCCAATCCTCCATCTTGCTGTGGATCATCAACACTTTGTTAGCTTGCGGTTGTCTCTAATGCTCGTTTATTGTGCCGGCAAAGAAGTATTTTAGCACGTGGTGACCGATTACAAAACTATCTAGCCTGTTTCAACTCCCTGTGTCCCTCTCTTTTCTCCACGTGGTAACCGATTACAAAACTATCCAGCCTGTTTCAACCCCTGTGTCCCTCTCTCTTTTCTCCTCCTCAGACGTACTCGGGGCTGTTCTGCGTGGTGGTCAACCCGTACAAATGGCTCCCGATCTACACAGAGAAGGTCATCGACATGTACAAGGGGAAAAAGCGTCACGAGATGCCGCCTCACGTCTACGCCACTGCCGACCAGGCTTACAGGAACATGCTGCTTGGTACGTACATCTTCCCTTTCTTTTTCTCTCTGTCTCCCTTTTTCCATATAACCCCCACCCCCTTTCCCCTCTCCCTCTTTCCTGTCCCTTGCCCTATCTCTCTTTTTTTCTCTAGCTGTTTTGCTCTGTAGAAATGCTAATAAAGTGCTCAAGAGCCACAAGAGCAACATTTCCTAGTAACCTGCCTCTTCCCTACTGTAGCCAGCCAAAAGCCTTCTAACTTCCAAGCTGCTGTAGCTACTGCTTGTACTGTTTATGTGTCCCATTTACTGTACATAGAAACCCATTAATCGGTGTAGGTGTATATACATACATGTGTAGAATTATGGGCAGTCGGAACTTAGCTACAATGTGTCTAGTAGCACTTAGTACACAATGCATTTCTTAGGTATATTATACTGGTACACAGATCTAATGTATATATTTACCTTTTCCCGGCTTCTCTGTTCTCCCTCTTTCTCTCTCCTCCCCCTCTCCCCTTCACTCTCTGCAGATCGTGAAAACCAGTCTATCCTTTGCACGTAAGCAACGCACACACACACGGATGCAGCACACACGCACACACACACACAGGCACGCACACATGCATGCACGCACAGCAATATTGTAATGTGTCCAATAAACAACAAGAGCTTCTGCTGGCACTCAAAAATGCATTATCTCAGCACAGCTACACCTTACCTGGTACATGACGTAAGCCTATGGGCACACACAATGCATACTTCGGACAAAGGGTATAGTGCCTACCCATAAAAGGTAAAAATGCCAGTTTCCTGTACCAAGGTTCCTCGGTAATAGGGTATGGAATGTCAGGAATTGAGTGTGGCCAGTCTCTGGCTGGTGGCCAAAGCTTTGCCTGACACTTCCCATGTGCCGTCCTTTCCCTTGGGACTCCAGAGAGCAGGTTGGATAAGATTACGTAACACATGGACTGTCGGGTCTGTAATCTCTCCCTTCAATTAGACTAAAAGATTAAATCGAGTGAACAGAATGTCGCTAGGAGATGTTTATTAACTGGCAATGCATATTGGCGAGCGAACGTGAGTGCAAAATCTGCAGTTTTACGTACGTATGAGGTGCGTACTAAAAGTTCCCCACTACAAAAACCTTGCACTCGAAGCAAAGGTTACGCCGCTGTCACGTAAAACTGGCAAATAGAGTGGTCTATGGTAGACCCAAAGTCATTTCTAGAGGGGCACCGATTCACTCCACACAATTGGACCTGTACACGTGCTTCAACATGTAACTGTTTGCTGGATATGTATATATGTGCAGTATGATATACAGTACACGCAGTCTGGTAATAACAGGCTGCTATATTGGCTCGTGCATTTTGAAAATCTGTCTGCAAGCGTGCCTGAATTAATCGACCATTTGGCACGGCGTTTGTTTGTCGCCCGGAATCAAGGCGACGCACATTTGCTCCAATTTGTATTTCTCTTGTACTTGTTCTAATGGAAGGGCAGTGGGATGGATGACGTGTGTTAAGGCTTCTACGGCCAGAGAAGCACATCTGCTGTCGTCGTGCTGCAAGAAAAACGCACACACAAACCCATGGCACGCAAGATGTAAGTACAAGAATGTGATTAGGATAAAAACAAGCTTCCAAAGACAGGTGCGGAAGTGTCCTTTGCATGAAAGAAAATCTCACGGAATCTATCTTTAGGATGATCTTCTTCGCTCTATGATTTTTGTAAGCACACTGAAGTGGGGAGTGGGTCAAAACAGTTATGGTAATTAATGGGTAATTCCGGGCACCTGGCCGGTCACAGAGCTGCCCCTTACAGGTCGGGTTCGGCCAAACAAGTAGAATGGGTTTGCCTCACATGGACTGCTATCGTGCGAATGATTGTTTTAACTGAGCCTTGAATGTGCATACACTACAAAATAATAAAATTATGGTAACTGTATTGTAGTTGGTGTAGTGTACTAAAGAATGGCGGAGTCTAATCAACAGGCAAGTGCTCCAGGGGTCCTGAATATAATTACTCGATGAGGCACTGAGGTTTTGATGGGTATCCCATGGGAGCCTGCACAAATCAAAATTCCCAAGTCGTTCGTTCACGCAGTAATTACACAGTAATGTGCTGTAGCGGAAGGTGGAGAGGTTTTAGTCCCCTTCCTCGACATCACATCATCCTACTACGTAGCTTCATTCAAATGGCTTCCTTTACGCAGTAATTGAAATGAGGGGCTCTGGGTGTACGGTCAATGGCTAAAGAGCTATATATGGCTGCCACCTTAGTATTTGCTATAGCGGAAGGTGGAAGGGTTTTGGCTAGTATTCTTCGTTATAACTTTCATTATTACCCCCCTGCCTCTCTGCAGTGGAGAATCCGGTGCAGGAAAGACTGAGAACACCAAGAAAGTCATCCAGTACCTGGCCGTGATTGCAGGGGCGTCCCATCACGGCAAAGACAAGCAGCTGGTCCGCAAGGCCAGCCAGCATCTGATGAGCAAGACGGGATTCACCGGTCGCCAGGGAGAGCTGGAGGCACAGCTCCTGCAGGCCAACCCCATCCTGGAGGCTTTCGGCAACGCTAAGACAGTCAAGAACGACAACTCATCTCGTTTTGTGAGTCATTATCAACACACACCCTCTATAGTCACAACTGCCTGCTCATTAGAGTTGGTTGCTTTAGGTTAATGGACCTTTATAAGTTGAAAGTTTTGGAACTGCATAGCTTTTTGGAGGAGGTAGTGCTTATTTTGTCATACACTCGAGGTATATATAACTGAGTGAACTGGTACACACCGATTTGAAAATTTTGCTCTTGTTAAGTCGACAGACACTGTAAAGTTACACCTTTCTAAGTGCTCTGATGACATTCTGTCTGTCTGTCTTTGTGTCTGCAGGGCAAGTTCATCAGGATCAACTTTGATCAGAGTGGGTTCATCGCTGGGGCCAACATCGAGACTTACCTCCTGGAGAAGAGCCGGACGATCCGCCAGGCTCCCGAGGAGAGGGCCTTCCACATCTTCTACCAGGTCCAAAAGGGAATGGATGAGGCACGCAAAGGTACGTCGAGGCCCCTCTCGCTTCTTACGATTTTTGCTGGCTGTCATGTGTGAGCAGCGGAAACCGTTGTGAGCATGTGTGAGCAGCGGAACCGTTGTGAATTGTGTAGTGATAAACACCCCCTGTTTAAACAGCCCTAGAGTAGCCCCGGTGTGGGGATAGTGCCGGCTACAAGGAATGTGTCTAGTGGACACAAGTTATGATGATAGGGACAATTTTATATCCTCTTGAAAGCTTTTTTGATGGGTTGTACACATTAGACGCTTTGACTGAACACCATCGTAGACGATCCTACAACCTCAGTGAATTCACGAAAGGGAAGTGGCAAGCAAGCATGACAAGCCAAAACTAACTTATTAACAAACTCTGTACTCACTCCAACTTCACTTATATACATCTCTCTTCAGCCGAGTATCTCTTTGGTGAGGCCAGCACCTACAACTTCATGAGCAATGGCTACGTCTCTGTTGCGGGAATCAACGATTCCGCAGAGTTCGACGACACCGTGGAGGCCATGAACATCATGGGTCTCTCCGAGGAAGAGCAGGGCGGTGAGTATATATAATATACCAACCCCTACCGCGGTTATACCTCTCTTGCAGAGACCGGAGACAAAACTATTTCTCTGTAAATTTTTCTTCCTGCTGTGTGCTCGTCAACTTAGAGAGTACATATATTTCTGAATTCTGTTAGCGTTACATGAGGTTTGTGCAAATGTTCTGCACTCCTCTGAGCAGTGATTTTGATTGAAAACGCTACGTTCAAGACAACTCTCTCCGTTGTAACATCCCTTCTCTGCACCTTTCTTATACCTCGAACCTCTCTTCTATGAACTCTCTTTCTCCCGTTCTTCTTCCCCCGCCGTGCAGCCGTTTTCCGAGTGGTATCGGCCGTCCTCCATTTCGGTAATCTCCAGTTCAAGCAGGAGAGGAACTCCGATCAGGCCCTTCTTCCAGACAACACTGTGGCCCAGAAGATCTGCAAGCTGACTGGCATGAACGTCTCCGATTTCACCAAGGCCCTCCTCAAACCCAAAATCAAGACCGGCCGAGAGTTCACCGTCCGGTCACAGAACAAGTCCCAGGTCAGCCAACTCACAATATTATGTATAATATAGCTTTCTGCTGTATGGACAGTAGTGTGACAGACAGTAGTCTAGGGCATTGGGGAGACGGGGGAGTCCGGCCTCAACTGTATGACATCAGGCTGCTGCTGCTGGGTCAAATGTGTAGAATGAGCAAGGCTCTGGGTGTGCTTGACTGTTTATGCATGGAGCTATACACGTTAACTAGTACGTACGTAGGCACGCACAGATAATTTCACAACTCTAAGGCGGAGAAGTATTACATCAGTGCACTATAAAATGCCAGTATCTCAGCGATTGGTCCCGTCATGTTTGGTGTCCCTACCTGGTCACCTGTTCATCTTCTCCCCTCCCTCCCCCTCCCCCGCCTCTCAGGCTGAGTTCTCCAGTCAGGCCCTGGCCAAGGCGTTCTACGAGCGACTGTTCAAGTGGATCGTTCTCAGAATCAACAAATCTCTGGACCGAACGCTCCGCTCCGAGGCCTCCTTCATCGGAATCCTCGACATCGCTGGCTTCGAGATCTTCAAGGTACGTGTCGACCTCTGTCACATGATTGTCATGTGACTTAAGACATTCTTTCACTCTATGCATGTGACTTGTATGTGACCATTAACAGCCGTTGTATAGTTAAAGAGTGTCCTTTGCTCTACACATAATACTAATAACAATACTCTACTCTCTACTCATATGATCGTCATGTGACTATTATCTCTACTCATGTGATCGTCACGTGACCCTTCTCTCCACAGCTCAACTCGTTCGAGCAGCTGTGTATCAACTACACCAATGAGAAACTGCAGCAGCTCTTCAACCACACTATGTTCATTCTGGAGCAGGAGGAGTACAAGGTCGAGGGGATCGAGTGGACTTTCATCGACTTTGGTCTTGATCTCCAGCCCACCATTGACCTCATTGAGAAGGTTTGCTTACCGCGGGGACATACTGTGACTCGCTCTATTGCCAGAGTATTATTTTCATGCATACAACTGTATGATTAAATCAAGTAATCTCACACATTTAAACCCAGTTTTATGCTGTAGTAGTGCTGCTTGCATCACTCTTCCTGCAAGTTCGTGAGCATATGCACTTTGCAGAGCCACGTATGTACCATATATATATATTACTTTCCTACCTCCCTCCCCTCTCCCTCCTCCCTCTCCTTAATTCCCCCAGCCAATGGGCATCCTCTCCCTCCTGGACGAGGAGTGCTGGTTCCCCAAAGCCACAGACAAGTCGTACGTCGAGAAACTGACGCGAGAGCACGGCACCAACGACAAGTTCCAGAAATCTGACTTCAGAGCCAAAGCCGATTTCATTCTCGTCCACTATGCCGGCACCGTGAGCCTTGCCTGCAATCTCTTTACCATTATTGTTACACACATAAGTATAATGTATGTTAGGTATACCGGTATACTGTAGATATTGTCTGGATGCGATGTTATATACTCCACTTTGCTTTGGCTTTATCTTCTGCTACACATACATAGTGGGTCTTTTTGATTGGAACAAAAATTTGCTGCATAGAGTGTGTGTCCTTGGTGCATGCAGTAACAAAATCTTCATTCCTTGCTGGAAACAGAAACTTGAATGGAGTATATATATATATAAGGACACCTCCCTCCCTCCTATATATGTGCTCAGGTGGACTACAGTTGTGAACAGTGGCTGGTGAAAAACATGGACCCCCTCAACGACAACATTGTCCAGCTCCTGGCCAACTCGAACGACTGGTTCGTGGCCCAGCTCTGGAGGGACACGGCCAACATCGTCGGGATGCAGACCAGCGACGCAGCCGCCGCTGCCGGCAAGTTCGGAGTCCAGAAGACTCGCAAGGGAATGTTCCGGACCGTAGGCCAACTGTACAAGGTGAGAGAAGCCTGAATTTCCGACAATTAGTATCGCTCGATATTTTTTCCCTATCTTCCTCCTCTTAGCCAAACTACACTGTACTGTTTGGTTAAACCGACCCATGTACCTAATACCTCTGTTTTTCATCGTCTATTCTCCTCTACCTATATGTACACCAAGAAACCACAACCGTGTTTAATTTTAGCGTGCCACACTTCCCAGCCGACCAAATTTGCAAAAAGTATTACGACTCTAAAAGTATACTGGTCGTATGAAAGCTTTTACTAATGCAGCACGTAATGAAGAATGCATTATAATACATATGTAGCTGACAATCACTCCATTGTCTCTCTCCCTCTATCAGGAGCAACTCAACAAGCTGATGGACACGCTGCGCTCCACTCAGCCCCACTTCGTCCGTTGCATCATCCCGAACCACGAGAAGAAGGCCGGGAAGATCGCCGCTCAGCTGGTCCTCGATCAGCTCCGTTGCAACGGAGTCCTGGAGGGAATCAGGATCTGCCGACTGGGGTTCCCCAACCGGGTCCTCTTCCAGGAGTTCAGACAGCGCTACGAGATCCTCACCCCTGGCGTCATCCCCAAGGGGTTCATGGACGGGAAGAAATCTGCCGAGAAGATGGTACAGTTGGCACCAGCGAGTTTTATTAGAAAAAACAAAAATATCGGTGACAAAATACAAAATTCAGTGGAAAAGGATGACTTAGGACAATTCACAAGTTACCATTTGAGGCTTAATTCAAAAGGCAGAAAACTATTATATCCACCGAAGAAAGCCTTTCATGAGACTTTATAAAGGGTTAGATCATTAGCATCAAATGTGATGATGTCATAAGGGGGTGTGTCCAGCTAGCCTCCATTGTCACAAGGGCAGACCTACTCCTGGTGGCCGGTCCTTCCTCTCAAGAGGCTGAGATAAATATTGACTCACTGTGTGTGCTGAGGAGGGTGCGAGCTCTTACACTCTCTCCTTCCACACATTATGGTCTACAACCAGTATTGCGCAAGAACGTGCTAAACTACGGCTTATACAGACAGATACACTGCCGTGACTGAGACCTCTATAATAATTATACACCAGTTAACCATTGAGAAAGGCCTTTGAGTGCACATTATTAAGCGTCCTATTTTTCAACATGTGGTCAGCATTTTCAAGGCCAACATGCACAAGGCAACTTTGTTGTTGTTGCAGCAACTTCCAAAGTATTGGTATGAAGGGAGCAACTTCCAAAGTAGTGATGGGCGCAGTCAAAAAGTTGCCAGAAATAGACACACCATCTATTCAGTCGTGGCTGCAAATTGACTCTCCTTCCCTCCTCCCCCCTCTCTTCCTGATTCCAGCTCACGGCTCTAGACCTGGACCCAGCGTCCTACCGCATCGGTCACTCCAAGGTGTTCTTCAGGGCCGGTGTCCTGGCCCAACTGGAGGAGGAGAGAGACGTGAAACTGACCGAGGTCATCGTCCAGTTCCAGGCGCGCTCCCGAGGCTACCTGGGCAGGAAGTGAGTTCACTAGGAGGTACTCTAAGACGTTCATGTACAATAATTATACTGTGGGGGTGTAAGCGAAGTCAAATTTTTTGCTATGATGAAGAGCACACCATGTGACACGCTCTGACCCAGGCTTTAGCAGTAAGCTTCTCTTGGATTTGGAAATTGTGCACACATGAACGACAATTGGTGTAGTTTGGAAATGATTCCACTTAACTTATCGTCTCTCCTTTCTCTTCCTTCGCTTCTTCCCTTCTCCCTCCCAACTTTTTCTCAGGGCCTACCAGAAGCGTGTGGAGCAGTTCAGAGCCATCCGCATCATCCAGCGCAACGTCCAGAGCTACCTGAAGCTGCGCAACTGGCAGTGGTGGCGACTGTTCACCAAGGTGAAGCCCCTCCTCCAGGTGACCAACGCGGAGGACCAGAAGAGGGAGATGGAGGAGGAGATCAAGAGACTCAACGACCGTCACGAGAAACTCAAGTTCGAAATGGAGGCCATCGCCAAGAAGAACGGACAGGTCCGTAAACACTCGCACACTCACAGGCATACACTGCCAATTGTCTAGATTTACTTCACCCAATGCCCAATGATAAAAAGTGAAAGGAGTGATCATTGCTATCAACCAAAGGACTTGTGCTCAGCAACTTTTGTAGTGTAGCCTGCCTATTCGCTGATTTCCTTGATGAAGCTATATCATCACACATGAACCAATATGCAAAGCATCACTTAGAGTTGTTTGAAAGTAGTTGAATTCATTGGTATTTACTGTCCCCAATCCCCTATAGGCCTTCAACTACCAGCGCATTTGTTGCTGCGGTTAATGCTAAAGTTAATGGTACTTGCACCGCGCTCCTCTCTTCCCCAGGCGCTGTCAGAGAACCAGCGGCTGGAGGAGCAGCTGCGGGAGGAGAAGTACCTCACCCAGGAGGCCGAGGAGATGAAGAACATGCTCACTCAGAAGAAGCTGGAGGTTGAGTCCCTGCTGGTTGACTCGGAGTCCAGAACCGAGGAGCTGGATGAGCTGAACCATGCTCTGCAGGCAGAGAAGGCCAAACTCCAGGCTGCCATACAGCAGCTTGATGAACAGTGAGTGACATCTCTGGCTATCTGATGCTATTGCATGTTGGATATAATCATAGCTCTAAGGAACCATCAGTTGTTTGCATGTATTATGTAGGTGTGTGTGAGTGAGCGTGTCATAGTAGAAAAAGGCATCTATTAACTCGTATGCTGCAAAATGTTGGTGTTCAAAGTGAGCGCAATGTTCACATTAATTTTGTGTGTGTCATGTGTATTAAGCAGGTATGTAGATTGCTATGTGTTATTGCTCCGTCCTCCCCTGCCATCATCCAGAGTTGAGGAGGAGAATGCCAGCAACCAAAAGTTGGCAAACGAGAGGGCAAATGCAGAGAACAAGATAAAGGCTCTTGAGGAGCAAGTCACACTCAATGACGACAACATTGGCAAGGTATATTCCACTGCATTAGTTAAGACTACTTACTCCAAGGTATATATACTGCATTGTCGTTAGTGTGTGTACTACTGTAGGTGTAGGTACACATTGATTGTGTATATATGTACATTTGTGCCTCTAAAAGTGAACTCTAGTTTGTGGACAAATTCTCTAAGACCTTATCATTATGTGTTGCACGTATCTATAAGGCCCAATTTTCAGATTACCTTTATTTGAGGGGCTTTTCTAACGATGATCATTCCTTACTCTTAACCCTTTGGACGCAATGAGGATCTGCTTAAATAAGCAGAAATTGATGTAGCGCCAACCCCCATATAAATTCTTATGGACTTATGGAGGCTCTGGACCCATTTATGTGTCCTTGGCTGGTTGAATGTTGCATCAATCTAAGCAAACTCCCCCTCCTCCCCAGCTGTCTCGGGACAAGAAATCTCTGGAGGAGAAGCTGCAGGAGATGCAGACGGCCCTCGAGGGAGAGGAGAACAAGAGCAAGACGGAGCACCGCTCCCGGCTCAAACTGGAATCAGGTCTCCAGGACTCCGAGGAGAAACTGGATCGAGAGGCAAAGGTGTGTGTACTTACACAGCGGTGCCATTTGGTGGTCCCGGTGCCATTTGGGTGTCCCGGTGCCATTTGGTGGTCCCGGTGCCATTTGGGTGTCCCGGTGCCATTTGGTGGTCCCGGTGCCATTTGGTGGTCCGACAACACTTGTTGAAAAAGATCTGCTGACTTGCAAGAAACGGCTCAAGTGGTCACACACACACTTGGCGGTTGTCTCTTCATATACAACATCACGAAATGTGCTAGATCATGTGTATTTCATTCCGACAAAGACAATGCAGCCACGAGTGAGTCGTGGTAGGAGTAAAGTTTGCACACAGAGAGGTCGTACGGTGATGATGATCTCTCTATTATACCTGCTTCCTCTTACCTGCAGCGTCGCCAAGAACTGGAGAAGGAAAAGAGGAAGCTTCAGCAGGAGATCGCCGAGCTCCAGGAGCAGCTGGCTCAGGCCAGGCAGAAGATCGACGAACTCGAGACTTTCATCGTCAGACTCCAGAAGGAACTGGCCGTCATGACGCACAAGTGAGCACCTCTTTTCAGACCCATTTAGCTTCTCTGTTCTATGCGTGTCCCTTTTGTGAATTGTTCAAAGTATGGGTTTACTCGCTCCATCAAGAAGTATAAGTACATATATAGTATACGAGTGGTGTGTTAAAACGATAGGCACGAGAGGTTATTAAACATGAGTGGCGGCTTACTCCATGAGGATGCACGGGTTGTGATGATGTCTTTACGTTCCTCCCTCTGTTCCCCCTCTCCTCCACCTCCTCCAGAGCTGAGGAGGAGGCGGCAGGGCGAGCCAAAGCCGAGAAGGAAAAGAGAGACCTACAGACCCAACTGCAGGAGACCCAGGACGACCTGGAGAGCGAGAAGGAGGCCAGAGCCAAGGCCGAGAAACAGAAGAGACAAGTCAACGATGTACGTCACCCACAGTTGTGTTCAACACCGCTTTGTTATAGACGAGGGCTAAGACCGAAATTGAACTTTGCCTCCTATTTTAGTCATACTATGAGCTCTTCCATCGTAGGCACATAGGAATTGAATATGGAACAGTTGCAACCAGATTCACTGAACCGTGACCATGTTTTGGGGTAGACCAATGGCAATCATCGGACGATTGGCGATTTCACACAGCATTTACTGGCCTCTCTGTCTCTCTCTCTCTCTCTCTGTCTCTCTCTCTCTCTCTGTCTCTCTCTCTCTCTCTCTCTCTCTCTCTCCGTGCCTTCCCTCTGTCTGACAGGAGCTGGATCGTCTGCGCGAGTCGCTGGAGGAAGTCGAGAGTTCGACGGTGGCTCAGCAGGAGATCCGCACGCAGCGAGAGAATGAACTGGCAGTCCTCAAGAAGACGCTCGAGGACGAGATGGCCGCTCACGAGGATGCCATTGCCGCCATGAGATCCAAACACTCCAAGGCAGTGGACGAACTCAATGAACAACTGGAGTCTGCCAAGAAGGTCCGTCTTGAAATCCAGCCATTTATGTACACCACAGAGAAACTGTGTTACAATAATGGTCGAATGTTATCATGTTTATTTTTAGGCAGAATTGCACACGTACGTTTTTTGCATAATTTATGCACACACTTTTTGCATATGACAACGGGTTCCTTGGTACTTCATTCTGCACTTTCTACTTCACTATTTGCCCCCCCTCTCTCTCTCTCTCTCTCTTCCCTTCCTCATCTTTCACCCTCTCCCTCTCCCTCTCCCTCTCCCTCATTCTCTGTCACAGTCCAAGCAAAACATGGAGAAAGGGAAGGGCAAACTGGAGGGAGAGAACGAGTCATTGCAGCTGGACCTGCGAGATCTGCGGGCAGCCTTTGCCGAGGGAGACAAGAGGAGAAAGACGGCCGAGGCTCAGCTCTCTGAGTCTCAGGCAAAGAACACCGATGACGCGGCCAAGATCCAGGACATCACCTCCCAGAATGACAAACTGAAGGTATGGAGGAATGGCAGAATGGGACATGGGATTAGTGCGTTGTTAGACATACACGTGGAGTCGAGTGTGTAAAGACTGTGGGATATGAAAGAGAGTAGTGTGCTCTAATTAGACCTGTCTGGAGTACGAGAGTGTGCTATATTACAAACTATGGAAAACAAGGAGGCCGTTTACAATGTATGTACTAAGCATGTGTGTGTGACTCGTGTGGCACTGTGTTGGTGTACACTACGTACGTACATACAGGCTGAGCTGGCGTCAGTGACAACTCAGCTGGAGGAACTGGACCGCAAGAGTTCTGGAAGTGAGAGGACTGTGAAGGACCTCAAGGAGCAACTGGAAGAGGCTCAGGTACTTACATTATAGTACTTGCTCACATTATGTACAGTACTTACTGAATTAGGTACACATTATAATACTTACTGAATCAGGTGCATTACTGAATTACACTTATTGAATCAGGGTAGTAAACTGAATCAGGCATATAACACTTTTAGTAGTAGGGGAGACTTGTGTGCTTAGTAAAAGCGTGCACTGAGAATAATATGGAAGTATATGTACGTACAGTACATGTATGTAGGAACCTTTGAGAAAGACCTTGAATCAAGTGGATAGCGTATGTTTAAGATTTGCATGTTCGTAAGGATTTCGTTTTGACAGTGTATTCCCTCTCCCCTGGTTATGTTGCTGTGACGACAGGAGCGCCTGACAGAGGAGAACAGGGCCAAGATCAATTCCAACAACAAGCAGAAGCAGCTGGCAGACGAGGCGGAGAGACTCAACCAACAGCTGGAGGACGAAGAGGAGGCCAAGGGTGCCCTCCAGGTCAAACTTACCCAGCTCACTCAGCAGGTCAGTCACGCACACACACAGAGAGAGAGAGAGGTGTAGGTGTTTTAGACAGAAAAGGAATAGTGGGGAAGAGATACGTGGTAGTGATAAGTTTTGTAATTGTACCCTAGCTACAGTACAAGGCCAGTTTTTGAAGTTGTGGGTTCTTTACCTGTTCTTCTCCTCTCTTTCTTGGGCTCCACTCTCACTATTCCTGTCTGCACCGTCTTCCTTTACCCCCTCCCCCTCCCCCTCCTCTCTCCCCTGGACAGCTGAACGAGGCCAAGAAGAAGGTGGACGATGACCAGTTGGAACTGGAGGAGGTACAGAACGGGAAGAGGAAGCTGGACCAGGAGGCCAAGGCTCTGCAGGAGAGGCTCGAGGAACTCAAGGCAGAGAACGCCAAACTCGCTCGTGGCAAGAAGAAAGTCCAGGGAGAGGTACAATTGGCATCATTCACTAGTCTGCACTGAAGTTGTGGCCCTGAATTTTAGCTAACAGTTGGCAACTGGTGTGTTACGTTCCCTTGCCTTAAAAATCAGCAATGTAGTCCTGTGTAAATACATACGCATATTGCTGCTTTTTGTTACGTGTTTGCACCAAAAAAAACTTTGCAAAAGTGTGGTTGCCACTAAGTTTGTATATGGTGTTCATGATATATACTTTAACCTTTACCACTCCCCTCCCTTCCCAATCGCCACTAATACACAATGTAGCTTGATGACGTGACGGTCAACCAGGAGAGCCTCCACTCCCAAGTCGCCACTCTGGAGAAGAAACAGAAGAAATTTGACAGCCAGTTGTCTGAGCAGCTGGCCCTGGCCGAGAAGAACGCCCAGGAGAGGGACCAGGCTGAGGCGAGGGCCCGGCAGGCAGAAACCAAGGCCCTCTCTCTCACCAGGGAGCTGGAGGGCTACCAGGACAAGCTGGACGAGGTGGAGCGTCTCCGCAAACAACTGACGGTAAGACGAACACCCGGCGCGGGGTGACTATGTATAAACTGTGCAGAAATATTGTACGGGTCAACCCTTTATTATTGGGCCAGTTAAGTCACCCCTAAAAGTTACCGAAAGTCTATAGAGTAAATTCACCAGAGAGCTGTGGCTCCCTTGCCGATACACACACAGTCTCTGTATTACGCTTGCAGTTTATGGCATACCTTGAGTGTTTAAAACTTCCACAGAGCTTTTTGCATCGCAGCCTTTTGTATCACGGTGTGTACGTACTATGGGTCTCCCGGTCTTATCTACGTATTCCGTGCGTGTGTATTCAGATGGAGAGAGATTCGCTGGTGGAGAGCAAGGATGATGCGGGGAAGAACGTGCACTCCCTGGCCAAGGCCAAGCAGAGTCTGGAGGCCCAGCTGGAGGAACAGAAACAGCTGCTGGAGGAGGTTGAGGACGAGCTGCAAGTCTGCGAGGACGCCAGGCTTCGACTTGAGGTACAACATTAATACACATGTCAAATTTTCAATTACTGTTCTGAATGTTAGGTATAGAAGAGGCATTATTGATAGTACCATTCACAATCATACTCTTGGGAGCAAATTTTCTGAGAGATAATCTAGCTAGTGAATTGTCCTGTTAAATATTGGTATGTACATGTGTATGTACTGTATGAGCGTAAACTGCACTATCGTAGTGTCCATAAGATGAGTTCACAATTGAGAGGTGTAGCTAGCGAACAATCCTACATGTACTCATGGAACATATGTATGCACTCTATGAGCCTCTATTAGTATAGTATAGTAGTAGATCGCACGTGTCTCTCTACTCCCAGATCAACCTGCAAGCTTCCAAGACCAACTACGAGCGGGAGCTTGCGGCCAAGGAAGAGGCTGCCGAAGAACTGCGTCGTAACCTCACCAAGCAGGTGAGGGAACTGGAGGCCCATCTGGAGGAAGAGAGGAAGCAGCGCCAGGTGGCCCAGAGCGCCCAGAAGAAGCTGGAGACTGAGCTGCAGGACATGGAGAACCAGTTGGAGGCCGAGGCCAAGGGCAAGGAAGACGCTCAGCGTCACTACAAGAAGTTGCACGTGAGTTATCATTACCTATATTTTCACTCCCTATACTGTCAGGCCAAAGCTAGTCTTTCTTTGCAATTGCCTAATTTTTCGGGCATCAGTTTTCATTTGAAAGAGGCAGCTTTTGTTAGAGTTAAGCATAATAAACAAAACTTTGTTGGCTAACCTTGGGTACCCAGGCTGAAGCCGACTGTAGAAGTGGAAGTGTGCTTTATGTAGCGTTAACCGTACTACATGTAGCTGAAGTGGTGAGAACGTGTCTTGTGTGGTGTTGCAGGGCCAGCTGAAGGAGTCCAACATGGGTGCCGACGAGGCAGTGAGGGCCAAGCTGGAGACAGCCGCCAAACTGAAGGACTTGGAGAAGAAGGTTCGCACTCTGGAACAGGACCTCAACCAGGCTCAAGAGGTCAGTGACTTGCCTCTCTTCCTCACCCCACTCCTTCCTCTCTGTCACATCTTCAAAGCTAGCTGAAACATTCTTCCCTATCCTCTGAGATACGGTGACCCTGTATTATGGTTCTGCTTGTGGACTCCACTTGCTCTGTCTTTATGTTTCGAACCTTCTCTCTCCATCTCTCTCTCTCTCTCTCTGTGTGTGTGTGTGACTTGCAGGAGGTGCAGAATGCAGAGCGTGCCCGTCGCCTGGCTGAGTCCGAGAGAGAAGAGCTGCAGGACGAAGTGCAGAGCTCCACATCCAAGGCGTAAGCTAGTACCCAACTTTGTGTGCTACTACACAGGGGATCTCTTTATTCACAAGTGCAATGCAAAAAACACACTCGATGTGCATGTGCAGCACAAATATTGTACATGTCAAACAGTAGGGTTTTCCACACTTCTGCTGGCACTGCTAAACCAGTTACCCCCTCTCCCTACCACTGTCACTGTATTCCTCCCCGCCCCCTCGACAACTGCAGCAACTCTCTGGCGGAGGAGAAGCGTAGGATTGAGAACAGGATGAGCACTCTCGAGGAAGACCTGGAGGAAGAGCAGATGAACAGCGAGGCCGCTCTAGACAAGACCCGCAAAGCCGAGCAGCAGGCCGACGCTCTGTCGACAGAGAACTCCCAGCTGCAGGCCAGCATACAGAAGGCGGAGTCCGCCAAGTCCCAGCTTGAGAAACAGGTCTGTAAACTGGTCTGGTACCAGTTTGAGAAACAGGTCTGTAAACTGGTCTGGTATATACCAGTTTGAGAAACAGGTCTGTAAACTGGTCTGGTATATACCAGTTTGAGAAACAGGTCTGTAAACTGGTCTGGTACCAGTTTATATCAATTCACAGTTTCAGAAAGAGGCCTGTGACTGTAACTAGTCATGCCTATTTTATGCCGAAGAGCATTGTTAAGTGTGGGTGGTTTTTTTAAAAACTGCTGATCTGTAATTTGCACTACACATGTACGTACTGATGAAACTGCGCTGTGTTGTATATGACAGGTGAAGGACATGAAGGAGCGCCTGGAGGAGGCAGAGTCAATGGGTGTCAGGAGGATGAAGGCTCAGGTGCAGGCTATGGAGGGCCGCGTGTCCAGCCTCGAGGAGCAGCTGGATGCTGCCACCAGGTCTGCCCTCTCCCTCTCTATACTTGCAACCTTCATATGTACATAGGTGTCTAGCGATCGTGGTACTTTTTTTTATGGAGTAGATTCAGTATCATTTTGTCGGTGTATACATGTGGGAATTACATCATAATGTGCAATAACAGAGGTCCTCCCCCCAAGAGCATGCCAAGGTAATTGTTTCTGTTAGGAATATGGGCCTTGTCACATTCGGCACGATCAGAGTGGGCACCCTTTTCTAGACTACGAGGCTGCTATCAACTGCACATTTTGTGTCACTCTCTTTCTTGCACAGGGAGCGAGCCACAGCTCACCGTACGCTGCGTCGTCAGGACAAGAAACTAAAGGATGTGGTGCAGTCCGTGGAAGACGAGAGGAAGCAGGCCGAAAGCTACAAGGGCGAGGTGGGTGTGGCTCTGGCTCACATATTATACAGCTCCGTTCTCCATCATTATTATACACATATACATACCTCGTATGAGCATTACATCATTTATTTTGGAAAGTATGACACACAAATATCCAACTTGCATCTTTTGTGGACTTGAAGGGTATGCATGGAAGTATCTGGTTTGATTTGTGTACAGGCTGACAAGGCTCTTGCTCGTATGAGGACCCTCAAGAGGAACATGGAGGAATCTGTGAGTTCTGCTGTATACATACACACCAATACTACCTTCCAATGTACAGTACATGGCTTATGAATAGTGTAGTGCTATGTGACGTATACTAGATAAAGTAAGAGACCCGAGGGTGCGTAAAAGATGTATGATTTGTGTGCGTAGTATATTCTGTCAGTGAGATAATATGAGGTTTGTGTGTATTGCTAACAGGAAGAGGAGACAGCTCGTCTCCAGGCGGCCAAACGCAGGCTGCAGCGAGAACTCGACGAACTGACCGAGCAGAATGAACAGCTCCAGAGGGACATTGCCAGGAAGGGGTATATATGTATACACATTCATGCATCACTTGATCGAAACACAGCTGTGTATGTCTGTTGCTTTGAGTGCTAAAATGACGACGTGTATGTAAATGTGGATGTTGAAAGTGTTGCCTGTAAAATTCTTATGTAACTTGCAAGAAACAGGTGCAAATGCAAAATCGCTCGATCTCACCTGCACGATTGCCCTGTCTTCTTCGTCCCCCTCCCCCTCTTTTCATCTCACGCCCTTACCTCCACCACCCCTCCCCTCCCCACCCCCCCTCTCTGTAGTGCTGGAGCGTCCAGCAGTCGTCGCCAGCCGTTTGGAAGTGGAGCCAGCTCCAGGCCGAGTCGTACCCGCCACAGCAAGAATCCCAGCGGCCAGGCAGGAAACAGTGGAGACTCTCTGGCTGACGATGACGACGACATGTGAACACTAACTCATTCTCTGTTGCAGCAGCTAGCTACCCCGCTACTGCTACAACCCCCCTTCGTTTAGTTTTTGATTGGAAAACTTTTAGTGATTTTGAGGTATTAAAAATTTTCGGCTGTAAATCTCGTCTTACGTCAGATAGTGTAATGTCATTTTGTAGCAATGCAGATGTTGTAGGATTATAATCGAATCATGTGCTATGGTAACCAACATGCACCGTGTTCAGAATTTGTTGCAAAGATCAAGGATAGGATCAAGATGCATCAATAATGTGGATGCATGATGCATACTGATAATAGCTGCTATAATTATAGGTTCAAGGTGGGCTTTATAATTATGACGGTTCCTGGATGCAGGGTGGGCACTATTTAGAAATGTACCACTGGATGGAGGGCGGCACTATCTAGAAGGTGGAGCGAACGGTGCACCAGGAGCTCCTTGACCCAACATCAACTGCAGAATGAAAACATGCCAAATATCACAAGTATTTGAAAAACAACAGAGGTGCATGTGGCAGCAAGAGCACCAATCGAAAATATTTACGTGACATTGACGAAATTATTCACCACACGGGCACACAATCTGCGAATTATTGCCTTAAAAATGTTCTAAAAAGTTTGTGATACTACATTGAAGTTGTGCTGGTCTGCATACCACCATCATGCAAAAAGGAGTATACGCCACACTGACCTGCTTCTTCTGCATGTTCTGCATCTCCTCGTACTCTAGTCTCTGCTGTTCTATGAACGGAGGGAGAGCCAGCAGAGCAAGAGAGGTTCCCAACACCCACGCAGACCGCCGCACCAACCACACTGACCACTCTCAACCCCTTCTCCCCCACGTTCCACAGCGGGTCAGGCACCATCTCTGTCAGTCCCACCAATCGTTCGATCACCGTCTCCTCCACCTCGTCAAACTGTGTGTGGGGGCACGTAAGGTCATACAACCACGTGCCAGGCTCTTTTGTATGCTCTTTTAGCATGTCTCACGTTTTCTTCCTCTTCTGGTGGGGGCCCGAGCCTTCCCGGCCCTCCTCCCGGTGCATCTGCAGTTTTCCTCGAAACACCAGAGAGAAGCTCCTCCAAAGATGGTGCTGCTGCGCTCATATCTTCTCCTTTCGCTTTCATACACACACACACACACCCTCGTGCAGGATTAGTTTATTTTCCGCATTCTTCCGTATATTGGATGACGTCTATGTTCCGTATTCTTCCGTATACGGGATGACGTGTAAATTACGGGGACACGCCGCTGGTCGTCCCTCTCCTAGCTCGCAGCAGCTTCTGTCTTCCTTGACCGTCGGGCCTGGCCCAACAGGCGAGACGCAGACTCGAAAGTTTGAAGATCGAGCGTCGTAACTCGCCGTCACTACGCTGTCAAGATGCCTCCACCTCCAGGGGTAAGTCTGGGGAAAGATTGGTGGGATATCCGATTGGTGGGCGCGGTTGCAGAGACGTCTTTAGCGAGTGGTATAGTGTCAGTTTATGCGTGTTTTCAAGCCCAGGACCTTATAGAACTTACTGCTGCCTGATTGCTCTGTCCTACGCTTTTATTTGGCCTAATAGCAGCTGCATAGCTAGCTACTCTATGACGCGTTCAGATCTTCAGGCCTGTAATGTGTTTTTGAAGTGAGCCTGGCTTATCGTAAACCCAATGGTTAGCCATCTCTCTCGGTGTCAGTGGGAATTTAGACGTGTTTTGTGATGTGTCTATTTACCACAAGTTTGCATGCCCTCCTGCATACACCTCCAAAAGTTTTACTCATGATTTTGCGATCTGGTATATATTTCGTGCAGTAGCGATCGGCTGTGAAGTAGAAGACTGAGTGTGTGACAGTGGTCGTGTTTTACCTGCATGTGTGTGTGGTGCCTCATGCATTATGTATGTACCTGCTGCTGCCTGCATGCTGTGCTAGAGAATGCCTTTCAGGATTTTTTTATTGCTGGCACGTCGATAGTGTTGCTCCTGTTGCTTTGTGCTGGACTTTTTGGTGAAACTCTGTGTGACATGTATCATCACATTTCTATGATTGCATTCACGTATAAACGCAACACTGAAAGCTATCCTTGCTCCTGAGTCATTTTCTAAAACACATCAGTACACATGGTCACTAATGGTGTCAAATCTGAAGGTATTGAGTAGGTGTAAGAATGCTAATCAAGCTGTCTCGCTGATCAACCAACTAAACCAAGGCCAAAGTTCAACTTATTGTGCTATATATGTACTGTATGGCCTTTAGTATGTATGGACTAACTGACCTTCTATCGTTTTTACTGTATGTTGTATATAGTTTGTGGAATCAAGGTGCAATTAATTTACCAGAAGCGTGCAGTAAGATCGTCCTATGATGGCATGCAAATTTCAGACGTTTCATTTGTTAAACTGTATAATTATAGGTATAGGTTTGAGGTGTTGCTTCTGTGCACAATCGTAAAAGTTCTGCAAACTCGGTTTTTAGCTGGATTGACGAAAATTGCTCTCACACCTTAAGGTCTGTGATTGTGTGTGTTTTGTGTGGCACTCAGAGTACAGACCCGGACTTGTGGGTGAACGACTTGCCAGCTGTAAAGGAGACGAGTGCAGGGTCAATCAGTGGGTGCAGGATCGTCCAGGACGGCTCCACCGAACACATCCGAGACAATGAGGACAGGTATTATATACATCACGTACAACAAGGCTTTTCTAGAAGAGGGCGAAAACTTTACGATTACGTAGCAAAAACAAAAAAAATTCGCTGATATAATTATAAACTCTCTACAACAGATACTACACTTGTAAGTTGGATGGAGTCCAACTGTACATGGTGCTGGACGGGCACAACGGGAGCAGGGCGTGCGACTTTGCGAGGAAACGTATCCCGAGTATTCTACTGCAGACCGACATGGGGGAGAATGGGGAGAGAGCTGCCGAGGTCCTCAGGTACACCTTCCAGAACACCGAGGAAAAGTTCTTCATGATGTTGGATCCGAGCATCACGAGAAAGATGGGACTACAGATGGAGATGCAGGTAGTTACTGTACGTGATGGAATGTATGTGGAATGTATGTGTACATGTACGTAAGTGATCAACTTGTTGCCATTGGTTATGTGTACGGTACACATACATACATACATTGTATGTACATACATACATTATATGTACATACATACATACCCAAGGAAGTTGATACATACAGCATTTGTACATTACACTGCCACATAGATCACATGGTCTAGTTTTACCCTCAAACCTAGATTGGCTCTCCTCTGCATATAAAGCCACTAGGTCTTTATAAAAGAGCCTGAAGAAAAGTAGGGTCTCCGTGTCAAGTTATATTAGTGCTGGGCTTCGTATGCACGTGTGTAGGAGAAAGGAGGGACGACGTCCATGTTGGCGTATTCCATGTTCCCCGAGAAAGTGGAGGAGCTGCAGAGACTGGAGGAGCAGATTAGCGGAGGGACCACTGCTGGTTAGAGCTAATTGTGCATGTGGTACACCTACAGTATGATGTGGGCTGGAAATGATACATCAGTAGCACTCGTAATTCTAACCCCAATGGGGACAGTCCCTTGTGGGGTATCATTACATGCAAAAACTGTGTGTCCTTACATTATCTCCTCCTTTTCACTCCATGCCTTATTTTTCTCCCTCTTAACTCCTCCCTCTCTTCCTTCTCTTCCTCTCTTGCCCTCTCAGTGGTGGCGGTGATTCTAAATAACCGTCAGTTGTGGGTGGGAAATGTGGGAGACTCCAGGGCCGTCCTCTGCTACCAGGACGGCCTGGGGAAACTCCACGCAGAGCAGATCTCAGAGGACCACAACACGAAGAACGAGAAGGAGATTGAGCGACTGGTTCGGTGCGGCTTGGACGAGGTCCGACTACGCAGCTCGGGAAGACTCGGGGTCCACCAGAACACTCGCTCCATTGGTGACTACAGCATCAAGGGAGGCTTCAAGGATCATGACATTCTCAGGTTAGTGTGTGCATGCAGTGGGATAGGGGAGAGGGTGGATTGTCTCTTCCTTTATAACTTTTGTGCATTTCTGTTGAAAAGCAATATTTTGTATATGACAGAAGTAAGGATGACTGTTTTTATTTCACATGTGCAGTACTGCGACTAGGGAACCTGGTACGGCGGAGCCTTTCATCAGCCACCCTCCCCTAGACATAACAACGATCAGGGGCTTCCTCCTACTAATGTCCGACGGACTCTACGACGCCCACGCGACAGTCACAAACTCCCTGCACACCGTGAACCACGACCTGGCACTCCTCGTCCAGCGACACTTAGACCACGCCCCCAGCATCAACGAGGTGGCCGACAAAGTGATCGCGGAGGTGGCGACCAACTTTCGCAACACGATCCAGCGACGTGGGGAGAGTGCTCGCATGGACGACATAACACTCATCATCCGTAACCTCGGCTACCCAGTGGGTCAGCTCTCCGGGATCCTGACGTCCCCACAGATGCTGCAGAACAACTTCAGCTTCAGCCATGAGACACACCAGGAACACCCAAAGCCACAATCGGATGCTGGGGGTCCGAAACCCCACTATGAAAATTCCCAGTTCTTACAGTCAGTGCCTGTCCCGACGTCCTCGGTCCATAGTAGCACCAACCCCTCCACTGCCACTCCTACTCCCTCCAGTAGACTCCCACACTATACCTCGCCGCAGGCCCACCCTAGTGTCCACGTGAGCCATCACGTCCCTGTGGTGGACGCCTACCCTCCCAACTCTGTGTACCAGTCCCAGCAGAGCCTGCACTACCCTCACCCCACCACCGGTTACAATGTCCAGTACGGCACCAGGCCACCGCCACAACCGCAGCACCAGAATGGAGCTGGGGCGGCAAGCCAGGTGTTTGGGGACTCGGGAGCCGACCACACGGCACACACCAACTACCAAGACCAAGGTAATACTGCTAGAAAACTGTGCTGAGTATGGTTCACGTGTATAGGCATAATGCAAAGGTGGTGGTGGTGGTGTGGGAAACACCTAAATACATCTGTATTGTATACTTGACTCTCTGTAGCTGGCTCTCAGAACCAAAGCTATAGTATGTGTGCACACTATGATATATACACGGAATGTAGCAGTGCACACCGCAAGTGGGGAAGGCTTGGGTTAGCTAAGACATGTACACCTTTACATGTTCGTCACTTGTAAAACTATATACAGGTGCGTATGGAAGAGAGCCACTGCAGAGCCAGCCGTACAGCGGCCATCAGCACTCAGAGTCCACTAATCAGTACAGAGAGTATTCAAACCCTGACTCAACGACGACGACGACGACGCCCGCCATCTACGAGAACTGGGATCTGAGGAGAAGCGATCGCCACGGTTCCGGCAGCAGTGGAGTGACAGAGCTGGCCGGGGATCTTGCCACAATGAGCGTGGATCCATCGCAATCCAACACGACTGATCCAAACCCTTCAAAGTCACCTAATCCTGGGCCGACATTCCATGAACTTCATGGGCCTTCCTCAAACGTCGATTATCAGTTTCAGTCGCCGCAAAATGCCGTAAGTACACTTTTGCCGTGTGCATATATGTACTACTTTGTTTGTGTGTTGAAGTGTTTCAGCTCGCCCTAATGTTGTACTAAAACCAAATTTGGCGTAAATAGTGTTGCTACTATTTGCAGGGTCCAGTCTCTTCCCAAACAAACGTCGCTGTCAACAGGAATGGTTCGACTGACGATACCGGTGGCGTGGCAAGGACGGTGACGGACGACAGTGGTCTCGGTGGTAGTCGAGGGGGAGGGGGTGAGAACGGTACCAGCAGACACTCTACAACGGACGACGAGTCGTGGATGTACAATGACGTGAGTGAGCATGCAGCTAGTAACTGCAGCTGTAGACTATATAATGTCAATCAGCATGACTTTCCTTCACTGTATCAAAGAATGCGCATTTTCAGTTGGGAAACGTGTATATGTAGAAAGATGTGGAAATATTCCTGCAAAACCACCATTTCTAGGGAAAATCTTGTTGTGGGGAAGTAAATTGTATCGGAAATGTCTGAAATGTTCTCCATCTTTGTTTTTTTCCCTTCTCATTACAGAGAGTGTTGCAGGCATCTAAGTCAACGCAGCCAACATCATCGTCTCTGGGCGACTCTGAGAAGACAGGGGAGGAAGAGGAGGAGGAGGAGAGGAGGAGGAAAGACAGGGACGCAACGGAAGTCGTTGAGCTGGAGCTGGCGCCAGAAAATGAGACGACACGGCTGGATGTGAAGGAGGAAGAGGAGGAGAACGGGATGATCAAACCCATCATAAAGTTCGACAAGTTCCCTCCGGACCTGTCCTGGGATCAGATATAAAGCCATTACATAACGTGTCATTTCTCACTGTGTCGCCTTTTGTGGCTGTGTTCTTTGCTGTGTGACAGTGTGCTAATGATTGTGGCAGTGTGTTCCGTGTCAGACATGAAATTTGGAGACAAACTTGAACGCGCAGGCAAGAGAGGGGGCGTGGCGATTGTGTCAGCGCGTCCGGCCGGCGCCCCCGAGTTCATTACGTCATCGTGGTTTGAATTTCGAATCCTGCGAGGGAACGTTGGGAGCTGATCTGAGAGAGAAGCTACAGCTAAAAGTATGGCCGCGGTGAGTTTTACACGCACTGGAGAACGTGCCATCATGGTCGATAGGCAGCAAGCCCCAAGACACACACACTCACTAACTCAAGATGCCTATACTCTCCTCCTGTACTACTCAGCCGTCGTCCAGCTCCAACGTGGAGAACCTTCACCCGCAGACGGTGCGGCAGGTCCTGCGGGAGATGACTGAGCTGTCTCAGAGCCCGCCTGAAGGCGTCAAGGTCTTCTTAAACGAAGAAGACATCACCGACATACAGGCTTCCATTGAGGGCCCAGGTACAATAGCGGTAGACTCTATATCAAGCTTGGCGTATTCCTATGAATTGGAAAACCACCTATACAACATCACATCAGCAGATTGCAACTAGTAATGATTACCATGAGAGATGGGAAAACCTGTAATTGTGAAACTGTGGCACGTTTCCTTATGTGACCTAATGCATGGGGGCCAACCCCAATTTTGGGCAATGATAATCATGCCTGATGCCCAGGAAATTGGTGGTGAAATAACAATTTTGTTTTTCCCCCTCTGTTTACTCATGTATGATATACACAACAGCCGGTACTCCGTACGAAGGCGGAATCTTCAAAATGAAGCTGGTTCTACCTAAAGAGTTTCCTGCCTCCCCTCCTCTTGGTATATACACACATGTATACCATCTATATAGGACAAATATGCCACGCATTTTGGTGAGCGAGTGTGACATTTCAATTTTTGTACATACTGAAGAATGACGTTCATTTTTTCGCGTTTATTTAGATTCACGTGCAGTGCCCAGTTACTTTCACATAATTATATAGAAAATTCCCGAATTTAGACGACTAGGTTGCTTTGCTTGGCAAAGAAATGTTTTATAATACATAATGTTCCTGCAAAAATTGTGCTCCACAAAGTATAACCTTCAGCATTGTAAAGTATTTGACAACTGTAACCTCCCCTGGATGTAATGTATGGGTTTGTATGCACGAGGAACCACTTCCGGCTTCAAATTTCTGTTCATTTAGAGGTGTGTGCAATAACACATGCGGTTCCAAAAGTTTTGTTCATCATCAACTGTGAGATTATACTGATCAACGACAGTGCTGTTCCCCCCTTTTTAAAAATCTTTAGTCACACAAACAGGTTTATGGAGGAGTTGTGTGTTGTTTTGCAGGATTTTTCTTGACGAAGATATTTCACCCAAATGTGGCTAGCAATGGGGCAATATGTGTGAACACCCTCAAAAGAGACTGGAAACCAGAGCACGGAATACGCCACATACTCTTGGTAATGTTATATACAACATCAACGTGCCATTCGAAGTTCGTCCTTCAGCGTAGCACAGTGGTATCCCTCTATCTCGACACCAATGGGACAGAGAGTGTCCTTATTACAGAGGTGTTCCTGGGGTGTTCTTCGAGAGGGGTTAAATGTGTATAATGAGGAGTGTCTATAGTGTCTATGGATTCAACATTCTCCCCTATATATACCCCAGACCATCAAGTGCCTCCTAATCTACCCAAACCCTGAGTCGGCACTCAACGAGGAGGCTGGTAGGCTCCTATTGGAACACTACGAAGACTATTCCAGCCGGGCTAGGATGATGACCGGGATTCACGCCAAGCCATCTCGGGGACCCGACACGGCAGCAGGTAGCAGTGTTGGTGGTGGGTCCGATGTGTCCGGGGGTAAAAAGAGGCCTCTGGAGTCGGTCACCGGTAGCACCGCCTCCGGACTTGTGGAGAAAAAGAAGAAAGACAAGAAGAAGGCTCTGAAGAGACTCTGACCACACTTGCCAGACTCTCTTTCTCTCACTCTCCAACAAGCGCCCTCTTCCTCTCTTTTTTCGTGTTGGCTGTATAATATTGTGTACATAGTGTGTCTTACAGTTGCACTGGCTATGCTTTAATTACGTCAATCTTTTTCTCTTTTCATGTTGTGTCTGATCTTTTTCCCGCACGGCAACAAATGCATGTGAGTTTTGCACCAGTGTTGGACGAAATTTTAGCAAAAATAGCGATCAAACAGGTACAATGGTTTTTAATAAATTTTCACTCTAATGATGGGTGTGGAAGATAGAGATGTGTGTTAGACTCCTATGTGGCAAACTGGTGGATGAGTAGTGTCATATCGTCCCTCTTGCGGCATGCGACGGCCACCGGTGAACGGATATCTCGTGCAGCGTGGTTCTTGTATGCATCTTCGTGAATAGCCCTGATACGCCCGAGGACACGATCGGCAAGAACATCGAACCTTCTCTTTTGGTCCACGAGCTGATCTCTTTCTCGGTTCACCGTGGTCATGAGGACCTTGTTGGTTTCGATTCCAGCCTTTTTGCAGAAACGGCGCCTCGATGCTCTTGTAGACTCCGTCTGTCATCAGGATGATGTACTTGCAGTGTGGTGTTATGGGGATAACCTCAACGAAAGGTTCACACAGACCCGGCTGTGCCTTGCAATGCCTGCGAAAACAGAGGATAATAGCGATATGAACAAAAGGAAGAACATGTGGACCAATCAGATTTCTTGATTTACTGTATATACATTATGCAGAACAGTGCGGCAGAATAAGGTTCAGTGGCCTTTGCGCAATAAGGAACTGCATGCTCGGGTGGTGGTGGTGTTGCAATAGGGAACTCCATCCTAACTGGCCTTGAAATAAGCCACAGAAGGAGTCACATGAAATTACACAGCCATCTGACCCTTTTACAAAACTGCATGTCAAAAATGACACAATATCCTGTATTTCTCAACGGAGAGAGGCTAAACAACTTCCATATAGTACAGTATAGTACGTGAAGCAGGTTCGAAAAAGTGCATATTATTTCCTTCTAAGAGGGAAACTGCTGTAGGCATGATAGTATACACATAAACAACTAGAGTAAGGATACGCCAGCACACAGCCAGGCATGCAGGGGACAAGTCCTGCAGCCTAACACTGACTGACAATATTTACTACCTACTGTACCCTTCAGGTCTGGGAGAAATTATACAGCCTTCTTTCAGAGACACCAGATAGCAGAGAGTGTGTGGCAGTGGCAGACGAAATAATACCCCAGGGCGCGGATCATGCCCGATGGGTTGCATGCTTAGGACATTGCATTTTAGAGAGGCTAGACTAGGAAGATACAGGGCTGAAATGCATTATCATTCTTCACAGCAGCATGTGTGCTATGGTCAAGGTATGATTACACATTCCTATCGACTTCTCCCGGACACCACAGTAACCAGGTCAGTGTTAGTCGACAGCTATTGGTTACGGTGCACGAATCTGGAATGCTGCGGTCGTTACAGGTGCTTTAGTGTCACACCTTGATATACCAATGCCAGTTGTTTCTACTTTCTTGGTTCGCATACAACTCTGCACTTGGCATGATCAGCAGAACGTAAAAATATGCCTGCACTCGGGAATTTTTCTCCTTACTACAGTACTCACAAAGCTCTCTCCCACTAAATGCTGTCGACACATAATATGCAGTCGTATTAAGAACGCGGGCTACGGAAAGTGCCGACAACCCAGCCATAATGTTCAGTTTACAACACACTGGGACGGAAGATGGGAACAACAAGGCGTTGGAACACACCAAAGCTGAATGTAACTCGTGGGCAAGCGAGGGGAAACAGAAAACAAGCGAGGAGGAGTGAGGAAATCAGGAAAGACAGGTATGACACTACACAATAGCAAAAAGACACGAACAGACCGAGAGCGAAGTTTCACTGGGGTCCACTGTTATGGTCGCCGAGGCAGAGAATTTCTAATGTCTCAGTAATTAACTTACTGTAGGGTGTCCACGTTCCTGTTCAGTCCTTGATGGAGTAGTCTCGATTAATGCGGAGTGGGGGTTTTCCTGGCTACCCAGCCGCCGGAGCGCTGGAGCTGACTCGGTCCAGCCCCCAGGTAAATGTCAGTCTCTTAAAACTCAATCGATGTTCTCAACGCCGTTGGTCCATGATCATCGGAGCCACTGCGGATCCCCATTCTAGTTCTCTTTGACCAGGTACGGCGCGGGAGTAGCCCACGTTGGCCCACGTTAGAGCGGGCTACCGCAGACGACCCCAGGGACACTGTGGACCCGCCGAGATCTTTTGCTACAGTTGTGCATTCTGGCGACTCGACGGGTTGGTTAGGTGAGATACGCATCATAGGAAGTCATGTTCTGTGGAGAGGATATGGTTGGTGCACTAGGAATGAGTCTAGTACATCCAGTAGGTAATACCCCATACAGTTGATGCCACTGTCAGGACACAGTAAAGAGACAAAAAAAAAACGTAAACAAAGGGAAAAAGATAAGAAGAGAACCTCCCGAACCAATGTAACGTGCTTCACGCAGACTGTGCAGCGCTGTCTCTTTATAAGGGAGATTTTGGCAAGCAAGAAGAAGCGCTGGAAGTTCAACAAACAAAAAAACGCAAGGCTCTAAATGTAAAAAGTAACGCTAAAAAGAGAAATAAAAAATTAAAAATAATAACAAATTAAATAAAAAAAATTTTTATTTGAACGGTGCTGAAATCCAGTATGTAACTACCCTTGACTTATACAGTTGATGCACTAGTAATGATCAAACATGCAGTCCAGTATTGAATACCCACATTACAGTTGATGCGCATAGTACATGAATCACACGACTGATCAGTATGGCCAGATAAGTGGAAAGGAGAGGGCAAAGTTGAAGGAGGAAATTGTGACTTATGAGGATTGGAATGACGTAGTCTTCCTGGCAATTGCAAAACTATACCAGGTATCCATATACGTACATATAATAATATATCACGTGGCACAATGTATTCAGCACGATGCTAACAGGCTACATACACAACACGGCTGGAATGCATATCATAAAGGATTCACAGGAATGAGTGTTCAGATGTCCCAAAGACAGGCAAGGCTTCACAAGGAGTCATAGTTGAATTTTGCCATTGATCAAACCGAAACATTAGGATCAATTCCTAGGCCCGCCATCTCTAGACACAGATAATGGTCCCTTGAGGATTAGGTGTTCACAAACCGATTGCCACAAAACAAACACACACACACCACACACACAGCCCTCAGTAAGGACTTGTGGACTTGTCTAAACAATAGCACCAAAGTCAGCAACAGCAAAGTGGCTCTCCTATTAACTCTAAACACCAAGTTAGTATTCGGTATTATGTATACCTGAGGTATGATTTTTGAAGTTGTTTTCTCTCGTCATATAGCGACCGATACTCTTGAAAAAAAATCGTTCTCTTGCATATAACAGAATTCTCTTCAGTGCCATATGGGATGGTACACGCGTTCTTGGGAGGCAAATTATCACGGTTTCCAAGACTCTAGGCTAAAGTACTGAACGAAGAAGTAGAAGTAGAAAGTTTGAAAGCGATCGGCTGCACGCGGTCCATAGTGACGCAAAGGACACCGTTAGAATTTACAGTATCGTCTTCTAGCATATAAGTGTACTGTATTCTGGGTGGTGGGCCTCAGATCTGAACATACCACCAATCCGAATCTGACATTCTCGAGAGGATGGTACGCTGGTTTCACAGTTTGACGAGGGACGGGGATGCGTTAGTAAGGGTAAGCTTTAGGAGGTGATTGTTTTTGATAGGCGAGGGCCGGGGGGAAATGTGGTAGGATTGATTGGAGGCTTTTCGGTGGGTAATTGGGAGATTGTACGAGTGGGGTAGAGGTGGGTTGGGGAGGGAGACGGGGGCGCGGACTCAGCGAGGCAAGAGGGTCGGGTGAGTGTGTTGTCTGGAATAAATGTGTGACAGGCATTTGTGGTAGGTGTGCCCGTCTGTGACGCGGCAGTCACTTTTGTAATGTA